GGACCCTGATTTCGAAGAACACTATAAAGAGCTTCTTAAGCGGTGGGTAGTGGATGAATTCAGCATCAAAGAAAGACTGGATGAAATGACAGAGCTATTAAAGGAAGCAATCGCTAGTCCTACAAAAAATTTTAAAGCAGGAGACAAAGGTATTGTGCATTAACGGTAAAATCTGTACACGGCCTTTCGATCTTTCTTGAGAAAAGAAGAAGATTGAAGGGCCTCTCATCAGAGGGTAATAAGCAATTTACCTTTGAAAATAGCTTAAACTCGGAGAAATATCTTGCACTGGAACTGACCCCTTCCTCTTAGACCCAAAATTAGAAAAAGACCAGGTGTTGTCTTTTCCATGCTTTTTTGCTGGTGATGGGCAAGTAATTTTTTTATTTTTTTGTTCCTCATACGGGAAGTTAAGAGAATTAATCGTTGAAACAGATTCACTACAAAGGTGATTTGCACCAAAAGACTGCAGTTAAGTCTTACAGTATTTACCTGGTCGGGTTCGTCGAAAGAAAGAGATGAAAAAAAGCTACAATTCTGAATGAACTGGAGATGACGAGACGCTTTCTCTCCCCTAAGTGTGCTTAGGCCATTCTTAATCTCCAGCTGTAAAAACAAAAACCATGTGTTTTCTGAGTCAAAGTTAGTTTCTCCCATACCACAAATTCCTGGATCCGCTCCCGAAAAGGGTCGGTTAGTGTTGGTAATCACATGATTTCGAGTACAATTTACGATAAAACAGCACGAGTAAGGTTTTGAAATGCCAGCAGATTGCACGAGCCTGTAGGGCGAGTGCAATTTGTAGTTTTTGAAAAATTTACAAATGCTACTTTATCCCGACTTGCACAAGGAAAATCATGCGTTAACTTTTTGATAATATACTAGCAAAGATATGACTCTGTTTTCCTCTCTAGTTGTTTTTTTTTCGTGTCATGGCTCACTGGTTCGGCCGCTTCCCTTTGCCTTGTGCTGGAGTAGACGAGGTTTTCCCAAGAATTTGGTTCAAGCTTTATAACTCACCGTCACGAACGATCGGGTTTTTGTACTCTTCGTCAATTAGGTAGTGGTCGACAGCAATAATCAGAACACGAAAGATATCACGCTCGTTATCTTCCCCGTCTTCCTTACGAACTGATGCGTAAAATTCCTCGAGAATTTTATTCAGCGTCCCCGATTCATATTTTCCAATGCCCAAAACTTCCAGACTTTTGGCCAGTTGTTTGTGCTTTGTTTTGTATTTTTATTTTTGGCATTTTTCATAAAACTCTGAAATAAAAAGGTTGTTACCTTCTCCTAACCTCTCCGCCGTTTTGTTTTGTTGCATTTTTGTGACTCTTTCTTTTCATCTTTCTACACTCAGTTTTAACTTTTTGCCCTCAATCTCAACTTTGTGCACTGTTTGGGATTAATTGACTTGTTCTCAGCCAATAAGCGTTCTGAAATGTTTGCATACATCTTATTAAAAATGAAATAATTTAACCTTTACACCAACCTCTTGCTACGCTTTTCTAATTGCTCGGTCAGAATTTGATGTCAATTAATTGCGAACAGATTCAAGATTAACTTGCACCTTTTGGAAAGCCTAATTAAAGCAAAACTCAGCTAGCGTGATAACCGATCGCGTTGCAAGTCAGGCAGTTCAATGACTTTTCGTCAAGCATTGGAAAAGTAAATACATGAAGGGTTTATGAAAATAAATGCAGGTAATGATTTTCTTTACAGCTGTAGCAGAATACTCTGATGCGTTGAAAGAATCAATAAAAAGCCAAACCGAGTACCTCGCTCAGGCCTCACCGACCATGTCCAATGTGAGAACAGATGACATATTCACCAACATTCTCATGCAACATGGAAGAAAACCAGTCGAAGATCTTGATTTGAAAAGAAAAGAACGCCTTCGCCAGTACGGTCAAATCAGTGGAAAGCAAATTGAGAGCTCGCAAGAAATTTTCATGCCAACCAATGGGAAACATCCAGAATCTGTTCTTGTCACTGGAAAGGCAGGCATCGGTAAAACTCTGTTTTGTCAAAAGCTGATCAAAGATTGGGCTGACAACAAATTGTTTCGATCCAGAGCAAATGCAGAAGTACCTGATTTAAAGTTCGCATACTTGCTCACCTTCCGTCAGCTTAATCTACTTGGGGACGACCCTGTTACCTTGAAGGATATCTTAAACCGATCTTCAATGCTAGATGACCGCTCAAATATCGACGACTCTATATTTGAGTACATTCTTCATCATTCCGAAGAAGTTTTGATTATCATCGACGGGTATGACGAGTGTTCACAACGAGAGTATATCGCTAGTGATTCGGATGAAAAGTACCCAAATAACGCCAAAGAGAAAATGCCAGTAGCGGCACTGTGTGCTAAGCTTATCAAAGGAAAAATACTGAGAGGTTCGGTCGTCATGATCACTTCAAGACCCGACGAATCTGACGAAATGAAAGCCAAAGATATCTATTTTGACAGATACCTTGAAATTACAGGATTTTCCGAGCCACAGGTAAAAGAATACATTGGAAAGTATTTCAGAAACAACGACCGAATGAAAAACATTGTAATGGACCACATTACAAAGAATGTCAATCTTGTCAGCTTTGCCCACATTCCTGTGCTTTGTTTTCTTATGTGCTCCTACTTTGAATATACTCTACAGCAACCAAAAAAGAATAATCCTCTCCCGGTGAAAACAAGTGACCTTTATGATGAAGTGGTCAACATGTTTGTGAAAAAGCACGATAGAAAGAAAAGCGCCTCTGTCGAAGAGACTCTGGATGAATTATCAAAGCTGGCAGCTCAACTCCTTGAGGAGAGAAAGTTTCTTTTCCTTAAAGAGGATTTGAAAACTTTGAACTTACACGAGGTTGAAAGTCTGTGTAGAAGCGGTCTTCTTCATTGCGGTCCTCCTTTCAGAAGATCTTTTTCTGCGACGACTAAACATTTTTGTTTTACGCATTTGACTCTCCAAGAGTACTTAGCGGCTCGTTGGTTCGTAAAGACAAGAAAAATCCCCCCCGGAGATGTGTCCACAGAAGTAGTTCTATTTATGTCCGGTATTTTGTCCAAGGAAAAAGACAACGAATTTGTGAAAAAGTTGATTATCAAAAAAATTCTCAGCGTCTCATTGTCAGATACAACTACAAAGGGGCTATTAATTTCCAAATGTCTCCTACAATACGAAGACATCGAGTTTGCCAAGGAAATAGTAAAGGAATTTCGCAACGTATTCTGCCCACGTGATGGATATTTTGATCTTTCTGGCTCCAGGAGGGCCAATGTGGACTGCATTACTGTGTCTTTCGCATTGATGGTTTTTGGCGAACTTAATGCAGAGGAAAAATCTGAATGGAGTAGAATCACCACACTTAACCTGAGTCTTCAGAATGTCACCAATTTTGCCAGTCTATGTCAAGCATTACAGACACCAACATGTAAAGTCACCGAACTTAATTTGGGTTTTACTCAAATCACCGATGCCGGTGTTGCCAGTCTATGTCAAGCATTACAGACACCAACATGTAAAGTCACCGAACTTCATCTGAATCTTATTCAGATCACCGATACCGGTGTTGCCAGTCTATGTCAAGCATTACAGACACCAACATGTAAACTCACCGAACTTAATCTGTGTGATAATAATATCAACGATGCCGGTGCAGCCAGTCTATGTCAAGCATTACAGACACCAACATGTAAACTCACCGAACTTAATCTGGGTTTTACTCATATCACCGATGCCGGTGTTGCCAGTCTATGTCAAGCATTACAGACACCAACATGTAAAGTTACCAAACTTCTTCTACCTGGTAATCAGATCACCGATGCCGGTGTTGCCAGTTCATGTCAAGCATTACAGACACCAACATGTAAACTCACCGAACTTAATCTGGGTGGTAATCAGATCACCGATGCCGGTGTTGCCAGTCTATGTCAAGCATTACAGACACCAACATGTAAACTCACCGAACTTAATCTGGGTGCTAATCAGATCACCGATGCCGGTGTTGCCAGTCTATGTCAAGCATTACAGACACCAACATGTAAAGTCACCGAACTTAATCTGCATGCTAATCAGATCACCGATGCCGGTGTTGCCAGTCTATGTCAAGCATTACAGACACCAACATGTAAACTCACCGAACTTAATCTGCATGCTAATCAGATCACCGATGCCGGTGTTGCCAGTCTATGTCAAGCATTACAGACACCAACATGTAAACTCACCGAACTTAATCTGGATGAAAATCACATCACCGATGCCGCTGAGAACCGTCTAGAGTATATTTTGGAAGAAAAGAGTCGTATCTACCTTTCTTATGATGAAGAAGACATTGACTAATAATTCTGTTTTTGGAAAAGGTATACGAAAGTTCAAAGACATAGGGTTGACTTGACAGTTTCAATAGTGAACGCTTCAACGCTGTAAACGCGTTATCCTTTTGTTGTTCTTAAAATGCATTTATTACTTAATATTTGAATAAATAAGAGATTTTCATTAAAAAAATCACAAGATTCCGAGTACAATTTGGGATAAATTAGCATGAGTGAACTATTTAAAGGTCAACCAAATTGCATGCGCCCGTAAGGCGTGTGAAATTTTTAGTTCTTGAAAAATATACGAGTGCTTGTTTAACTAACGTAACCCTAACCCTAACCCTAAGCAAATTTTACGAGAAAAAACGTGATTATCTGTTAATAATGTACATGCAAAACTCTGTTTTCCTCTTAGTCGTGTTTATTTCGCGTCATGTCTTAGTGGCTTGGCCGCTTGCCTTTGTGCTGTTGCCGGAGTATTAAGGGTTTCACATCTCTCAGTCATAAGACAGCGCAAGTAAGCATTTTGTGCGATCGCGAATATTGCCTATCATAACCGGTTAAGGGCCAGACAAATGGGAGGGGGGGAGGGGGAAGGGATGGAGTGAGGGAAATAGGCTTGATGATATCCGTCTTTTTGTCTCCCCTTCGAAAATTATTTGATGTCGACAGTAATCTTTAGTACTTCGGGTACTTATCACAAAAAAGAAGTTCTTGATTTTGTTCACTGTTCAGGAGAACTGTGATGACCGGTCTATTGATAAAAACCATCAACAGTCCTCTCCCTCTCCTAGCTTTGACATAACGGAAAAAAGGAACAAAACAATCCAACTATAACAAAGTGAAAACCTTTATTCCACCACATGCCTAACTGACATCACCAAAAATGTTTCGTTTCGTAAGCGGGAATTTGATCTGAATCACAAACAAAGGAAAGTGTTTTTCCTGGGGCGCGACGTCCAATGCCCGAATATACGCTAGCTGCGTTCAAATTACTCTGAATGTGTTCTTGTTATTTTAATAATATGCAAACGCGAGCTAACTTTATGAAATCCAGCCTATTACTTACAAAATGTTTACATCATCGTCAATTTTCTGAGGCATTTTAATTTGAAAATGTCAAATCAAGATTTGTTTTGGTTGTCTGTTTCCTTACTTGTTTTCTTTGTCACTTCATAAACTGTTGAAGAAACTTCCTGAGCAATGCTTGAATTTCCAGCTTCCTTTCGCAAAATGTGGGGCAACTACCCAAGAAGGTGTTTAACCTTATGATTAACCTCGGTTCTCCTTTTTGAATCTTTATGGCTGCTCCAAGGTAAACTTCAATGACCAGAACAACTTCGCCTCTACCAACACAGACATAAGGCCAGGTTGTTAAACTGACAATCATCTATCCCAAAATGACGCATACTATTTTTTACTTCAGCGAACCAATGAAGTTGTCTAAATTGTATTCTGTTTCATACTGTTCCTCGTCCCATAGTTCTCCCAAATTTTCAATCATAGTTTTGAGCGAAGTCTTCCCAGTTGCATTCGACTGTTGTGCGCTTGGTTTTTCTCTCTTCTTTTCTTGGTCGACTGAAAAGAGATCCAGGAGTTGTCCAGTATCCATGGTCAATAGGCTTGAGTTGTCTTGCGAGATCACTGTGTTGGCGATGTTCAGTTTAAACTTCTGGAGTCTAACAGAACAAAAATGTCCGAATTGAAGACTCAATTTATAAAATATCTAAGTGTATAGTATGTTGTCACTTGACAATTAGGTTTAGAAACGAGCGGACAATGAGAATGTCTTTCATAAGTTTGAGAACAAAGGAAGACGCCAAAGAGGTGTTGACTGTTCTATCCACCTTGGGGAAATTGGAAAGCTGACGACAAGTTGTTAATAAAAACTGGATCACTGGATAATGCAATTTAAGAGTTTTCATTGGCTTAGCCATCATGAGTTATGAGTCATCACGCGCGCGCATGAAGACGAGTTAAATCGGAAGTGTTTTTATACATTGTAACATTCCGTTTTTCTTACAAAATGAAGTTGGGAATATTTATTTATAGTTTAAGCCATTTTTGATAAAACGGTCAATCTACTCGCTCTTGTTAGATATGAGATGATTATCGCCGACGAGGCCCGTCATCTCATATCCAACGGGCGCTCGTGGAATAATTGTGTATTAAGCGTTATTCCTTTTTACCGCTGCGTCAATGGGCAAGTGAGACACTTACATTAAAAAAAAAGAGTGGAAAAACGTTTGAGAAGCTAACTTTTCAAGCGTCACCCGCTTTCGGAAAAAACTTAACGAGCGTTAATGTTAGTCCTATCTCAGGATATCTAAATGGCTTAAAGAAGGAGGCTTCTCGTCGAGAGTGTAACGTAAAAAAAAACTATTTGCACTGTGCTGTATGATTCAAATAGTGCTGCTTTAAAACCTACCCCATAATCTTTTCCTCGAGTGTTCCCCGTGTAATCAATCTGTACACGTTTACAACCTTCTTCTGTCCAATACGATGAGCTCGGTCCATGGCCTAGAAAGATGATCGAAGCAATCAAGAAAAGGCAACTGATCGCATCTACCAAAAACAAAACTTGAGCAAAGTTGGTGAAAATCGGAATATACAGGGGGGAGGGAACAGGTTCAAAAGGTTGTTGGTTACGTACTTGTAGGTCCTTCATTGGGTTCCAGTCGTGCTCCACAAAGATGACCGTATCGGCACCAGTCAAATTCAATCCCAGTCCTCCAACATGTGTCGTCAACAATAGAATGTCAATTGAAGGATCGTTGTTAAATCTGAGGATAAAATAAGTCTCTAAGTAACAGAAAATCTGTTAAACGTCGCGTTTATTATCCCAAAAATGCGTTAAAAGCAGAAAATCGTTACCAGTCGGCCCATTCAGGGTGCATCACAGAAACCTGGCAATGATTTGTTCGTGGAGAAGCCATCTGTAGCATAGCAGTCTAGGTATGGCATACTTGTGAAAATGTCATGTACTTGTCATATAGTTGTGACGATTAATTACGTATGCTAATGTCGAGACGATATCTAGGGGAAGGCGTGCACCGAATACGGGAATTGTGTGTATAGGTTATATGTCGTAGGTTGTCTTGTAATATTGTTTGGATACCAGACCATCGTTTCCTCCCTTTGTTCCGCGAGATATTGGACCATGGCCAATAACCGGAACCGAAAAATCTCAAATAAAAGAACTCTCACCTTTGTACGAGCGAGTGACGCGAGCCCGCAGGCGTACTTCCATCTAGTCTGAGGTATGTCACTGTAGGCATATGTTTTCTGCGTGAATAAAGCAAACTGAATATAAGAAGCAGGCTAAGTTTCAAACCTTTACATCTTTCCACCCCCAAAGGCTGAATATTAATGAGAAGATTTACCAGCCACTCCGACAATTCACTTCGTATTAAATGAAGAGGGTTTGATAAAATGATACTTTGTCCTTGCAACACGTCGTACAAATATAAACTGTTTTAAACGTATTCGATCACCACAGCGACAACATGAGACGTAGCGGCGAGGTACTACCCACGAACAAGTACACATAGAGTCTTGTTCTGGTTAATTGTCAAATGGACAAACCAAAGACGACTGCAGCAATATCAATCAGCATGGCGAAAAAAAACAAGTTAAACAAAAAAAAACTGTTGCTCTTACTTAAGAAGATCATTTTCAACGATGTCTAACATGCTCTTTAACTGACAGAACAACAGCACCCGGTGTTGGGACACTACAGGGTCTGAAGACAGATCACTGGAGCCTGAGGATGAGGAGCTAACTCCTATCCCACAATCCATCAGCAGCTGCCTGTTGATCAATTTGTAGACAGAAAGAGAGAATTAGTTCAACTATAGTAACCTTAGGCGAACATCAAACAAAACTATTTTTCACAAACAGCTAAAGGTCAAACGCCTAAACGCCAACATATGTTATGACGAGGGAATATTCTTGATAGGAAAAAATGACTTCACTTTTCACTTCTAAGCAAAGTATGCTGCTATCAGGGTGACAGAATGCGCAGTAGTTTTTATGAACTGGTTACAAGGAAAGGATGAAAACAGAGAAGACCTTACATTAGGTGAGGGATTTTATGAATTTCATTCAAGTAAGAAACCGCCATTTTTAAGGAACTCAGAAATCAATGGTACTCTAGGCGTGCCAGTCTAAAAAGAGTACTTGCAAAAGTTCAAAGTCTATCCGTAAGCAATCCGTTAAAATATAATTGTTATGGTAACCGCACAATGCCTTGAAGTTACACTAACAAATAACCTGACTTACTTGAGAGCAACAAGTTTGGCGGCATGCTGAATATCCCGGATGGAGACATGTTGTTGATGTAATTGGTCCATAACTTTGGTGTATTCTGGATGATTGGCAGTGAGCACCAAAAGCGGGTGGTTGCATAGCTTGCGCAGGTACTGAAGAGCCTGGGAATTATTTACATGTCAGATTGAATGAATATTCATACTGCATAAGGTTATTTGTGGTAAGCACTGAGGACAGACTAGTGTCCATGATCAAATTCTCAATTAAACGAATAAAATAAACGTTGTATGGCAGTAAGAATGAAATCAATACTAACCTGGAAAACGTGAGGATTATCTTTGCTTGCTTTCTCGTTTTTGTTTTCTTCATCGATGTGAGAAACTGTTTCCTCCAAACCTTTCTTGACCTGAGACTTGGCGAAGTCTTCATATAACTGAACCTGTAAAACGAAAAAAAAATTTTCTTGAGTGAGAGGAACGATCTGGAGGGCAATTTTCGGAAATTCTCCCAAAAAATACCACTAAATACAAGGTGGAGATCCTTGAAACTTTCGCACAGCTGCTTGAATATTCATATCCTGTCGACAATTATCAAGTATTGTCGAAAACTATTATACATCGCCCCAGTGCGCACTTTGATTGTTGGCCATAACAACAGACTGACCTGTAGCGGACTCAGTTCACAGTAGTAATCTTGAATGATCTTAGGTGGAAGATCTTGCAGTACATCTTCTTTCAGGCGCCTCAATAGGAATGGTAAAACCTGACGATGAAGGGCCTCCATAGCCAAGGCCCCTAAGAATGGGACACATGTGTCAATACAGACCACGGTATCACCTCATTTATGATCCACAACGCCATGAAATCTTACTGAAAGGCGAACAGTCTACTCCTAGAGGACCTTCCATTTTCTACTTATTTACCAAATCGTTACCGAGGAGGGACAACTCGCTTTCTTTAGGGCGTGGTCTTTGGAATAAAAAGGGTGAAGCCGGCGAAAAATCAAGGGTAAAACCATCCAACATTTTCTATGATAGCTGAAAAGCGAGAGCGTCTTGCAGGAGCCGGTTTCACTTTTTTTCTGGTGGGGCACAACATCTATTGTCCTTTTTGTTCAACAAACGTTAAGCCGAATTTTAGGCTGCTGAAGTGGCTAACACATGTAACTAGCGGCTTCGTGGAACTCTTGAGTGGCGGAAAGAGGATTGGAGCTCTGACGTTCATTTAAATGTTTCTACTGCCTTATTTTTCATCACGGACCAAAAGCCACGCAGGCTTTGTGTTAGCTACTTAGTACTCAATTCACGGACACTCACCAGCTTCTTGTTCCTCAGAGGACGATTTTGCGTCTCTACTCTGTAGAATTGGTTTACCAAACCGAGACTAAAACTGCTTTTCACTTCCGAGAAAACCAGGCATTAAGAAATCAAACAATGACCACAGCTCCAGGACATTATTCTGAAAATAAAACATAAGCATGTCAACGGAAAGCAGCGTATCAAATCTTTACAAGACTGAACGAAGTAAAGCAATACAAAAAACTACAAAATTACGCTACTATACGGAAAGATAACTCATAACAAAGGAGTATGGCGAGAATGAAGCAAAAATGAACGACACATTAGAACGAGCAATGTCTCAATTGTCTCAATTTTTAATGTTGTGACGTAGAATATTTCAGAAACATGAACAACGTTTTGCTGTTCGACAGAAGCTGCTGACATTTCCTAACAGTATACGAGGCAGAGGAAAACATTTATCCACTTCTTTGTTTGTAAACGAAGAGGACTTTAGGATCTACATGTGGAACAACTGTTGGAGCATTGACTAGTCATCTTCCCATATTCAAATCGCATAGCTTCATTTGCTTAATAAAAGCCCCTCAATTCGTACTTGGATTGGTGTTCCCGAGAGTATAAGTCGATGACTGGCTCGTAGCTGCTTAATGACTTTAGCAAGCTAGAAGGAAAGACAAAAAAAAATCAAATTGAAAAACTGGAACTTAAGCCGCCCACCACGACCAATGTCGACATCAATGACGATGCATCACAAAGAGCTTGTTTACGATTCCGTCCTAACTGCTCAAAAGGGCTGATACTTGTAGGAACTTCTTACCATCCGCCTTTAATTTGAATACTGGACTACATCGCTACCGTTCCATTCAGACCTTTCCAAATCATTCTCAAGCAACAACCATCAATGAAACTTCAATGATAAAAAGAAAACCTGTTTAAGTTCTGTCAGAGAGATAACATATAGAGAATGCCAAATAAACGATATCTTCACCTCGACCAGTTTTTTTTTTCCTGTCAGGTCTCCTCAACGTTTGCTCTCTAGGGAAACACCAAGACGTAACCTACCTTTGTTTTTCCATTCTTTATAATGTGGCCCTCGTCAAGGACACAGTAGTTCCAGTGCACTGATCTGTTAGGACGAAACAAACGAGACATTCCGTTGTAATAACTGCTGCGCCTTAAGAATGTGTAATTTCATTTACCCTTCGGTAACTCTCCTTACCTGAAGAATTCACCATCGTTTCTTACAATATCGTACGATGCCACGACTAAACTGTGATTTTTGACCTTGTTACGAAGTCTAAGAAGAGAAAAGAAGAAAAAATTATTTTCATTGGTCGAATGTTGAGGTTCTATGGGTGTAGTTTGATCGGTAAGTTCCTGTTGAACCTGTCTCTCGCTTTCAGTGGCCGAGTAAAGGGGAACAAATTCTAATTGACTTTAAATAAGAATTGGACAATAATCATAGCCGCGGGTTGCTACAGGCATCACTTTTCCTAACAGTTCAAGAACTGGTCTAGTTATTCCTCTACGTAGAGTAACGAATGTAACTATTCAATTTCCCCTCAAACTACTCGCTCAGAATTTTCAACTATACTTGTATTTGTGCACACACCAAACAACTTCCTGTACTTCTTAGAAAGCAATGCACACCGTCAGCGAACACCAAACAGAGTCCCAGGACTAACCTCTGTCTCTCAGACGGCGGGCCTGTATAGTGCAATGGTTTAAGGAAATCTTTGTTAACAAACTTCTCCACCTCGTACACCCAATGTCCTGTTAGTGTTGGTGGGCAAATCACGAGAGAAGGCAAAGGTTTGCAATCACTATTACCCGTCTCCTATTCGGTGCAGAAAAAAGAGAGAAATGTCCAAACTGTGATTCACACGATTGAAATTCACTCGTTTGTCCCGCGATGTAGTTACTGATTTGAATTCGATTTAACACTGGACCAGGGCGTGAAATTAACTTTTTTTTCTGATAGCCACTTGGCTCCTAAATTCTTCAAAGTGGTAGCCAATTCAAAAAAAGTCGGTCGCCATTTTCAAAGACAAACAAAATCTTTCTTTACGCTGTCAGCGTTCTAGATAGACCATCCAAAATTAAGTTAGGGGAAAGATCTTTAACGCGCTACAAAGTGGACACTAGGATAGATGATATTATATACAACGTTCAGGCTCATCTAAATCCAAGATGGCGTCTAGTTATCGATCGAGATGCATGTGCTACGTTTTGGAAACAAACTTAACGAGGATGTTTGCCGCGGTTTTATCTTTTCAAATCTTTTTAATTCACTATATCTCTTGGTAAGGTTATGATGAAACGTTCTAGTCGCCAATTTGGCGACTAACTTTCAGGATTTGGTCGCCAAAGTGAAAAATTTAGGCGCATTGGCGCCTGTATTAGGCGCAATTTCACGCCCTGTGGACCCATTGCTATGCGCGAATAGTTTAAATTACTACGTGCGCCTAATGGGACTCATCACCTCAAAAAGAAAAAAGACCAGAAGTTTGGCAGCAGAAAGTGGCCATCATATGGTAACGTTAAACCGTAAGAGAACGTAGAGGACTTTATCTGAATAATCACGGCAAACATGGAACGAACATTTCAGTACAGTATTCTTTCCTCTGTTTTGTTTTGTTTCTCTTTTTTTTTTTGGAATTCCTGATCATTTGCAAAATCAACCTAGAGCAGAACTATTTGACTTGGTTATTGCTACATTTTGCCAGAATAAAGATAATCTCTTGTCACTCCCTAATAAGGAAACCAGAAGGAAAAAACAACTTCAATCTTTATCCAGACTGGATCCGTTGCCTGGGAGTCGAATACTGTACCTTGTATACTGTAGCTTTTTCATGGTGATCACCTGCTATGATACAAATAGACTGAAGAGTTTTACCAAGTCCCATGTCTGATCTCACTGTTAAGATACAAATCGAATCCAAAAAACAGACGGAGCTATTCCGATTTATCGAATTTAACTGAACTCAACTGTGCTGTTCTTTACTCAACTCCTCCAGCACCCTGCAATCATTAAGAGGTCTTGGAACGCAATTTATAGTGACATGAAAATGAGTCAATTATGTACGCGAATAATTTGGGCCGAAGTTTTAAAAGGAAAAGTAACGAAGGATACCATCGCATAGAATACCATGCAGCTTGTAACGGTTGAGAAAGGCCAGCCAGTTGACACCATCCTAAATATGAACAAAGTAGAAGAAACTCAAACAGATGACACTAGCAATGCCCATTATTCTTCACACTGAAAAAACATATGAGCATTCCCAACAAGATACCCGACAACACTGAGTTTTGGGAGACTTTTCTCGACTTTAATGAAATCAAATAGTTACGTTTTCTAAATGCTGCAGTTTAAATTGCACTTTATGCCAACTGTGCCCTCACCCTTCAAATCTGTAAATGATAGTGAGCTTCGGCAGACTGTGTGCTACCTTCGATAGGAGACAAGCTACCCTCGTCGCACACCGTTCAATATGTCATTTCAAATACAGATCACAAGTTTATAATTCCAACATGAATAAAGGCTTCGTGTTCGCTGTTTTCTTTGAGCACCCTACCTGTTGATATTTTCTCAGCTCAGCTTTGATAGGAACAGGAATAGTGTAATTCTCCACCTTTTTACCGTCCAAAAGTTGCTCCAGAAATTTTCGTTCCTTCTGTTTTTGCTCCACCATAGCTTTGGACATGCGGGGCGGGTCAGGAATACCAGACTACAGAAAACAACAGTTGAAAATTAGGGAAAACGAATATAGACTTAAGGAACTAATAAAATAGTCAAAGGGTTCCAGTTTAGGACTGCATGTCTTTCTATCCTAGCTCCGTCGAAATAAAATTACGAACCCTTCAGTACGAATCACATAAAAATCTCAAGTTGTGAGATATATGTCCTCTTTGTTCTTTTACCTCCGTTCCCATTAGAGGTGTCATCCAACCAAGAACATTACAACAACGATGAGGTGCACGGACCATTAAACCATGGCATTAAACAATGACATTTCTGTCAAACCTCTCGCTTAGATGGACAGGGTATATTCCGACAAAATAAAAGACAAGGCACACAATAGCGAGCTGTGTAAATTATAGCATGGTAATGCGCTCAGTCATTGTCAAAATGAAAGACTTAAAACTACTCAAACTACAAGTTAGCCTAAATACCTAAAGTGTGGCAAAACAGTATGTGGCCATAAACATCTTCGCACTGATCACTCATCCGTCCGAGCACAGGCACCACCAGGAGAACAACGTAAGGCACCGCACCCATTCCGAGCCGATCAATTACACCTAATGTAAAGCAACCAGTTAAGGATACCAACATGCGTGTGTATAGTGAAAACACAGCGAAAATAAACTCTACTCCAAAATGGCGAGCAGAAATGGACCAGTCACTATTTATCGTCGGGGGCGTGGGGAAGGGGGAGGATTTTAGGAGGGATCACTCGGTTTTCTGGGGAAATTGAGGGAGGATCAGTCTATAGGGGACTATGGAAAATTAACTGCCAATGAAGGGGGGGGAGTAATAAGAATACTACAAAGCTAAGGGGGTGGGGGGGGGAAAAACTGGTAAATCTTATTGTGACACGACCAAAAATCCTCCGACCTGAAATTTTTCTTTAATTGAATCATTCATACCACATCTGTACACAGCCAATATACGCTAAATTTAGACGGAAACGTCATTTCTGCATTAGTTTTGGTGCACTACAATAACTTTCTCGAGCATAACAATTGTTGTCAGCTTTTTAAGGATACAAGGTATAGCTTCTATAGCTCCTTGACGGTTCCTGATAACATCAGCAGTGCCCATCAAAGGTAAGATATCCTTTACCACTGTCTTTATGGTATCTTCGGTGGACACAGAGCACAGCACACCCAGGCACCTGGCTGCCAAGTGTCGCACTACACTGTAAGGGTGCTGAAGGCACAATACTATATTGGGGAGCAAATCTAAAATCTAAAAGGCAAAAATAAAGATTAGGACTAGTTTAGTCCATGTAGATAAGAATATCAAAGCCATTGTAACTACTAGAAGGAAAGAGCACAACATCTTGTGAGGAAGACCTTCTTTCCAAATGGCACTATACGCAAGCTCACTGAGAAAACCCAAAATGAGGAACGTTGTTGGTAGTGTTCAATGTTACCCTAGATAAGAGTTCCACATGCATTGCAGGTGTCAATACTTCAAGAACTTGTAAGTCATGCTCATCATTTTGTGCTAATTGAACAAACTGGGAATGGTTTTTGTCTCCAAGCAGTCCGTATGATTGGATTTTGCCACGGCTATTTGTAAGCAAATCATGTCATACCCACAGCAGTTTTACAAAAATCATGGACAGCTGGAAAAATACCACAGCATTGTGAAATAAGTTTAAAAAAAACTTAGTGGCAGTTTGGAGCCAGAGAATAATTTTGAATAATTAAACCATTCTATCATTTGACCATCCTTTCTTTCTCTTTCTACCTTTCCTCTTCCATTCTGCCTCCCGCCGGGGGCCATACACTGGACTGTGCGCCGTTTACTGGTCTTTGTTTGTACCCTTGTGTATGGCCTTCGTACATCTTTTTTTTTAAGTTTTTCACTAAAGCATGTACTAAGCCAAACAAGTCATGGCATAATGATATTTACTTGATATATGTTTTACCATGTCCTCCCCTCAGGTGTATGGCATTAGTTCATGACAACTGCCTGATACCTACAATAGACGAACCAGGTCTTGGCTACGTCCAGGAATCTTTGAGTAATCAATATGTCCCGGATGTTTTTTATAAAGTCGCTACCAAGCATGAACTTTATGGTGACAAAGCTTAGTCCAAGACGGTTGATTTTTCTGTTTGCTTATTTATTTGTGTTGCATTTCCAGACTGCTGACTTGTACAGTAATGAAGCAGCTCTTTTAGCTCGCCCTATGCCTATGGAATATCTCTATTTCGCATACTATTGAATGAATAACATGAGTTAATTTAAACAAGAAGCATTTACACGTGTAAGTGAACATAATGTGGCATGTTTTTTGTTGGTTTCATAGTTTAGATCTCGTTGTGTGTGTGTTTGTTCCATTTTGTTGTTTGTCTTTGTTGATATGTTTACTCCTCCTTTTTTTAAAAATTTCTATTTTGTTTTTCCTTCAGGTGCCGACTGCTTTTCCAAGAGAACCTCAGTTTACTTTCTCCAACCAAAGTCAGGGAGAACCTTTCCCACTTACGAACCACTCAAGTATGGGAGAAGGTCAGGTAACAACATTATGAGCAGTTTTAACACTTCAAAAATATCCCGCATATTATTGAAGTTATAAAAACCCAGAGAATATGGTCCGACATTTTAACTGTTAAGTGCTGATGCAGAGATGTAGCTAAAGTTTTTAACAGGCGGGAATCTAACAATGATAGGCGGGTATTTGGGTCGAAGGCCCACTCTAGCGTGCCTTTGGCACGCTATAGCTAGGGGGGTCCGGGGGCATGCCCTCCCTCCGGGAAATTTTGAAAATGCGTACTTTCGGAGATGCATTTTCCTTGATTTTGGGGGCAAAATCAAGGGCATTCAGGACAGACTTTTATCAGGTAACAGGTAATAAAGTTATGATGAACTGGAGTGTTGACTGTTTTTATTGTTTATTAATATCTAATTAACTGAAACCCAGAATGATAAGTAACATTTGTTTCAATTTTAGAACTTAGCGTGTTTCTTTCGGTAGACTCAAATAATGTCATGATACCAACGGCCTCAGAATCATCTTTCTTTTTTTTTCCCGACATTATAGAGCAATAATATTTCAACCGTTAGAGACACGCAATTATTTGGCATTCATTATTTCGCATACAAGAACTACAAATACCGCTAGCCGGCTTCCGGCTATTATCTACATCCCTGTCTGATAGGTGAGGAGATAAATGTACAGAGAGGTTTCCATCAAAGCTGGTCACAGGTGGTCTACCACCATACGTAAGACCTCTTCCGTTTGTCTAGCCTGTCTATGAGTTTTGCCTGAAGCCTCTTTTCTGGGCACAGCGACTGTAACACCATCAGCAGCCGATTGTGGTTAAATATTTTGAAACACCTGGAAACGTGATGAGAGTACAGTACTTTGACTGTTTACATCACAAAGTATCCAACCATTGCTATCCACTGTTGCTATCTAAATTATATTGTGATGCAGGGCGTGTGTTCAAAAATAGCGCTAAAAATGGACAAGAACAGCTCACAACGAGCCATATCTGAGTTGCTTGGGGGCATCGTTATAAAATGTGGGCCTATTTGCTATAACCATATACTTGCAGAGGTGTTACGTTTCATAATAAAGGTATTTTTCAACCGCTGTTTGCTATGTGAGGTAAGAATTGTACTTAGCTCTGTACTTTGGTGCAATTCCTGTAATTCTGTGTTTATTTTCTTTTCCCTTGTGTGCAGGATTTTCACGCTTTAGTGAGATACTTAAACCAGTTCCCTCCCGGTGAATTCCTACCTGCTATGTCCAATTTTCACCTCTTAGTTTTTCTGGCAACTTCCAACATCCTTCCTTTAAAGGTAATGTTTATGTGTTGGCTTCGAGCCTGTGATGAGATCACAGCTAATGAATTGCAACGAGATGTTTTGTAGCCAAAGTCTGGTTTCAGAGTCAAATCCATAAAACAGCAAAGAGAAGCTTTAAATTCTGTCTTGAAAAACCCCAGAACCACAGCAACTGCAAAGGGCAAGTGGAAAATACGAACTTCAAGGCAACAAGATAAGCCAGTATGAACTGGCGTGATGAACACAATGGCAAGCTCTAAGCATGAGGGGGTTGTGGCTGTAAACCTTAGAGGATTTTCACCACTCACAACGTAATTTAACCCTTTACACCCTAACATCAGTACGCATATTCTCCATACTGTTCTGTACACATTTCCTAAGTTGCCAACATGGAGAATTTGCCCTCAGGAGCTTCTTTAGTCAGTTATCAGTTCCTTTATTCTCCTGACCTTAATGTTTGATTCAGGCATGATATGGTAAGGAGAAATTAGATGCCAGTCACTCTCAGGGGTTCAAGGGTAAAAAAGCCTGAATCAATCTGTAGCTCGTATAACCGAGGGAAAAATCAAGGCTAGATTCAATTACTTCTACTCGCACTTAATGTACGTTAAGGTTTTCATGTCTCACTTTTGTTGATTATTTGTGTTGTGGCAGGATCACTTAGGAGATCTGTGTATGGCGATCAGAAACAAAGATGCTGAATTGGCTCGTCGCTGGTGTAAAAGTGAACAGTGGTGCACTGTGATACAGCTTATGCAAGTAGCAAATGGTAAAATGGTTCCCACAATATCTTTTTTTCTTTCCTATTATTTTCTTTTCATCTGGTTTTGTTTTTTTTTTTTTTTTTTTTTTGTTTATTGAATTCACCCAACCTCCAGAGAGAGGATCCATACACTGGTACCGATTGGTTAAGTTTTTTTTTACTAGTTCAACAACTATTTTTTTAACAGTACGATTTTAATAAAATTGGGACCAAGCGCCTGCAGTATATTCCTTTTTTTGTTGTTTTTAGTAAAAGTAAATTCCGTATTGTTATTTTAGTTTTCCCTTTTATCAATTAAGATATCATATCAGAAATCTATGCTTACGGTTAAAATATTCCCTCCCCTAGCCCCCTCGCCAGAGCCACGAGGATCAGGGGACGTGGACATGTTTGATATGTCCCATCCCCCCCAGTGGTGCAGGCTGGTCGTGCAAGCACTGTACGTTTATGAACCAACACGGACACGAGAACTGTGACATGTGTGGCTTGCCTCAACACTGAGAAAAGTGATTAAAAGTTTGTTGGAAATCATTATTACTAAAAGTCAAGATAAAGCTGCAAGACAGACAACAAGGCACAGAATTCAGATAATTGTCTAGTTCGGCTCCGCTGAACATATTTTGGCTTTTTGAGAAGTTCCGCTAAAAACGTTTCTATTTCATCGCCAGCGGAATTGCTGACGGCACCGTTGAAAATGCATCCCTACTTCTATTCACCATATTTAACTGAAAAATAATTGATACCAGGAGGCGAAACAGCGCGTGCTGAAACCAATGGAGATATTTCAGACGTTGCTCTACTGGTGTAGTGCTCTATACAGTGAATGAAAGGGTGTGACTGAGGTGTTTTGTGGATGCAAATAAAGCAGGCGTCGTTTCTGAGATTTGCAAATGTGTGTATTTATTGGAATATGCGCATGATCACAAGCTGTACTTACAATCTAGAACATGCTTTACAGTAGAGCATTTAAAGATTATCAAGTCCTTTGAACAGTATAGATGAAGGTGTGGGCTTAAGTAATTTCTCGTTTTTTGCTTCATCGTAAAAATACCCACGAAATGGAATTTCTTCAGATGGGAGGCAGTTCAGGCCTCAGTTTCATAAATGTTAGCACACAAACGGATTTTTTTTCACGTTTTTTCGACTTGAATAAAGGTGAAATTGAATGCAGAATGGAATAACTATTACTGCACCCGACGTTGAAAATTTATGTTTAAAACGAATTTTCAAGTGATACCATGAATTCATGACTGAGGTTAACTCACTCGCTCGTCGCCAAGTAGTCCTTCGAAAGGTGAATGCTCCCAATCAGAATTAATAATTGAAATATAATAATGATAAAAGAAGAAAAAGACGTCACACCTTACCCGAGGCAAGCTGGACTACCGTATTTATTCGGCTATAAGGCGAACTCGGCTGTAAGCCGAGACCCCAAACTTTGTACGTGTAGATTTGGCATGACGAGAGCCAAAAATAAATCGAAAACACCGAAAACACTCGCTCAGCGTCTCCCAGAAGATTTGGAGCAGCAAACAGTCAAGTGCTATCGATTTGTAATCACATCCCGTCAGCGTCACGGTTATTTCCAAACAAGAATCTTTAACATGGACGAGACACCGATGTGGTTCGAACTACCATCCAGTCGCACTCTCGAATTCGAATTTAAAGTCAATAACCAATGATTGCATATTGTGTTTCTTTACTTTACCTTGGCTTATAAGTAAATACATCCCGATTAAGTAGAGTTTACAAATCTAGTCTCGGGCTCTCTTGAGGCAGGTCATCAGTGCCAATCCACAAAATTGATGGAGCGCGTACTCTGTCTCGAGGATATACGAAACTGCTCTAGTTCCCCCATCCACTGCGTTGCCCAGACAGGAAACCTTTATAATTGTAAACGAATTTCTTTACGATCTGGCATGAAAAAATGATCTGGTTTATCTTGGGAGTGACCATCAGCTTTACAAGATTCAAGATTACGAGGTCTCATGAGAACATTTATTGCAAAACAGTTCCTTTCTTTTCTCTCTCTTTTTTTTTTTTTTACATCCGTGGTTCCTCTCATTTAAAGTAAATGACCTTTCAACAACAATAACGACAACAAAAAAGCCATGGTTTAGTTGCGTTTTTCCAGGCGAGTGGAAGCAAACGCAAGGGGGGGAGGGAGGAAAGGAGTGGCTTGTTCTTTTGAACTTCTCTCTTCGCGTTACTCTCGCTCCGCGCGTCCGCCTCGCGCTTTCTTCCGTTAGCCTGGAAAATCGACACTTGTTCTGCAGTCTACGCCATCTTTCGTGAAAGGTATCCATGGTTACTGAAGTTTTAGTCTTGCCATGTCACGCTATCCGATAAATCACGCGATCTAAGTGTTTGAAAACCATCAGAAGCAAAATTTCACCAAAAACTCCGAGAAGTGGAGCTAGCACTCTGTAATTAATGTGTTCAGTAGAAATATAATTTCCATAGAAGCGTCAAGATATGACGCAAAACTATTGAGCGCAGAGCAAAAGGTTAGTGTTTCGAAACTGAAGGTGTCAGCTTACTGAAAACCACTCCTTAAAATTGTCTGCGTCATTTGGTGATGAAATCCGTTCGAATATGAGATTTCACTTTCGGCCAAAAGTGGACAAACCTTTATCTCGACTAATTTCATTCTATTCTGATGATTGCTGAGACATCGAAGTCTGACTGAGCCAAATGAACGTATGTTGCAAGGAACTGATTCGAAGCTGATAACTAGGTGAAAACGTTATACTTCCATGACCGCAAACCAATTGCAAGTGGGCCTCCGAGCGAGAGCTTCAAGTCAACCTTTGGAGGTAAGAGTTTATGGATTTTATTCCATATTGAGTTGAGTTTCAGTTTGAGCAGGTTCTTTCTGTTAATTACATCCTGTCTTAAACACATCATTACGACCTCAAGTGAATCTACGCCGCGCTAGCAAGCAGTTTACCTTCCCGATTTTCTTTCGGTGGGTTGGGGTCGGCTGCACACAGGCTAAATTAAGCATGAAACTTCAAAAATACGTCCCTAAGGATGGAGAAAATCGCTTATACAGTCGAATGATCGATTCAGTTTTACCAAGTTTGTCGAAATCATTCAACTGAAATCGGGTCATATGTTTGTGGAACGATTAAAATCAAAGTCTTGATAAAGTCCCGATACGCGACAGATCACTTACAAGCACGACTCGACTAGAAACTGAAAATAACATTAAGATTTGGATCACACAGGAGTGTTAACCAATCCAGTATTCACCATCTCTGAAAAAAAACGCTGAGTAATTTAGTTTATGTCAAGTTAACGGTGGTTTCAATATTAGCTTCGTTTATACAATCGCCACAGCACCTCGTGCTATTTTGTATTCCCCGTTCATGCTGTATTGTTCTTCATTTGTTCATCTGCTACCACGTCGTTCTCATGAGTCTCTACCCACATGATACATAGCAATCGAATTGTGGAATAAGTTACATGCGAACAATTTCTCCCTTCAATGTAAAAGGATAGTTGTTGTGAGGACATAGAGCTTATCGTTGATCATGAGGAACATTGAATCAGTATGTTCTGTTTTGATGTTTATCAATGTCATCGATAGGAATTTTTGCGAAAAATTGGCTTCGGTTGATGATTATGTCTCAGGATAATAACATACGTATACAGTGATTTCCTTTAAGAATCAATTTATCATAATGAAATATTATCGAAGGCCAAAAACGCACCGATGTAAGAGTAAACATGTGATTAGATTGAGTTTATTTCATGAATTTTGCCACAGGTTAAACAACACTGAAATGTAAAGGAGTATGGTGGAATTTTGAATCCGCAGAAATTATTTTTTTTCCCGGATGCGATCAACTATTATCTTCTCCTTACATTATTTCAATATTTGAATACATTGTAAAACACGCTGGTGATTGGAATTAGGAAGCTATCAGCCAAAAGGCCCGGAATGCTGCCCTTACCGGCTAGGAGGAGAAGTTTTACTCGGATCTCTGTAAGAAAAGGCCAATTTGATTTTCAAGATATGATATGTCACGCTTTTTTTAAGTCACCCAAAAGCAGATTTGAAGAGCGTTTGCAAGCAATTTTAATAGAGCAATCAGTGATCCAGAAGTATTTAAACTAGTTTAATGTAATACCCTTGCTGGCCTTGAGATGAATTTTTGGAAGTGTGGATAAAAAGTTGAGATATTAAAATCGAACATCAAACTTACTGAAAATTTTGTCTGGGTCAATTGATGTTTTCAATCGGATATCTTATTCATTCTACCAGTGCTGAGCCAGGGAGTCTGACGAACAAACAGCAACCAATTTCTTGGTTAAAGAGTCATTAACCTTTGCTCAATTAACGATCCAGTATTTCTTCATGGCCACCGCTGCAGCACCTTCGTTTCATTCGACAAAAGAGACAACCAATTACGCCCGCTTATGCAGGCTTCTAGTGGGTGTCAGTGCACATATCTTGAGAGAGACATTTGACAAAAGGCGTCCGCCAGGAAACCTGGATACAGTTTTGTCCAGTCCTCCGATTCATCGAGTGCTAAAATCACTCCGAAATAAAAAAATACTCAATCCTTCACAATGGGACAAACTGTACCCCGCCATCAAGTCTTCAGTTTCATCAAAGAATTTCGATATCACACTACTGATGGTCCTGCTGAGGAACATTTGTGGTCTTGCTCCTCCAGCTACCGGCTGGGATACACTTCCTCCTGCAGCAGACACAACCCTTGAGGCAGATATCGTTCGTATCAAGTGCTACAGAAACACAGTTTATGGTCATGCCAGCGAGGCCTCAGTTGATGACCCAACATTCAATCAATATTGGCAGGACATCCAAGATGCATTGGTGAGACTGGGAGGAGCTGGTTATCAGAGTGCTATTGATGATCTGAAAAAGGAATGCATGGACCCTGATTTCGAAGAACACTATAAAGAGCTTCTTAAAGAGTGGGTAGTTGATGAATTCAGCATCAAAGAAAGACTGGATGAAATGGCAGAGCACTTTGGTAAAAGCCTGGATGAATTAAAGGAGGCAATCGTTAACCCTATAAAGAAAGCAGGAGACAAAGGTATTGTGTGTTAACAGTAAAATCTGTGCAACGGCTTTTTGATCTTTCATGAGAAAAGAAATTTGAAGAGGAAGATTGAAGGGCCTCTCATCAGAGGGTAATGAGCAATTTAGCAATCAGTTCATTACAGTATTATAAAATGCCTACCTTTAAAAATAACTCAAACTCGGAGAAATATCTTCCACTGGAACTGATCCATTTCTCTCTGACTCAAAATTGAAAAAAAGACCGGGTGTTGTGTTTTCCATGTTTTTTTCGGGTGATAAGCGAGTTAGTTATTTTTTTAATGTTTTTTTTTTGTTCCTCGTGCGGGAAGTAAAGAGAATTCATAGTTGAAATAGGTTTAAAAAAACCCTAGTACGTCTGATAATATTCCTGGTCGGGTTCGTCGAAAGAAAGAGATGGAAAAAAAGCTAAAGTTCTTAATGAAGTGGAGACGACAGGACGCATTCTCTCCCCAAAGTGTACTTAAGCCTTACTTAATCTCCAGCGTAAAAACAAAAACTATGTGTTTTCGAAGTCAAAATCGGTTCCTCCCGTACCACAAATTCCTGGATCCGCTCCCGAAATGGGCCGGTTAGTGTCGGTAATCATATGATTTCGAGTACAATTTTTATAGGTAATCACAAGATTTCGAGTGCAATTTGGAATAAATAAGTATGAGTAAATTTAAATTTTTTTATTATTTTTTTTATTATTTTTTAAATTAAAGACTAACAAAATTGCACGAGCCCGTAGGGCGAGTACAATTTGTGGTCTTTGAAAAAATTAACAAATGCTTGTTTATTCCAAATTGCACGAGAAAAATCATGCGATTACGTGTTAATAATATACATGAAAAAATACGAGATGGCTTAACATAATTAAGCATAAGCAAAGCGCGCGCATCAAGTGCAAAAAAACAACCGCGTACGATCAAAACAATAATATGTAATGATATCCTCACATCTTTAAGGCGCAAAAAAGTTCAAAGTCCGGCTAAACAGTTCAAGGAATTGTTCAGTCTGTGTCCGAATCACTTTCGATGAAATGGAATCGTCATTTCCGAGGTTTAACCATATTCGTTTTTAATTTCGGCGTTGGATCGCTCGAGCAAAGTGTTTAGCTGGGTCGGCTCGTAATTTTCGATTTCCTTGCCAATTCCCTTCTCTAAGCACCACTTTTTCCAAACCGACAACCAAGAAGAAGTGCTTTTTACAGTGTTTTTGTTGTTTGAGCTGTTTTTCAGCCGCGGTGGCGAAAGAAAACCTACTTAAAACGCCGGCCATTGTTTCGCTCGGCCATTGTTTCCCCTTCTGCACTGAATTAACTCTCTTCTACACTGAATTACCTGAAAACTGCAGGTATCTTTATCAATCAGAACTGAGTAATTTTTCCATGTATATTATTAAGGATAAATAAGCACGAGTAACTTTTTGAAATGCGAGCAAATTACACGAGCCAGTAGGGCGAGTGCAATTTGTAGATTTTGAAAGATTTACAAATGCTGCTTTATCCCGAATTGCACGAGGAAAATCATGCGTTTACTTTTTGATAATATACTAGCAAAGATAGGACTCTGTTTTCCTCTCTGGTTTTTTTTTTTCGTGTCATGGCTCACTAGTTCGGCCGGGATTAATTGACGTGTTCTCAGCCAATGAACGTTCTCAAATGTTTGCACACATATTAATCAAAATGAAATAATTTAACCTTTACACCAACCCCCTGTTACGCTTTTCTAATTGCTCTGTCAGAATTTGATGTCAATTAATTGCCAACGGATTCAAAATTAACTTGCACTTTTTGGAAAGCCTAGTTAAAGCAAAACTCAGCTAGCGTGATAACCAATCGCGTTGCAAGTCAGGCAGTTCAATAACTGTTCGCCGAGTATTGGAAAAGTTAATACATGAAGGGTTCATGAAAATAAATGCAGGTAATGGTTTTCTTTTCAGCTGTAGCGGAATACTCCGATGCGTTGAAAGAATCAATAAAAAGCCAAACCGAGTACCTCGCTCAGGCCTCACCAAATATGTCCAATGTGAGAACAGATGACATATTCACCAACATTCTCATGCAACATGGAAGAAAGCCAGTCAAAGATCTTGATGTGAAACGAAAAGAACGCCTTCGCCAGTACGGTCAAATAAGTGGAAAGCAAATTAAAAGCTCTCAAGAAATTTTCATCCCAACCGATGGGAAACATCCAGAATCTGTTCTTGTCACTGGAAAGGCAGGCATCGGTAAAACACTGTTTTGTCAAAAGTTGATCAAAGATTGGGCTGACAACAAATTGTTTCGATCCAGAGCAAATGCAGAAGTACCTGATTTTAAGTTTACATACTTGCTCACGTTCCGTCAGCTTAATCTACTTGGGGACGACCCTGTTACCTTGAAGGATATCTTAAACCGATCTTCAGTGCTAGATGACCACTCAAATATCGACGACTCTATATTTGAGTACATTCTTCATCATTCCGAAGAAGTTTTGATTATCATCGACGGGTACGACGAGTGTTCACAACGACAGTACATCGCTAGTGATTCGGATGAAAAGTACCCAAATAACGCCAAAGAGAAAATGCCAGTAGCGGCACTGTGTGCTAAGCTTATCAAAGGAAAAATACTGAGAGGTTCGGTCGTCATGATCACTTCAAGACCCGACGAATCTGACGAAATGAAAGCCAAAGATATCTATTTTGACAGATACCTTGAAATTACAGGATTTTCCGAGCCACAGGTAAAAGAATACATTGGAAAGTATTTCAAAAACAACGACCGAATGAAAAACATTGTAATGGACCACATTACAAAGAATGTCAATCTTGTCAGCTTTGCCCACGTTCCTGTGCTTTGTTTTCTTATGTGCTCTTACTTTGAATATACTCTACAGCAACCAAAGAAGAATAATCCTCTCCCGGTGAAAACAAGTGACCTCTATGATGAAGTGGTCCACATGTTTGTGCAAAAGCACGATAGAAAGAAAAGCGCCTCTGTCGAAGAGACTCTGGATGAATTATCAAAGCTGGCAGCTCAACTCCTTGAGGAGAGAAAGTTTCTTTTCCTTAAAGAGGATTTGAAAACTTTGAACTTACACGAGCTTGAAAGTCTGTGTGGAAGCGGTCTTCTTCATTGCGGTCCTCCTTTCAGAACATCTTTTTCTGCGACGACTAAACATTTTTGTTTTACGCATTTGACTCTCCAAGAGTACTTAGCGGCTCGTTGGTTCGTAAAGACAAGAAAAATCCCACCTGGAGATGTGTCCACAGAAGTAGTTCTATTTATGTCCGGTATTTTGTCCAAGGAGGAAGACAACGAATTTGTGAAAAAGTTGATTATCGAGAAAATTCTCAGCGTCTCATTGACAGATACAACTACAAAGGGGTTATTAATTTCCAAGTGTCTTCTACAATACGAAGACATCGAGTTCTCCAAGGAAATAGTAAAGGAATTTCGCAACGTATTCTGCCCACGTGTTGGACATTTTGGTCTTTCTGGCTTCGAGAGGGCCAATGTGGACTGCATGGCTGTGTCCTTTGCATTAAATGTTTTTGGTGCACTTAATGCAGAGGACGAACCTGAATGGAGTAGAATCACCACTCTTAGCCTAAGTGATCAGAATGTCGCCAATTTTGCCAGTCTATGTCAAGCATTACAGACACCAACATGTAAAGTCACAAACCTTCATCTGAACAATAATCATATCACCGATGCCGGTGTTGCCAGTCTATGTCAAGCATTCCAGACACCAGCATGTAAAGTCACCGAACTTGAACTTGGTTGCAATCAGGTCACCGATGCCGGTGTTGCCAGTATATGTCAAGCATTACAGACACCAACATGTAAAGTCACCAAACTTGATGTGGCTAGTAATCAGATCACCGATGCCGGTGTTGCCAGTCTATGTCAAGTATTACAGACACCAACATGTAAAGTCACCGAACTTAATCTGCGTGATAATCAGGTCACCGATGCCGGCGTTGCCAGTATATGTCAAACATTACAGACACCAACATGTAAAGTCACCAAACTTCTTGTGGGTGGTAATCAGATCACCGATGCCGGTGTTGCCAGTCTATGTCAAGCATTACAGACACCAACATGTAAAGTAAACGAACTTCTACTGGCTGGTAATCAGATCACCGATGCCGGTGTTGCCAGTCTATGTCAAGCATTACAGACACCAACATGTAAAGTCACCTCACTCTATCTGTATGGTAATCAGATCACCAATGCCGCTTTTAACCGTCTAAAGTATATTTTGGAAGAAAAGATTCGTAACATGAAAAGTCACCGAACTTGATCTGGGTTGCAATCAGCTCACCGATGCCGGTGTTGCCAGTATACGTCAAGTATTACAGACACCAACATGTAAAGTCACCAAACTTGATGTGGCTAGTAATCAGATCACCGATGCCGGTGTTGCCAGTCTATGTCAAGCATTACAGACACCAACATGTAAAGTCACCAAACTTACTCTGTATGGTAATCAGATCACCGATGCCGGTGTTACCATTCTATGTCAAGCATTACAGACACCAACATGTAAAGTCACCGAACTTCTACTGGCTGGTAATCAGATCACTGATGCCGATGTTGCCACTCTATGTCAAGCATTACAGACACCAACATGTAAAGTCACCTTACTCTATCTGTATGGTAATCAGATCACCAATGCCGCTGTGAACCGTCTAAAGTATATTTTGGAAGAAAAGAGTCGTATCTACCTTTCTTATAATGAAGAAGCTATTGACTAATAATTCTATTTTTGCAAAAGACATACGAAAGTTCAGACATAGGGTTGACTTGACAATTTCAATAATGAACGCTTCAACGCTGTAAACACATTATCCTTTTGTTGTTCTTAAAATGCATTTATTGCTTAAATTAAATTTTTTAAAAAATAAATCACAAGATTTCGAGTACAATTTGGGATAAATTAACATGAGTGAACTATTCAAATGCTAAACAAATTGCAAGAGCCCGTAAGGCGTATGAAATTTGTCGTTCTTGAAAAATATACGAGTGCTGATTTAACTAACATAACCCTAACCTTAACCCTAAGCAAATTGTACGAGAAAAAACGTGATTATCTGTTAATAATGTACATGCCAAACTCTGTTTTCCTCTTAGTCATGTTTATTTCGTGGCATATCTTGGTGGCTCGGCCGCTTGCATTTTTTTTGCTGTTACCGGAGTAGTAAGGGTTTCACATCTCTCAGTCATAAGACAGCGCAAGAAAGCATTTTGTGCAATCGCAAATATTGCCTATAATAACCGGTTAAGGGCCAGAGAAATCGGAGGGGGGGAGGGATGAAGTGAGGGAAATAACCTTGATGATATCTGTCTTTTTGTCTCCCCTCGAAAATTATTTGATCACGACTGTAATTTAACCCTTTATTTACAATTTTAAAAGAGTTCAAGTCTATTTGCATCACAGAGAGAGCGTAATGCGCCGAGTCAGGATTCGGTCTTCTTGAAGTTTTTGTTTTTGTGTTATTTTCACGACCGTTCTAAATATTTCCCACCTTATTTTACGCTTGGTGACCTTCGAGTAAACTTTGACTTGGACTGCTTAGATTCGTTAAATTCGTTCGTTAATTGGAACACATTCCAAAATCCTCCCTTAACCTTCTGTTCCCCACAGTTCCACAAACAGTTCCCCACCCTGCCTGGGTCTAGTCATCGTTTAACTGGGATTCATCGAGTCTTTATTCCTAATTGAGTAGGAGTTTTTGAACTTCACATCCAAATGCTTAGATTGTAGCCATTCTTACTGAAGATTCAAACGGATACTTCGGGTACTAATCACAAAAAAAAGTTCTTGATTTTGTTCGCTATTCAGGTAAACTGTGATGACCGGTCTATCGATAATTCTAGCTTTGACATAACGGAAAAAAGGAACAAAACAATACAACTATAACAAAGTGAAAACCTTTATTCCACCACATGCCTAATTGACATCACCAAAAATGTTTCGTTTCGTAAGCGGGAATTTGATCTGAATCACAAACAAAGGACAGTGTCTTTCCTGGAGCGCGACGTCCAACGCCCGAATATACGCTTGCTACGTTCAAATTACTCTGAATGTGTTCTTGTTATTTTACTAATATGCAAACGCGAGCTAACTTTATGAAATCCAGCCTATTACTTCCAAAATGTTTACATCATCGTCAATTTTCTGAGGCATTTTTAATTTGAGAATGTCAAATCAAAATTTGTTTTGGTTGTCTGTTTCCTTATTTGTTTTCTTTGTCACTTCATAAACTGTTGAAGAAACTTCCTGAGCAATGTTTGAATTTCCAACTTCCTATCACAAAATGTGGGGCAACGACCCAAGAAGGTGTTTAACCTTTCGATTAACCTCGATTCTCCTTTTTGAATCTTTATGGCTGCTCCAAGGTAAACTTCAATGACCAGAACAACTTCGCCTCTACCAATACAGACATAAGGCCAGGTTGTTAAACTGACAATCATCTATCCCAAAATGACGCATACTATTTTTTACTTCAGCGAACCAATGAAGTTGTCTAAATTGTATTCTGTTTCATACTGTTCCTCGTCCCATAGTTCTCCCAAATTTTCAATCATAGTTTTGAGCGAAGTCTTCCCAGTCGCATTCGACTGTTGTGCGCTTGGTTTTTCTCTCCTCTTTTCTTGGTCGACTGAAAAGAGATCCAGGAGTTGTCCAGTATCCATGGTCAATAGGCTTGAGTTGTCTTGCGAGATCACTGTGTTGGCGATGTTCAGTTTAAACTTCTGGAGTCTAACAGAAAAAAAATGTCCGACTTGAAGACTCAATTTATAAAATATCTAATTGTATAGTATGTTATCACTTGACAATTAGGTTTAGAAACGAGCGGACAATGAGAATGTCTTTCATAAGTTTGAGAACAAAGGAAGACGCGAAAGAGGTGTTGACTGTTCTATCCACCTTGGGGAAATTGGAAAGCTGACTGCAAGTTGTTATTAAAAACTGGATCGCTGGATAATGCAATTTAAGAGTTTTCATTGGCTTAGCCATCATGAGTTATGAGTCATCACGCGCGCGCATGAAGACGAGTGAAATCGGAAGTGTTTTTATACATTGTAACATTCCGTTTTTCTTACAAAATGAAGTTTGGAATATTTATCTATAATTTAAACCATTTTTGATAAAACGGTCAATCTACTCGCCCTTGTTAGATATGAGATGATTATCGCCGACGAGGCCCGTCATCTCATATCCAACGGGCGCTCGTGGAATAATTGTGTATTAAGCGTTATTCCTTCATAAATAAACTTTTACCGCTGCGTCAATGGGCAAGTGAGACACTTACATTAAAAAAAAAAGTGGAAAAACGTTTGAGAAGCTAACTTTTCAAGCGTCACCCGCTTTCGGAAAAAACTTAACGAGCGTTAATGTTAGTCCTATCTCAGGATATCTAAATGGCTTAAAGAAGGAGGCTTCTCGTCGAGAGTGTAACGTAAAAAAAAACTATTTGCACTGTGCTGTATGATTCAAATAGTGCTGCTTTAAAACCTACCCCATAATCTTTTCCTCGAGTGTTCCCCGTGTAATCAATCTGTACACGTTTACAACCTTCTTCTGTCCAATACGATGAGCTCGGTCCATGGCCTAGAAAGATGATCGAAGCAATCAAGAAAAGGCAACTGATCGCATCTACCAAAAACAAAACTTGAGCAAAGTTGGTGAAAATCGGAATATACAGGGGGGAGGGGACAGGTTCAAAAGGTTGGTAGTTACGTACTTGTAGGTCCTTCATTGGGTTCCAGTCGTGCTCCACAAAGATGACCGTATCGGCACCAGTCAAATTCAATCCCAGTCCTCCAACATGTGTCGTCAACAATAGAATGTCGATTGAAGGATCGTTGTTAAATCTTAGGATAAAATAAGTCTCTAAGTAACAGAAAATCTGTTAAACGTCGCGTTTATTATCCCAAAAATGCGCTGAAAGCAGTAAATCGTTACCAGTCGGCCCATTCAGGGTGCATCACAGAAACCTGGCAATGATTTGTTCGTGGAGAAGCCATCTGTAGCATAGCAGTCTAGGTATGGCATACTTGTGAAAATGTCATGTACTTGTCATATAGTTGTGACGATTAATTACGTATGCTAATGTCGAGACGATATCTAGGGGAAGGCGTGCACCAAATACGGGAATTGTGTGTATAGGTTATATGTTGTAGGTTGTCTTGTAATATTGTTTGGATACCAGACCATCGTTTCCTCCCTTTGTTCCGCGAGATATTGGACCATGGCCAATAACCGGAACCGAAAAATCTCAAATGAAAGAATTCTCACCTTTGTACGAGCGAGTGACGCGAGCCCGCAGGCGTACTTCCATCTAGTCTGAGGTATGTCACTGTAGGCATATGTTTTCTGCGTGAATAAAGCAAACTGAATATAAGAAGCAGGCTAAGTTTCAAACCTTTACATCTTTCCACCCCCAAAGGCTGAATATTAATGAGAAGGTTTACCAGCCACTCCGACAATTCACTTCGTATTAAATGAGGAAGGTTTGATAAAATGATACTTTGTCCTTGCAACACGTCGTACAAAGATAAACTGTTTTAAACGTGTTCGATCACCACAGCGACAACATGAGACGTAACGGTACTACCCACGAACAAGTACACATAGAGTCTTGTTCTGGTTAATTGTCATATGGAAAAACCAAAGACGAATGCAGCAATATCAGTCAGCATGGCGAAAAAAAACAATTTAAACAAAAAACAAAAAGATTGCTCTTACTTAAGAAGATCATTTTCAACGATGTCTAACATGCTCTTTAACTGACAGAACAACAGCACCCGGTGTTGGGACACTACAGGGTCTGAAGACAGATCACTGGAGCCTGAGGATGAGGAGCTAACTCCTATCCCACAATCCATCAGCAGCTGCCTGTTGATCAATTTGTAGACAGAAAGAGAGAATTAGTTCAACTATAGTAACCTGAGGCGAACATCCAACAAAACTATTTTCACAAACAGCTAAAGGTCAAACGCCTAAACGCCAACATATGTTATGACGAGGGAATATTCTTGATAGGAAAAAATGACTTCATTTTTCACCTCTAAGCAAAGTATGCTGCTATCAGGGTGACAGAATGCGCAGTAGTTTTTATAAACTGGTTACAAGGAAAGGATGAAAACAGAGAAGACCTTACATTAGGTGAGGGATTTTATGAATTTCATTCCAGTAAGAAACCGCCATTTTTAAGGAACTCAGAAATCAATGGTACTCTAGGCGTGCCAGTCTAAAAAGAGTGCTTGCAAAAGTTCAAAGTCTATCCGTAAGCAATCCGTTAAAATATAATTGTTATGGTAACCGCACAATGCCTTGAAGTTACACTAACAAATAACCTGACTTACTTGAGAGCAACAAGTTTGGCGGCATGCTGAATATCCCGGATGGAGACATGTTGTTGATGTAATTGGTCCATAACTTTGGTGTATTCTGGATGATTGGCAGTGAGCACCAAAAGCGGGTGGTTGCATAGCTTGCGCAGGTACTGAAGAGCCTGGGAATTATTTACATGTCAGATTGAATGAATATTCATACTGCATAAGGTTATTTGTGGTAAGCACTGAGGACAGACTAGTGTCCATGATCAAATTCTCAATTAAACGAGTAAAATAAACGTTGTATGGCAGTAAGAATGAAATCAATACTAACCTGGAAAACGTGAGGATTATCTTTGCTTGCTTTCTCGTTTTTGTTTTCTTCATCGATGTGAGAAACTGTTTCCTCCAAACCTTTCTTGACCTGAGACTTGGCGAAGTCTTCATATAACTGAACCTGTAAAACGAAAAAACATTTTTCTTGAGTGAGAGGAACGATCTGGAGGGCAATTTTCGGAAATTCTCCAAAAAAAATACCACTAAATACAAGGTGGAGATCCTTGAAACTTTCGCACAGCTGCTTGAATATTCATATCCTGTCGACAACTATCAAGTATTGTCGAAAACCATTATACATCGCCCCAGTGCGCACTTTGATTGTTGGCCATAACAACAGACTGACCTGTAGCGGACTCAGTTCACAGTAGTAATCTTGAATGATCTTAGGTGGAAGATCTTGCAGTACATCTTCTTTCAGGCGCCTCAATAGGAATGGTAAAACCTGACGATGAAGGGCCTCCATAGCCAAGGCCCCTAAGAATGGGACACATGTGTCAATACAGACCACGGTATCACCTCATTTATGATCCACAACGCCTTGAAATCTTACTGAAAGGCGAACAGTCTACTCCTAGAGGACCTTCCATTTTCTACTTATTTACCAAATCGTTACCGAGGAGGGACAACTCGCTTTCTTTAGGGCGTGGTCTTTGGAATAAAAAGGGTGAAGCCGGCGGAAAATCAAGGGTAAAACCATCCAACATTTTCTATGATAGCTGAAAAGCGAGAGCGTCTTGCAGGGGCTGGTTTCACTTTTTTTCTGGTGGGGCACAACATCTATTGTCCTTTTTGTTCAACAAAAGTTAAGCCGAATTTTAGGCTGCTGAAGTGGCTAACACATGTAACTAGCGGCTTCGTGGAACTCTTGAGTGGCGGAAAGAGGATTGGAGCTCTGACGTTCATTTAAATGTTTCTACTGCCTTATTTTTCATCACGGACCAAAAGCCACGCAGGCTTTGTGTTAGCTACTTAGTACTCAATTCACGGACACTCACCAGCTTCTTGTTCCTTAGAGGACGATTTTGCGTCTCTACTCTGTAGAATTGGTTTACCAAACCGAGACTGAAACTGCTTTTCACTTCCGAGAAAACCAGGCATTAAGAAATCAAACAATGACCACAGCTCCAGGACATTATTCTGAAAATAAAACATAAGCATTTCAACGTAACGCACCGTATCAAATCTTTACAAGACTGAACGAAGTAAAGCCATACAAAAAACTACAAAATTACGCTACTATACGGAAAGATAATTCATAACAAAGAAGTATGGTGAGAATGAAACCAAAATGAACGACACATTAGAACGAGCAATGTCTCAATTGTCTCATTTTTAATGTTGTGACGCACAATATTTCAGAAACATGAACAACATTTTGCCGTTCGACAGAAGCTGCTGACATTTCCTAACAGTATACGAGGCAGAGGAAAACATTTATCCACTTCTTTGTTTGTAAACGAAGAGGACTTTAGGATCTACATGTGGAACAACTGTTGGTGCATTGACTAGTCATCTCCCCATATTTAAATCGCATAGCTTCATTTGCTTAATAAAAGCCCCTCAATTCGTACTTGAATTGGTGTTCCCGAGAGTATAAGTCGATGACTGGCTCGTAGCTGCTTAATGACTTTAGCAAGCTAGAAGGAAAGACAAAAAAAATCAAATTGAAAAACTGGATCTTAAGCCACCCACCACGACCAATGTCGACATCAATGACGATGCATTACAAAGAGCTTGTTTACGATTCCGTCCTAACTGCTCAAAGGGGCTGATACTTGTAGGAACTTCTTACCGTCCGCCTTTAATTTGAATACTGGACTACATCGCTACCGTTCCATTTCAGACGATTCGAAATCATTCTCAAGCAATAACCATCAATGAAACTTCAATGATAAAAAAGAAAACCTGTTTAAGTTCTGTCAGAGAGATAACATATAGAGAATGCCAAATAAACGATATCTTCGTCTCGACCAGTTTTTTTTTTCCTGTCAGGTCTCCTCAACGTTTGCTCTCTAGAGGAAACACCAAGACGTAATCTACCTTTGTTTTACCATTCTTTATAATGTGGCCCTCGTCAAGGACACAGTAGTTCCAGTGCACTGATCTGTTAGGACGAAACAAACGAGACATTCCGTTGAAATATCTGCTGTGCCTTAACAATGTGTATTTTTATTTACCCTTCGGTAACTCTCCTTACCTGAAGAATTCACCATCGTTTCTTACAATATCGTACGATGCCACGACTAAACTGTGATCTTTGACCTTGTTACGAAGTCTAAGAAGAGAAAAGAAGAAAAATTATTTTCAGTGGTCGAATGTTGAGGTTCTACGGGTGTAGTTTGATCGGTAAGTTCCTATTGAACCTGTCTCTCGCTTTCAGTGGCCGAGTAAAGGGGAACAAATTCTAATAGACTTTAAATAAGAATTGGACAATAATCATAGCCGCGGGTTGCTACAGGCGTCACTTTTCCTAACAGTTCAAGAACTGGTATAGTTATTCCTCTACGTAGAGTCACGAATATAACTATTAAATTTCCCCTCAAACTACTCGCTCAGAATTTTCAACTACACTTGTATTTGTACACACACCAAACAACTTGCTGTACTTCTTAGAAAGCAATGCACACCGTCAGCGAACACCAAACAGAGTCCCAGGACTAACCTCTGTCTCTCAGACGGCGGGCCTGTATAGTGCAACGGTTTAAGGAAATCTTTGTTAACAAACTTCTCCACCTCGTACACCCAATGTCCTGTTAGTGTTGGTGGGCAAATCACGAGAGAAGGCAAAGGTTTGCAATCACTATTACCCGTCTCCTATTCGGTGCAGAAAAAAGAGAGAAATGTCGAAACTGTGATTCACACGATTGAAAGTTCACTCACTTTTGTCCCGCGATGTAGTTACTGATTTGAATTCGATCTAACACTGGACCCATTCCTATGTGCGAATAGTTTAAATTACTACGTGCACCTAATGGGGCTCATCACCTTAAAACAAAAAAAAGACCAGAAGTTTGGCAGCAGAAAGTGGCCATCATATGGTAGCGTTAAACCGTAAGAGAACGTAGAGGACTTTATCTGAATAATCACGGCAAACATGGAACGAACATTTTAGTACAGTACTCTTTCCTCTGTTTTGTTTTGTTTTGTTTCTCTTTTTTTTTTGGAATTCCTGATCATTTGCAAAATCAACCTAGAGCAGAACTTTTTGACTTGGTTATTGCTACATTTTGCCAGAATAAAGATAATCTCTTGTCACTCCCTAATAAGGAAACCAGAAGGAAAAGACAACTTCAATCTTTATCCAGACTGGATCCGTTGCCTGGGAGTCGAATACTGTACCTTATATACCGTAGCTTTTGCATGGTGATCACCTGCTATGATACAAATAGACTGAAGAGTTTTACCAAGTCCCATGTCTGATCCCACTGTTAAGATACAAATCGAATCCAAAAAACAGACGGAGCTATTCCGATTTATCGAATTTAACTGAACTCAACTGTGCTGTTCTTTACTCAACTCCTCCAGCACTCTGCAATCATTAGGAGGTCTTGGAACGCAATTTATAGTGACATGAAAATGAGTCAATTATGTACGCGAATAATTTGGGCCGAAGTTTTAAAAGGAAAAGTAATGAAGGATACCATCGCATAGAATACCATGCAGCTTGTAACGGTTGAGAAAGGCCAGCCAGTTGACACCATCCTAAATATGAACAAAGTAGAAGAAACTCAAACAGATGACACTAGCAATGCCCATTATTCTTCACACTGAAAAAACATCTGAGCATTCCCAACAAGATGCCCGACATCACTGAGTTTTGGTAGACTTATCTCGGCTTTAATGAAATCAAATAGATACGTTTTCTAAATGCTGCAGTTTAAATTGCACTTTATGCCAACTGTTCCCTCACCCTTCAAATCTGTAAATGATAGTGAGCTTCGGCAGACTGTGTGCTACCTTCGATGGGAGACAAGCTACCCTCGTCGCACACCGTTCAATATGTCATTTCAAATACAGATCACTAGTTCATAATTCCAACATGAATAAAGGCTTTCTTTCCGCTGTTTTCCTGTAGCACCCTACCTGTTGATATTTTCTCAGCTCAGCTTTGATAGGAACAGGAATAGTGTAATTCTCCACCTTTTTACCGTCCAAAAGTTGCTCCAGAAATTTTCGTTCCTTCTGCTTTTGCTCCACCATAGCTTTGGACATGCGGGGTGGGTCAGGAATACCAGACTTCAAGAAAACAACAGTTGAAAATTAGGGAAAATGAATATAGACTTAAGGAACTAATAAAATAGTCAAAGAGTTCCAGTTTAGGACTGCATGTCTTTCTATCCTAGCTCCGTCGAAATAAAATTACGAACACTTCAGTATGAATCACATAAAAATCTCAAGTTGTGAGATATATGTCCTCTTTGTTCTTTTACCTCCGTTCCCATTAGAGGTGTCATCCAACCAAGAACATTACGACAAAGATGATGTACACGGACCATCAAACCATGACATTAAACAATGACATTTCTGTCAAACCTCTCGCTTAGATGGACAGGGTATATTCCGACAAAATAAAAGACAAGGCAGACAATAGCAAGCTGCGTAAAATGTAGCATGGTAATGCGCTCAGTCATTGTCAAAGTGAAAGACTTAAAACTACTAAAACTACAAGTTAACCTAAATACCTCAAGAGGCATAAGCCTAATAAGTGTGGCAAAACAGTATGTGGCCATGAGTCGAACATCTTCGCACTGGTCACTCATCCGTCCGAGCACAGGCACAACCAGGAGAACAACGTAAGGCACCGCACCCATTCCGAGCCGATCAATTACACCTGATGTAAAGCAACCAGTTAAGGATACCAACATATGTGTGTATAGTGAAAACACAGCGAAAATAAGCTTCACTCTAAAATGGCGAGCAGAAATGGACCAGTCACCATTTATCGTCGGGGGCGTGGATAAGGGGGAGGATTTTAGGAGGGATCACTCGGTTTTCTGGGGGAATTGAGGAAGGATCAGTCTATAGGGGACTATGGAAAATTAACTGCCAATGAAGGGGGGGAGGGGAGTAATAAGAATACTACAAAGCTAAAGGGGTGGGGGAAACAGGTAAATCTTATTGTGACACGACCAAAAATCCTCCGACCTGAAATTTTTCTTTAATTGAATCATTCATACCACATCTGTACACAGCCAATATATGCTAAATTTAGACGGAAACGTCATTTCTGCATTAGTTTTGGTGCCCTACGATAACTTTCTCGAGCATAACAATTGTTGTCAGCTTTTTAAGGATACAAGATATAGCTTCTATAGCTCCTTGTCGGTTCCTGATAACATCAGCAGTGCCCATCAGTGGTAAGATATCCTTTACCACTGTCTTCATGGTATCTTCAGTGGACACAGTGCACAGCACACCCAGGCACCTGGCTGCCAAGTGTCGCACTGCACTGTAAGGGTGCTGAAGGCACAGTACTATATTGGGGAGCAAATCTAAAATCTAAAAGGCAAAAATAAAGATTAGGACTAGTTTACTTCATGTTGATAAGAATATCAAAGCCATTGTAACCACTAGAGGGAAAGAGCACAACATCTTGTGAAGACCTCCTTTCCAAATGGCACTATATGCAAGCTCACTGAGAAAACCCAAAATGAGGAAAGTTGCTGGTAGTGTTCAATGTTACCTTAGATAAGAGTTCCACATGCATTGCAGGTGTCAATACTTCAAGAACTTGTAAGCAGTTTATCAGATTTTGGGCTTCATTATCCAGACCAATAAGTTTGTCAGGATCTAGGACAAAAAGAAAATAAGAACATGAAAAGAGATATTTAAGAATTGAGGTAAATATGTCCTAATCTTTAATGCTTTAGAATTCTACATTATACTATTCAGTCTCTCTCGTGACACATTAGTTGTATCATTTCAAAAGTCAAACATGTAAGCTAGACTTCCATGAGTGGCTCGAGGAATTTCCTCTGTACTATTGTTTATCACAGTTGCTCGCCTCCAATCTTCAATGGTCCGTATGAAAAATATCTCAGTATGTATGAAATTGATGCATCACAACTTGGGAATAAATGTGTTTGTGCGCACTTTCCATGGAATAATCTTTACAAGATACACCACTACTCCAAACTACAGTAACACTAATAACAAATTTCAAAAGTATTCTGCTAACACTCAAATCAAGCAAAATCATTTAATTGCTTTTAAATATCCTTAAGTATGAAATCCCCTGACTCAAGTTCAATGAGCCCATGTGCAGTACTCACCAAATGAATTTCCATTTGTTATCTGCTGTAAAGGCCCCACAACTGCCTCCCACAGTTTGGGTAACTTTGATGGTAGCAAGCTTCCAAAATGATGTGCTAATTTGACCAGAGAAAATTCTGCACCTCTTCTTTGAATACTTAAAACTTTAGCCATCTATACCAAAAAGATGGAGATTTTCAGAATTAACTTTATTTAAATGGTAATTTCACACAAGTGGCTGTGAACACAAGACATCTCATAACAAATGTCCTGATTTCACAAGCTGCAATCTGTTTTAATTTTCTCAGATATTGACTCTGTTTAAGGAAGGCCTCACCTCAGAATCATCCATGCTGTTATCATCAAGAGAGGCCACAGATACCCCATCCACAGCAGGTGGTTGAAGCTTGCTACGACCTGCACTGCTACTTGCTTTTTTAGAAGCTGAAGCATTTGCATTCTGTTCAAAATTAAAAAAAAAAAGAAACAGTTCAAAAAACCCAGTCAGTTCTAAGGATCCATGTGGAACCTTTGAACAGGAGTGATCAAGATGGACACAAATTGTCAAACAAGCAAAAAATTCCTCTTAATGAGAAGAAACTCAATCCACTTTGAGAACTGTGGTACTGGAATAAAAAGCCCAATTCAAGAAACCAGAAAAGCAATGCACCAACACAGGCTAGTACATGTACATTATCATTTCATAATTCTAAGATTACATGCAACAGTACTCTTCAAACTCAAACACATAGTAAGCTCTTCCAAGAGTGACTAACAAAAATAAGCAAATAAATGTGGAGACTTAAGTGCAGTGATTATACTATTTGTAACCCAAAGTACCTTCTGCTGCTGAACAAGAGACAGAATCCCATTGTACTGATCGCACTGTAAACTGTACCCTCGTTCCATAGATGCATTTGTTCCTCCAAAAGAGACTGAGTTACAATTTGATTCTGACTGTCCTTCAGGGATTGGCGACAAAGGAGGTTCATCAGAAGCTACTGTTAAACTGATATTTACTGCTGGAGTGACTGAAGGATCACTGCAAGCAAAACTGCACAGATTTTTAATGATCTTGGCATTTGGACATCACTGGTTCTCTTGTTATACATAGTTCCAACAGTTTGGCTAATGCTTTTGCTGATCGAGTCTGCAATTGACAGAAAAATATAGAAAAATTAAGAAATTGATATTTCAGTGACTATAACTTATAAATATTTTGCATGTTACTAAGATTGGTATTTCAAATTTTTTAAAATAGATTTATACAATATTTCATAAAAAAAAATGGCCTCCACTGATTTTCCACTGATCACAAGTAGAGTTAGTGCTTGTTATTTTTCACTGTTTCATTAAATCAAGATGGGCAAAAGAAAGGCAAAAAAGAAAAGAGTACAACTGAAAGTGAAAACAACTTGTATCCATGGTGGTTTGAGTGATTACATTGAATATCTTGTTGCACAATGTACTGAGTTTGCTATATCATATAAATCTTTAAGTTTCAGCAAGTACAATCGTCAGGGGGATCCATGACTTATAGCACTAACTTTTATTCATATTAAGTAAACATATTAAGGGAAAATACACACAGACCTGCATGATGGTTTGCTCTTCTTTCTTGATAGAGTCCATGATGGGCCTTATTATAGGGTTCAGTTTAATGGGAAGTTTATTCAAGAAGATCAGTGTGCTCGCAACACTTGCCTGTACTCTGTAAAAAAGTTAATGAGAGCAAAACAACTTAAAAAAAAGCAGCATTTCTTTATTTTGTAAGACACCAAATCAGAGAATAAGCTCTATGTGAATGGATGGGGAAAACATACAAAAAATTTTTCCTTAATTTTAATGCATTAAAAACTCACTTTATTTTAAACACTTATGCACTAGTTAATCATGGAATTAAGTTTTATCAATTTCAAAGCCTGCCAAACTTACACTTTTACAAAATACTCAACTTAGAAGAAATAACTCTACGTTTTCATGCACAAGTTTTCCAACTCCAAGGAACAAAGGAGAGGAGCAAAGTTCCACACAATTAAACTGGCATAGACTATTCTACCATTATCCTCATATCAAAAGTGAAGCTGAACAAATCTGCTACCATTGATAGCAGGTGCAAACAAAACATACCTAATATGTAGCTTTTGGTATTCTGATTGTAATTGTCCTATGGTTGCCATTAAATGCCTTCTCTTTATCTCTGCACCCTAAATATAAATTGTGTAATGCTATGTGAAAAGAAAAGCATTGCCTTAAAAACACAAGGCATAGAAGACTCTGAAACCTGGCTGATCCTTGAGAACAGGATTAAAATGTCAGTGGCTTCTGAGCATTGAAAAATGAGTGGAAAAAAATTGCCAAGTCCATGGAGAAATCATTCTACCCCAACAACCCCAACAACCACAACAGGTCTCTCTCAAGCACCATAAAAATTGTATAATGTAACTTTGTGTAAAATGTACTTTGGGAGTGTGAGTAAAAAAAGTAAAAATAGTTTCAAAGGGCACAAACCTTGAGAGCTTGTGGTGAAATATTTTTAGAAACTTCCATGAAGATATCTGAGGCTAGCTTAACAGCACTGTCAACAGTATAGCAGCTTAAGATTGAAAAAAAAGTCACTCATTATTGATCTCACCTTGAATGGATATTTAAAAAGGCAAGCAGGAAAAAGTATATAAACAATTCCTAAATAAATATACCTTTACCTCTCACAACCAAGGCATTAATTATCCTTAAGATGAAAAGTACTAGGTAACTTTCAACAGCTACTGACAAATTATACATAGTACTTTACCATGGGAAAATTTTACCATTATAGCTTGTTATGCGTTGTCCCAAGCAAGAGCACTGTGCATATGTACTCTAAGATGTATTAATCTAAGTCAACTATTCCTTACCCTGGCTGGATACCAGCTGAGGCATTAATTCCTTTCTCTCGGAATGCGTTTAACAAGCCCTGAGAAAAGAAAACATTAAATAAATATAAAATAAAAAAATAATATAATCATACATATTATTATACTAGTTTCTGATCATGCTCCCATTCAAATAAGTCAGCTGAGCTCCACACTAAAATTACACTGAAATTCCATGCATTTTGTAGATAACTATTTACCCTCTTTGACCCTTTCACTCCCAAGATCTGATTGTTAATTCTCCCATCTAGCTGTTACACATTTCCTTTCAAATAAGTTACAAGAATTTGGTGTTAAATCAAGAAAACAACCTCTACCTGATAAGTTTAAGTATTCTCGTTATCTCTTTGCTAAATGATGAATGGATTTTAAAGGGAGAAGCTACATGTCAATCACTCCTAGGAGTTAAAGGTTAGAAATAATTATGTCCTACTTTAAATGGCATTGAAGAGAATAACACCAGTCTCTTGACTTCTTTTGGTGGTGTACAGTACATCTTGCGAGAAGCTCTCTGTTTCTCACCTGACAATCTGTTTGCAGTCTTGTGTTAAGCACAGCTATCTCATCATACACAATTTGTTCTGATAGAATATTGTTTAACTGTGCAATATTTTCCTCAGGACATTTGCATTCCTAATAGTGCAGAACCACAAAAAAACAGACAAATCACACACTTTCACGGCAAAGGTCATTTAGAATTGAACACTTAGTATTTTCTCATCATTGCTTCTTTACATAGATTATTTAGAACACACATAATAATTCAGAGTCTACACATACATATTGATGGCTGAAGAAGGATCAAATCCAAAGTGGAATCCAATAGTGTCAATTATTATAAGCCAATCCCCCCTTTTGGCCCACTTTTTCCATAACTGTGAATCCTCCAATTAGTGTCCAAGGAACTTAATTTTAAATACAGGAAATGACAAAGGATGCTTGTTACAAGGATACCCTTAATCAAGGTGGGCAAGGGAGGGAGGAAACAGCTGCAGTGTAAATTTGCAAGGTTAGATGAGAGTAATTAAAGTTCACCAACAACAATATGCCCATTGTTGTGACTCTGTACTTGTACATGGATGAGGGAGGAGAGCTGGGGAAGAGGCAATAAATCCAGGGAGAAGCTTAATATGAGTTTTATTTGATAGGGGAGGTGCCAATCAAAAGAAGGTGCTTGTGTCAAGGGAGGCACTACTACACAGTTCTATGGTACTTGCATCCTTTTATGTCATCAAACAGCCTGTTAAAAGGTATATGTATAAATGAAAGAAAAAACTTGAGAGAATCATGACCTCAAGACAGATTAAGTTACCGCTTGACAGCCAGCCCAATCTGCTAATGTTAATGATGCACACATCCTCTGAATCCCTGAGTTTGATGTGAGAGGAAACTGCAAAGTTTGCATCAGAAAACCAAGAGGAGGAAGTTCTACATCATCGCCAGCCGGACACCCAGTATAATGAGATGCTAATAGACCAATAGCTCTGTACAATTGACACAAGAAAGAGAGCAGTAATCACTCATTACTGGTAGTTTAAAACACAAAAACAAACTAATAGGAATTATAAAGTACAACATCTACACAGGCATATCTTATAGTTGCTACACATCATGCTCAACATGTACCTTGATGCTGCCAGTCGTGCTTGTAAAACTGCAAGGTCTCGCTGGGCTAAGCCAGTGGCCAGTGTCACTCCTGCTATCATTTCAGATTGAGGTTCAGTCTGAGCCTGAAGTGGTCGGCCTCTTATCATGTGAGCTCTGTCCACATGACGGTCCCCCTGACATAGACACACAAAAAATCTTTTTTCATCAGGTGACTAAAATTCTATTTTTGTGACCCTTTCATGGTTTTAGGTTACCCAAAAGTGCATCACAACAACCTTGCTAGGCTTTGTACCCAGAGCTAGTGACTAGGATTCCAATCTCTACAACTGATTATGCCATCATTTACTTCACACGCTCAAGTCAACCTAAATCAAACAAAGTGATCTTCATTCAGAGAACTTCGTAATAGACCTTGCTCACCATAGAGTCTGTGTGGCTCAGTGATAGAGCAACAGAGTGTGGATTCCGAAGGTCTGAGGTTTGATTCACATTTTCTTCTTTGACCCACTCTTGTGACAAGACAAAAAACATCTTTCTCCATTTCTTTACCGAACTTAAAAACTGATCGTCTCTTTTATTCTATTTACAAACTTGACACTATTGACATTGCTGATCCTAGCAGTATGCTGGAAGCATGTCATACGAACTTTGTAATAGACCTTGCTCACCATAGAGTCTCTGTGGCTCAGAGGTAGAGAAATGGAGCACAGAATCTGAAGGTCTGAGGTTCAATTCCTCATGGGCACTCAGGTTTTTTTCTTTTTCCCACACTCATGACAAGACAAAAAACATCTTTCTCTACTTCCTTAACAAGCTCAAAACTTACCATCTCTCTTACCATTCTATTTACAGTCCTAATTCATGTCAAGTACCTTATTCTGAGTCCTATGCAGAGCTTGCACAAGAGCAGTATGGTCAATAGGAGTGTAAGCTGGTATCATCATCATTCCAAGCCAACTGTTAAGGAATGGAATTGTAACTCTCCCAAGAAGACTTTTAGCTGATCTCTCAAGCATTACACTCCACACCTGGGAGGAAGGAGCTTTATTGTCATGACATTATACAGTTTTTAACTTTTCATATCTTGAATCATATCTAACACCATTCAAGTTCTACAGATGGAAGAGGGCCTTATGACTTTCTAAAAAAAAATTTTACAAAAAGAAACTAACAGAAACTACTTGCTACTATAATAATAAGAATCTTGAAAATTAAAGGAAGTTTGGCACAGTTGAAAATTCTAGAGGGTTGAACTATCAGCAAAGAAATTTCAATCTACACTGTATATCATTACAAATCTTCACAGGAATAAATGATTCAACAGGATGCATTACATGACAATTTGAATAAATGTAAATTCTCAAAGACAAAGTTTAATTATCACCTTGTACACCATCTCCAAGACATCAGCATCAGTTTCCAGAATAAATCTTTGGTAAATGTGCCTCAATGAATCTTGTAGAATCGGCATTAGCCACACACACTCTAATAACTTCTCTCTGTGAGACTAAAATACAAATAAGAAGAAGATTAGGTACATGTATATAACTAAATGTAGTTATCTAGTACATACCATAATTGTTCTCAGATAAACTCTCACATTGTTCAGGATATACAGAGTATGGCATTGTCACAGTCCTAAACAGTAAGTTTTGATGTACTTGTCTCCTCAACCTCTCTATTAGCTTATCAAACAATGAAGGTACAGTTTACCATTTAATTATATGGCTTTTTAAATTATGACATACCAGTAATAACAACAACAAGGAAATTATTTGACAACTACAACCTTGTCAAGAGTACATTGCATTATGTAATTATAAAAAAGCAAATACATGCAGTTTTGTATCGTCCATAACTGACCACGTCAAGAAGGATATAGCGAAGTCATTTCCTGTACAACTTATGTGAAGGAAGAGGTCTATTTTTGGTGAAAGACAAACCTGAGACTTGTTTAGAAGTCCTCAAAAGCCAATCAGGAATTTTCTCCAATGAACATTATTCAATTAGTGTATAGGAAACAGATACTGTACCTCATTTTGGAGCCTTCCAACAAGGAGAGTTTGAAGAGTTTCTAATGCTGCTAATCTAACAGACTTTATATTGTGACGGAAAAAGGGCCACAGCCGTGGCACTAGCTCTGTAAGGGAAGCATCACCACCCTCTGTTCCTTGCAAAGCCACAGATGGACAGGACAAAATTCTGGCCAGCAGCATCATAATGCTATTAGTTGAAGCTGTCAAGTCATCAAGCTCAACAAGTGTGTCCCACAGTGTCACAAGAACTTCCTGCACCTGGTCATTCAAAGTATGTAAAAATTACCGGGCCATTATTAATCAAAAGGAGCTAAAAGCAAGTTGCAAACATGTACATGGACATGAACTGGAAGGTGAGTGGAAAATTGTTCACATTTGTGATTAATGCTGCCTGCGTCAACATTTTCTAACTCTAATCAGCCTCTATCCTTTCAAATGTTTTCCTTCAATTTCCCTTCCATTAAATCTCACATTGGAACCAATGGCTCAAAATGTTGCAAAGTACACAGACTTTTAACATTTACCTGTGAAACCATAAAAGTGACCAGCATATACTTACAGTAATAATGCCGAATCAGTCATTAAGATTATAAGAATAAAGGAAATGATTGCCAATCTAAGAAGCTTTGATTGTTAAACAAATTCTCCTTGTCAGTACTAAAGGAAATGTGTAGAGAGGAGTATAGAAAATGTATGGATACTGATGTTAGGATGTAAAGGGTTAAAAATTTTCAAGTTATCGATTTGATAAAAACTCTACAAGAAACTGGGTGAACCTCCACACAGAGCTACATCATGTCAAAACTGCATGTATGCATGTTAACTGCATAAAGTAGATTACACTACCTACAAACCACACTGTACTTACATAACTAGGAGCAAATTTGACTAATGACTCTGCAACCGGAAGCAGAGCTGATGCAGCTACTGCCCGAACATCATCATCATCATCTTTGAGAGCTGTTACAATAGGATCCAACACTAGTGGTAACAAATCCTTTGTCAGATCCTGATGAAAATAAGAATTGTTTATAATATTGTGGAATGAATAAACTCAATAACTTCCAGCTGTGTATCTTTACTTTTGCTTTGCTCCACAACTACATTGCATTCTCAGGTCATGACTGTACACTGTATATAATTATGGTAACTTTTGAACACGCAATGGAAAATCCTTCTGCAATGGAGGGCCACACTGCTAAAATCTTGAATTTGCAAGAGGAACTTTGAGAATGATGCTCAAAGAGTTGAAATGTCCAAAAATGTAACTGTAATGTAAATTTAACTGAGACTCTTAGCCAGGCAAAATGTTGCATTAAACCTGCCAGAAAGTATTTTTTCAAAAGGAAATACAAAAATTAATATTTCAATCAGTATTTACCTGCCTGACAGCCATCAGATACTTGAGTCCCAAAAGCCCTCCATGACGCACTTCCCATTCCTCCTGTGCTTGTAATGTCAACAGTACCATCATGACCCTCTTCACGCTCTCAGCTTCAGCATGCTTTAAAATCACTCCTATTGTCTGTGCACAAGTTTCACGAACTGGGGCAACAACCTGTCAAAACAGAAAAAAAAATACAGTCTACACCAGGCAATATCATGAAAAATGAACTAGAAAATTATAAGAGACAAGCTCTATTAGTGGTAAGTGGTTACTGTTTGAAGTTTGAATAAGGCTTTATTTTTCACCTACTCCTTCTCTAAATACAATTCTCTTACACCAATAATTTTATTTGAAACATTTTTTTTTTAAAAACCCAATCATAAAACATTTCAAATAACACTTACCTCATCACTCACAAAATCTCCAAAACGATCAAGTGCCATGACACAAAGAAGGAGAAGAGACATGTTTTCCAGCCACTTTTTATTTTGAATCTGGAGCTGTCGAAAAGAACCAAACATCAACAAAAAAGAACAACTATTGTCTGTTAGAAAAAGATAGGCCAGCAATATCAACACAGATAAGTTGTGAGCATTTATTTGTTTAGTATACTTACATCATCAACAGAAGAATCTAAAGTTTTTCCAGCACCTTGTCCATGAACCTTTATTATTTCTCGCAGGCCTGTAGCTGCTCCATGGCGCACCTGTGTGTAAATACATTTGAGCCCTAAATAACATTGTTATATTGCACACAACATAGATAGTCTTACTAAAAGCAAGTTGATGGAAATAAGAAAATGGAAAAATCCTAATCTAATGAAATATAATTATAGACAAACCTCCCATGTTTGATGGAACAAATCTTGGCATAGCTCTTGGCAAAAGTTTTCAAATGGCCACTCAGTTGACTTAAAAAGAAAAACAAATTTTAAAAAAATCAAAATTTAAAAACAATTTACCAACAGAGCGACATTGTTCAGGAACTATACAATAACAAACCTCTTCAAATGTTGCCATGACATCAGTAACCTGATCCACAACCATCTTATCAGACTCTGCTGGCTGATCAACAATGACACTGGCTGTCTTCCGTTTTTTGGAAGCTGAACCATGTTCTGTTTCCTGGTCATTATCTATACTATTTTGGACAAGAAAAACAAAACAAAACATGAGTGATAACCAAAATAAATGTCATCAAGTTAGAATATGCAAATAATTAAGTCACACTTTAAAATACTGTAACATGTAAATGAATGTTAGATCAAACTCATTTTGAAACTGATTTGCTTTCATTTCCTTAGTTTTATTGATATTAAAATAGCCCACCTTCCGTATGGTAGTTTTGCCTGAAATTTACATTGAACTGTAAGAGACACACACTCTTTTTGCATCTGAGCCTGTTTAGATGATATTCTTCATTCCTTCCACAACACAGCTTACAAGCACCAGAAGGAAATAAGTGGTTTACACATAAACATAAGAAAAAGTGAGGAGTTTACAAAAGACAGGACTTTGACAGGACAGCCACAAGTCGAGCTCTATTACATGTATAATTATATGTACGATAAATTTATTCCCTTGATTACCTAACACTGTCATTAAATGACCCTTGAGCAGACTCCCCCTCTTTGGATGCTTCCTTTGATCTCTGCTTGGCAAGCATTTTTGCTTTTCGTTTGGCTCTGTTCTTTTCTCTTGAGCTCAACCCAGCTGATGAACTAATTGCAGCTATCTCAGCTGCTACTACATTAGCAGCACTCTAATAGGTAAAAAGGAAAACAAAACAATTATCATTTTAAACTTGTTTCACATTGAATTACTCAGGATTACACGGGACTCTTAGACACTTTCAGACCAATGAAAAATGAGCCAATATATTTTATAACCTTCCCTGACTTGGGAAACAAGATGTAATACACAGTATTGTTAGAACACCTGTCAGCTTTATTCAGTCTTTTCATTCAGTTAAAAAGTGAGAAGCAGAAAATTATGTTGAGGACTCAAAAAAAAGACAACAATAATTTAGTAATTAAAGATAACAGTTTAAGGCTACTTAATTCATCATAATTTCAATTATAAAATAAAAAATCATTTCCAGTCACAACAAAACAGACCAGCCCCTTATAAACACAAAACCCATAGTAGGTGTTAACAGTATTTTAACACAACAACTGAAAGGAATGATTGAAAAAAGATCATAAAGAGAAATAGTAAAACAATAACTTTTTTATGGAAACATGTATAGGCATTTACATCACTATATAAATTGTATCACCTCAAAGGACTTTTGTTTTGTCAAAGCTTTCCCCTTGGTCACATGGGTGTTCACCAAGAGATCCTCATCATCAAATAATTTGTCCATTCCAACATCAATTCCAGGAGCAATATCCAAGCCAAGGCGCTTTCTGAGAAGTTTCTGCTGTCTGTTTAGCCTCTCTTTTGGTTCAAGGCCTTAAAAAAAATTAAAGTCAGAACCACAAAAAACTTATCACTGCTCCATCTAACCAACAAACTTACAGACACATATGTGAATGTTGAATTCTTGATTAAATTGTTGTTTCAATATTCTTCTGGCCAGTAGAAGAATATTAAATCCAAAATAAACCTGGACATGGTAGGTTGTTCACGTAACTGGGCTAGACATTCAATATTTAAATGCCTTTTTAAAGTCATCTTGAAGACTTTCTTTTATTCCTGAAGTCACCCTTATTGGAATTAATAACAAAATGAACATCACAATGATAAAACTAATCACTAGGATTAACTTACACATCTGGGAATGCTCAACCATATTTCATTATACTTGACCCTTTAACTCCTAAATCCCTTTAGTTATTCCCCTTGCTGTCTGTCACATAATAATATTAATAATTATAATGTAATATTAGTATGGAGAATAATGTATTGCATTAATTAATAATCTCCCAATTGATATCTTTCTTTATTCTCATTACTTGTCTGCTCAAAGTTGTATTGATGTTGAAATGAGAAATTTCACCTTGGTCATTCATGAGGGTTAAAGGCCTGGGTCAAAGAAACATCTTCAACAAGTTAGCCCTAACCCTTAACCCTTTAACTCCCAGATCAAATTTGTCTTTCTCCTTATTGTAAACAATACAATTCTTATAATGTTAGGTCAGAGAATTTAGTATTGGATCAACTAATTATCCCCAAATTGACATTTTTCTTTATTCTCATCACCTATCTGGTTGATATTGTATTGATATTAAAAGGAGAAATTATGTCTTGGTCACTCATGGGAGTTAAAGGGTTAAAAGCTAGTCCAGCACTGAAACCTCAGTTTTACTAATTCTGAAGGTTTGACTTAAAAATTAAATTCTTAAAACTCAAGGGTAAACTTTAAAATATAGCCTATAAAAAGATGCATATGATAGACACCCATCCTCATCACTTTTGGACTATTTGCATGTAATAATAAAGTGCAAGGGAACACTACCTAAGCATAAATAAATGTTATTAAACAAATTAAAGGCAAATTCACAAAAAGTTGTTATATCTGTGATAAATCATGTTTCTTACCCATAAGATCTTCCTCAGGAAGGTCGTACTCAGCCCCTGATGAGCCAACCAAACGCTCCCCATGTTTCAAAACACGATTGATATCAAACTTGGAAAACTCTAGTAGCTCATTTGTAACTGCTTCCTTGATTGTCTCTGACCTGTTTCTTTCTGATGGCTCAACTGTGGTTGACCAAAAAATAACTTAATGTATCATCCAACTACTGAATTTCCTGTGAAAGCAAGTCAAGGTTTGCCTAGCAGACAAGCAAATAGTTGCTCAGTATCCATAGCAAAAAATGGAACTTAGAATTAACTTTAGGCAACTCTAGATGTTAGAAAACTCCAGGAATTCTTCACACAAAAAGGAAGAGATATGAAATGTCATAATTGATGTCTCTCTCTAAGTCTTACACACCTGTGGAAATAAGTTATTCTTTGATCCAGTAACTCAACAAGTTTAAAGAGAAAACTATTCAAAAGTCTCAACAAATTTCAGATCTCAAAATTCACATTTTTATATACTTTCATGACCATATAATACTTTATTTTTGCCAGCATCAATCATATTAATTCATCAAAATTATGAGGAATCAAATTCAGTGTGCATGTGTAGTTGATGAATACTTTTTTTGTAGAGAGTATAAAAAATAATCCATGATCACATTGGCTTTGATTTGCATTGCTATAATTTATCAAGTAAACTTGAGGTTATTCTCCTAACCAAGTAGATGCAAAACTAAAAGAAAAAAACCCAATTTCCTTGCTCAGGTTTCATTCTAATCGAGGGTGTCAACATGTTTTCACTTTGAGCTCTAATTGCATCCATGAGACATTTCCCTTTACTGTGATTGGTCATTGTTTTAATTTAGTTTTGCTCAATCAAGGAGTACTTTGACAAACCTTACCTTTGATGTTTTGCACAGCTACTGGGTTCCATAGAGGTACATTCTGTGCAATAGCCTCAATGGCCTGACCTGCTGCAATCCTTGTCTCCCAACTGCTACTCTTCAGATATACATGAACCTGTTGAACATAATATTTAATACAGGTAGCTAGAAAATGTTTATCCATTATTCTATTGCTCATATTCTCCACACTTTTCCTTTACATTTCCTGTGGTTCTGACAAGAAGAATTTGTGTGACAAAATTGGTGATCATTTCCTTTATGCACAGGACCTTTATAATTGATACAAGGGTGATATTGTATAGAGAAATTAGAAACCGGTCACTCTAAGGGGTTCATGGGTCAACGAATCATTCAGTTTACAAGTATGAGAAAGCAAGTCGAATTTTAAGTATAAACATCCCATTTCGATACCGAAAACAAGAAAAAATGCAATTTTCAGTGATTCACAAAGCTATGTACATGGGTTAAGACAATAAAGAGAGACCCTACACTCTTTCTTACCTTGCTCTTTTGAAAACATAAAGGATTTAGCACAAAATTATTAGCTAAGGTATTGACCATAAATGTACGTGTAATCAATTGTAGACCGAAATAACAGTAGTAAATTTTCGGTGATTTTTTAATTTGTGGTGACCCTAAATAACATCGAATTTCTCTAAATTATTAACAACTGTTTTAACTAAAGAATGGTAAGCGAGACGTCTTGCGATCTCATTGACATCTCAAACAAGAACCGGAAGGAGAAAACACCTACCCTGTTCAGAAGATTCTGTAGCTCGTGAGGATGTAATTTTTGCACTTCACCAAGCTGTTGGGCTGCAGCTTTCCGTGTCACAGCAGTGGAGCCAGTGTCGAGAAGGAGAAAAAGTCTCTCAAGTCTACAGCGAATCAAGATGAGAAACCTCAGTGAGAAGGGCTCATTAGCATTATTGTGTATTCCAAAATTAATTTTACCTTGTAGCCATCACAGTTCGTCGAAAAACAAACGTCACATGGCGAGAATTCCGTCAAAATAACTCTTAATTCTAGTACTTTTCCCTTCCGCCATTGCTCAGCACATGCGCGATGTAGAGTAGTAGAAAGGAACTCTGGGTAATATGATGCCGCGCTCGCGGCTTGAATTTTCCCGCGCATATTTTGCAAGATTAAAAGCAGCCAATCAGCTTTTTTCATTATGCATACTTTTCAATCTTGCTCTTGATTAAATTCTAATTGCCAATTTTTCTCAACATTATTCAACGCTAAATACCCATGTTGTCCAGAAAGTTTCCTCTGGCGAGTTAAAAGATGACTTTTAACGGCTTTGGCACACAGACAGCTTGGCCTGATGGAACATGTTTCGCTAGCAAAGACAGAGAAATTTCCAAAGGAAGGACCTATATCCGCGACTTGAGTCAAGGAATGAACAGTTTTGTAAGTAGAAAGTGTAGCCAAGCTGAAAATATTGACTCAAGATGAGAAAACCAGCTGTTTTTTTACCCCCGTAAATTTTTACCTCCGTGTATCTCTTCATTCAGTTCAGAGGTTCCTATGCATTTTATACCTGGTTGGAAACCGATGCTTTTGAAATTAATTTAGTCCTAGATTAAGATGAAAAGTAATTTAAATATATTTTATTCCTTAGAACATTGTTGGACTTGTCGTAGCCAAACAGGGAGTTCACGCTTTTCCAGACAGAAAGAGTAAGATATTTCTCAGCCACTCTTTGCTTCTTTGCCAATAGTATTTTGACCCTTTGATGCTAATAGAAGTTTATCTGATATTTTTTGCAGACCCAGGCACAGAAAAATGTCACTTCTTTTTCACTCTCAGAGATACGCCTACAGATTTCATTAATGTTAACTGCTGGGGGAATGAACGTTTCATTTACGACCTTGCAAATTCCTTCAAAATAAATGACGTTGGTATGTTTTATTGTCTCTTTTATTCAAAACAGCTTTCACTTACTTAGAAATGTAAGCTACATATTTTATCATTATCATCATTATCATTTATATTGATATTATCCTAATTGTTATGAATTACTATCAGTCATTGATTTTTGCCTGAGGGGGGTTTCTGAGGCTTTTGGGGGTGATCAGTTGGTTTTTAGGGAGAAGGAAGAGGCGATCAGTTGTCACTAACAGAGTATTAAGGGGGATGGCTATAGAAAATTAACTACCAATGAGAGGGAGGGGGTCATTAGAATACAACAGAGCCTTAGGGGGGGATCAGGTAAATGCCAACACCTTCCACCCTTCCCCCCCCCTTCCAGGGGATAAATTATGACTGTCCCCAAACATTGGCCTTTTTTTGCATTATCAGTCAAAACTGATATCTTGCTTACCATTACCATTTTTATCAGTATTTTCATTGTTATTACAGTGGAAGTAAGGAATCCCCAGATACAAAATAAACAAAGCAATGAAGCTGAGCAAAGATGGAGACCATGGACATCAAGGTGAGCAGTATTTCAGTAAACTGACTTTTAAAAAGTAAAATGCATCGATACAATGATGACAATGATAATAACAATGACAATGACAATGACAACGAGAATGCTAATAATTGGTGAAAGTGAATTGGAACAAATGTGATCCTACTAATTTATTCATTTCCAGGCCAACACTGCTTCAAGATTGATAATTTTTTTTTTCGTACATTATTTATTCATTTGTTCATATTTTTTGTATTTACTGTTTCCATTGTAGCCCGTACCAGCTGCATGTCAGTGAGACATATTCGTCTGTAAGTTTATTCAGTGGATGGGACATGAGTGAGTTTGACAAGATTTCACATGTACCCTTTAAGGCCAGTAATGATTTCTATACCCTGGGAGATATCATAGCCAACGATCAGAACTTGCATGGAGAACATGTCAATATCCAAGCTGTTGTAAAAAGTGTAAGTATTATGGATTTTAGATCTAGTCTGACCACATGTGAATTTGCATGTCAAATCGCACACATTGCAACATAAAATAAAATAAATTAGACAATGAGCCACTATCTTATTTTAAGTAAAAACCATTTCCGACTATTTTTTTTTTCTGAAATTTTTTCATACTGGCAGAATTGTTCTTTTATTAAGTTCCTTTCTTTAATGTCGTATAGTTACAATTTATTTTTTTTTAGATTGGAGTGCCAAGAGACATCGTTACCAAAACAGGAAAACGAGTCAAGAGATGTGAAGTGGTTCTGTTCGATGAAACCTGTTACTCATTCCCACTCATCATGTAAGCATGCATTATTTGGGGAAATGTTTCTGATTAAAAAATTAATGAATGGAAAGACGTCTTCTTCCTAATAACGTACACTTATCTGGATACTTCATTAACATATCTGGTTTTTCTTGCAATGCATAATCTTAAAACTCAGTGATTATAAATACTCATGTGCAACTCTGGTAAGAACAGCTGTATAACTATTTTATCAGGTGGGATGAAGACACGATAGAAATGTCTCAAACGTGGATGCCTAAAGATATAAGTAAGTGTAACGTTCAGCCATCAATTACAAGAAATGCCTTTGTAAATTCTGCCATTTGTTAATATTCTTTGCTCCGTAGTTCTTTTTATCGCAGATGTCAAAGTGACCTTTGACGACTTCAAAAAGTGTATGATCGCTACGTGTGATAATAAAACCATTATTACTGCAAATCCAGGTAATACCGAAATTTCCATGAGTCATATGTATATGTATGAATTAAAAGTAGATTGAAAATCGTAGCTCGTTTCTGAGGCCGTAAAATTTTTATGTATGTTAATGCTAGGAAAAGTATTAATTGTCTGACCTTTGTGTATTGTAATAATTTCAGATACCATGGAAGCTCGGTACTTATATAATTATGCACAATCACTGGAGCTCTTGGATGATGATCCTCTGAATAACCCTGAGGCATCCCTAGAAGGGTATAATTGTAAGTATTTCATGCAAATGTGTCGTCAAGAGCTGGACATTATCTAAAAAAGTGTATTTTATTAATCTGTAGTGGAAAATGTAAAGAACGTGTACAGCGTTCAACAACTCAAGCAAATAATGGCAGAACTGGACAACAGCACGCAACAGATTCCCACATTTGGGATTGTTTATGCCTGTCTTACTTCCTTTGACATTGACAGCGATGTAAAACAAGTAATAGCGTCACGATGGTTAGTGCAAAATAAAACTTTCTCTTCGTCTTTTATCAGGTTCAAAACAAGTCATTAGCTTAAAACTGTACTCACACCTTTTCCGAAGCCAAGAACAAGAGACAAGGAGTAGTAAGCTAGCTCACAAGTAAAAGGTCGTATATGCCATCACCTTAGTTATCGTTCTTAGTTTCTTCTTTTTTGCTCAATCTAATATCGCAGTGCCGTTCAAAAAGAGCCTATCTTAGAACATGAAATGTTTGCAGTGCTATAAATAATTATGTTTTCCTTCTTGTATAAGTGTGTCTTGTAATCAAAGAGTAGCACTGCTAAGCGAGACGTGCATGAACCCAGAATGCCCTGTGTCGTCAAATCCTACCCCATCTAGCAGTTCAACCCCACAGCAAACAATCAAGACACAGTATGAAATAATGGTCTCCCTGAGTGATCACACGGGAACAGTTGAAAATTGTAGGCTTGCTGAAAACTGTGCGGAGACAATGTGTGGGTGCAAAGTAAGTTCAACTGATACATGCTCAATGCGGCATGTTGCCAGCCGCACTTGCTGCTCCGCGTCGCCAAAAATGTTTTTGGACTATGCTCATAAAATTATTAATAGGCAAGAGAAAATGAGAGAACCATCCTTGAGATATCACACTGATGTCGGTTGATCAGTCAGGAACAGTGTTCAATAAAGCTGACTCACTTCATTTGTGGTGATCGATAAACACGTATACAGAATGTACGATCTGTGCTAAGCTGGGTTTTCCTGCTTGCGACTGCGATTACCTGAGCATGGCGCCTACATAACGATTCTGGCTTGAATTTCTAAGCAGAAACGAGCGTGTATGTGATGATCACATACAAGATCGAGCCAGTTTACACAAAAGCCCTTACATGGGCCACATGCCCGTGGGCAGATGATTAGATACGCATCCAATTTAACTAGTCAGCTCGAGACAAACAGGATGTGATCTATTTTTAGTCTTTCCTTCCATAATTAATTTGCCTTCTTGTTTGCTCGTATTTCCCTATCTGATTTGATCTTAAATGTTAGGCAGTGGACTTTGCTCGATGGACCATTCCTCAGCTGACAAATCTGAAACTACAGTTCCTTTTGGAGAGGTGTAAAGTTTATTTTAAGGTATCAACATTCCAAAAAAGTGAAAATACTGCAGTAGAGTTTTCTTTACTGATACCCTGCTCTCCGCTTTCTCTCATCATTGATAAGGATGCCAATTGGAAAAGAAATCATCTAAACAATGTTTTTTTAAATTTTCTTTCATTCATTTTTTCCCGTAAATCTGAATCAACTGCATTTGGCTTTTACCTTAAAAGGTAAAGTCAGCGCAATTCCTACCAGTCTTCTCGTATTTCCATTAAAGCTTATAAGCCAGCTGTAAAACTTACATATTGAAAACAAGTTTACATTTGCAAAACTATTTCCATCTTTAATGGTAAACAGAGCTTAAAACTATCTTATGTCTTTGTTTCAGCTCACAATATCAAGTTCCAATCGATCCACAAGCGCCACCAAAAAGTGGATTAGATTGTTATCTTGTACTTTGGTTGACCCCAAGGAAGCTGTCGAGTCGCTATCTTGATCTTTGTACCGCTAATATTCAAGACATTAAACACGTGCGCCTATAGTTTAGTCGTTTTCCAACTCGTGCTTTGTTGCATAATGATTTAAAAGAAATTCTATGGTCATTGGCCAGGCGCCAACGTACCCAATATTTGTAACTAATAACGTTTTTACTTCCAGTCAGCTAGGTCTTAGTTCACTAAAAGAAAGCAGGTGTGACCGCGACCGATCAGCTGCAATCTTTAATATGCTTCCTTTCATCGTTCACTTTCATGTGGGGCGACTTTACCACTTGGCACAAAATTTGTTGTTCCTCTCCGCTTGAAGCCCATGTAAATCATGTCCTTTATACTATGTTCTTTGAACAAGTATCAGATTAAAGTGCTTAAGCCCAGTTGGTGGTTTCCAGTCTGTTTACAACGTTTGGTTTGAACAAACAAAGAGACAATTCACGATTTGCGGGCGAATGAGTCGTACATTACGACAGGAAGTTACGGAATATGTAAGCGCACCATCGGTTTAGTTAGCTACGGTTTTTACGAAAATATCGAAATTAAACAGTTTGAAATTTTGGGCCTTAAGAGATGGTATTTAACGCAAACGAACCCTTCCGTTTTAGTATGCAAATGTTTTTGGCATAAGCTCCGACGTTTAAGATATTTGCACGATATTGTGCTTCCACTTTGTCAGTTTCGTACGTGTGACACACTTCATAAGACCGGTTAATTTTACGCTCATGTCTAATTCATCATGATGCGATTCCTTCTTCGGGAAATCTTTTGATAATACGTGATATTCTCACCATTTAACTATAAAGGGCGGAGGAGAGTGTACAATAAAAATTGTGAAAGAAAACCGCTCGTACAAACTTCTAGAACACATGACACTTCAGCGTGCGTGCAAATACGCATAATCTTTGGCTCCGACTTCCGAGAAAGCAAGTCAACGAATCCATGACTTAAGTTTTCAACTTCAGTTGTGATTGTGCACATCGACGTAATGCGTGTAATAATAGAAATAAAAGTATTCCTTATTTGAAACCTCGATCCATATTTTCCCTACCCGTTCGGTCGTGATATTTTTCAAACAAAAGGATAAGAAAACGATCCCTTGAGAGCCGATAATCTGTTGCCCAATAGGTACCTGCTAGCAGGCATGAGAGAATATTACATCGACACATGAAGTTAGAGATTTTTCTTAGCATTTTACAACCCTTATTTTCTGTACCACTTAATGATACAGAATGTTCTTTAATATTCTTCATGCGTCATTGTCACATGCCCTGCACCTGAGAGCTTGTCGCCAAACTTCGTCAAATTTGCATTGGAATGTTGTTTCACAGCCATGCGGGTATTTTTAATTGCGCAACTAAAGAGCATATTGAGTAATTCAAAGTTAGCAAGAACAAACAGTATCTTTCTTTTGCTAAGAAAATGAAAACTACGCTTTCGATAGCTGTGGCTGCCTCGCGGAAATCGTTCAACATTTATGACTTCCTTATCGACAACCTGACACTAGCGAGCGCGTGACCGGACTGTTGTGTCTCAATCCAAAAATAATCCATAGCTTTCGCGCCAAATTCCACCGGGATGAACTTTGGAGTATTACAGCCCACTCGATTGTTTTTTGCTCATGTTGATTGGCTAATGAAACAATTGATAGTTTTCTTCCGCGATCTGAACCAATCAGGTGTTTGTTATTATCACGTGGTATGCTTATGTTCTGCAACCATGAATGAATGACTGCATCTTAGCGCGCCACGACGACGGTTTATTTTACTCTTTTGTTTTGGTTTAAGCCGAAACGTAGATTCATTCCTCGTGGTGAGAGAGACACGAAAACGAAAATGTGGGACAGAAACATCATGAGTTCTTGCGAAGTAGTTAAAGATCGCTTATATTTTGTGAGTGTGAGTTGTAAACCGCGAAACAACTCGTCCTATCACTATTTTAGCGTGGATCCTGACTCGACTCTCGACGGTTGTAAATTTCACGACACACCTTACTTCGGACCGCCAAATCTGGCTGGAATCTACCGTTTCTGTTGCCTTGTTAACACTAAACTTCACATGGTCCCGGTTTCGAAGAAGATTGTTCTTTACACAACAGCTAATGAGGGCTTTTCCGACGCGAAGAAGCGAACGCGGTCTGTTTTCCTGTGTGGGGCCTTCGCCATGTGTCAACTTAAGATGACTGCCGAAGAAATTTACGCTTTACTAGAAAAGCACTTCCTGTCTTCAACTCTGGTTTCTTACTGCGATATCAATGGTAATGTATCCCACAACCTTAGCATTCTAGACTGTCTCAAAGGTTTTGAGAAGGCAATAGCGCTGGGGTTCTTCAAATTTGACGAGTTTGACTTGAATCGATACGAGCAGGAAGAGCGCGCTTTTGATTTGAACTGGATCATTCCGGGAAAGTTGTTGGCGTTGAGTGATCCTCAGAGAAGACCTGAACTCAAAGTGAGTCGATTCAGTCGCCTGAGAAAATATTTCAGGCAGACTGGAGTCAAGGGTGTCGTAAGACTGAATAAGGACGACAACATGGTGAAATACGGGCTTATTTACGATGCGCGATGTTTTACCGCCAACGGCTTCTCGCATAGCGATCTTTACTATGAAGATGGTGGAATTCCAACTAAAGCAATCATCAAGAAATTCACACGAGTCGTTGATCAGTGCGATGGAGCCGTCGCCGTTCACTGCCGAGCCGGTTTAGGAAGAACAGGAACTCTAATCGCATGTTATTTGATCAGACACTACCGATTTTCAGCTGCCGAGTCCGTAGGTTGGTTACGCATCTGTAGGCCGGGCAGCGTGTCAACACTTCAACATTGTTTCCTCGAACATAAACAAGAACCGATTATGCGGGGGTATCCCGAAGATATGAAGATCGAAGATCTTACCGAAGCCGTGAAAAAAAGTTTGAACATGTTTTCCTACCAAAACACGATCATCGAAGAGCAGGAGGAGTAAACATGAATATTTATGACACTAATATGTGTTACTAGGAAAATTCTTTGACGTCTGGCTTGTGGGGCGGCAAACGACAGCTGGGAGAATATTAATGAGGAACTTCCTTCTTAGCCAATTGCTTGCCAAGAAAACCAGACATGTTTATTTTGATCTCACCCGAAGATGAAATGTGTCTAGCTTTGATCAATCTTCAGTGCCAGGAAAATTAATTCAAGCCAACTCCTCTTTAATTTTTTTTTTTTTTTTTTTTTTTTTTTGAGCTCTTATATTTGGTTACTTGATAGGTAAAAGGTTTTCAGGTCAAGATCTGCAAATTTTTTTCCATTGCAGCATGCCTAATATTATATTTTCTCCTCAATTCACTAAACTTATAATGGACATGGCCTTAATTTCTTTCAATGCTTTACTTTTAAATTCACTACCTCTAATTTGTTTGCAAACTCTAATATGCTTGATCCAAAAGTCAGGAAAGGCCTCAAGAAGAAATACTATGGATAAAAATATATGTTTTCCAAGGTGTCATCAATTGTGGCCTCATCAACGACAATCAAGCTAAAAATGTCCTAAAGACAATTTGTGAAAGCCAGTTTGAATCTATTTTTCAAACTGTGTGTTAAACATATTCTGAACATCAAGGCAAAGGGAGCAGTTAATGAATTAGAAATTTACACTACATTATCAATAGTAAAAACACATTTTAAAGCCTTTCTTGAAATGAATTTTCATTGAGAAGGTGGTCAAGTTCCCTTTTTTTCTGGAATTAAAGCAGATTGGAATTTGAGAGAACTCGTGTCATGACACTCGATTTAAAGTTGAAATAATGGTAAAAACTATATAATCACTTTGGTAACATTTGATGACAGGTTAAAACGTGTACCATTCCAGATTAACAAAGATTGAATTGGTATTGTTGTAAAAATATACCATTTATTTTTTGTCTTGCAGGCAAGATAAAAGGAAAAGTAATAATGTTACCCTAAATTTTAAAATTGTGGGAATATTTCATCAGTGGTGCATCTTTCATCTCATTTGGTTAAAATATGAAATGTTAATTGTATATTTACTGTTCAACCACTGATCAATTATTTCCCCAAAAGATTTTGTAAGATCCTTGTAATTTTCTTTAAAGGTTAATATTGCTGTAGCATAATTTGACATTATTTAGATATTTAAAATTTAAAAACATGTCGCTGTTGTAAATGTAAAAGTTATATTTTCAACTCAGTTGTAAAGGTGTAATTAACAGTCATTCAGAGCAATTTGTAAATGTTGTTGCTCAATATTGTATCACTAGGAACCTTTTGCCAAGCCTTAGTGTAAATAGATTCTGGAAAGTACAGGCTTTTTGTTCAGGGCAGTTGTGCCCTTTTGATCATGAAATTTGACGACAAATGCTGATTGTATGGATGTCTAAGGATATTATGTAAATTACTGAATGAAATTCATTGTGTTCAAAGTTGTTTTTTGTGGGTTCTTTGGAGCTGGTGTTATTCATAAGTGTCCAACCAATGATTACTGGTTCCTAAGCAATGAGTTAAGCCTAATGTTCAAAGGGAATATTGCTGGACCAGACAAAATTTCTTGAGAGAGTAAGTACGTTCTTTTGAAATTAGTGATGGCTGATTTCACTTGCGTTCTCACGGAGCAGTGAATAAGGCATCTACAGAGCTCCCTTGTGATTGTTAAGTCTAGCTCTCAATTATTATATTGAAAAGTGCAATCAAATATTAAGAAATATATTTGGTTGTGAAAATATGTTTCTCAATCTAGTCCAAAAGAGGATATTGACAGTTGCCATTTCAATTATGTTTGTGAACAGCGAAAATGTGCTCTTAATTTGCCGAATCACCATGAACAAGATTCCCACGCGGTGTGACAATTTGAATTCTAGAAGGGCGTGGGTGGACGAATGTCAAAGGGAGCCAATGAAAAAGACAAAACTTAATTACACGCGTTGGCTGAGCTGTACGAGTTTGCTTTACAATAATTCCATTTTCAGTTCAATTTGTTAAGCCTTTACTCAAGTGACAAGCGAGACATTCTATATTTATGCCTGAGTGATTTTTGGTAGCAGTATACTTGGCATTCATATATTGGCGCTGACGGACGAATAGGGAAAAATGCCAGATGGGGCTGTGTTTGGTTTCCTTGACAACAACACGCAATCGCACAGACTGAGTAATTTTCCTTAATCAGTGAACAGTGCTGATATCGGTCGCAATTCTTAGTGGAAATGGGGAGTATCAGTAACAAACCTTGAAATTGGGTGTATGTTTTAAAGTCTTCCTTACGCGAATGCGTGTGATACTGTTTGTTTCATTTTTAGGCCCAAAATATTCTAATTTACTCTCGCTTCGCCGACTAGTGTCAAGTAGGTCTCGTTGTTTTGACCTGACAAAATATCACTTACGCTCTATTCAGTTGCACCCAGATGTAGTTGAAATATTGGCTCTATATGGTTATGATAGATTCTTAAGACCGAATATAGCGAGTTTTGAAAGAGTTGTGTCGATTCATTGTTATAGCTGAGAGTAAAATCTTTCTTTGCCTGTTCAATTCCACACGAATTAATTTAAAAATGTTAATTACAAGCTAAAAAAAAAGGTTTCAGCTATTTTCAACTAATCTTTAAAAGCTGCCGATTAGATAATCTGACCTAAAACTACTTCTGTTGTTTCGAAACGAGAAACCAACTCTTAAGATACGAGAAAAAAAACTTACATCCGAAGGTTCGAAAGACAAATAGTGCAGCTACGGTTTCAGATCTGAATAGCATTAATTATTTTTTTCTCCTTAAAACTTCCTGTTTTCAATAGACAGCAGGCAGCAGCTTGTTATCTAATTCGGAGTGCTCTTTTGAAGTAATTGGTTTCACGCAAAGTGGAACAGCTCATGTTCACTTACGCATTATATTTTAAAAAATGCCGCTTGTAAAAAGCTGGGAAAAAAAAGAGGATTAATTTGAGATCGTGCCTGAAATCCTATTACGGAAACAATCAGCACGAAACTGGAACCTGTTTAAGCGCACCTCGAAAAGAAAAGTGCGGAAGTCTTATTTAAGATAGAGTGGAATTGGAAACTGGCTGAGTTCATTAGAGAATACGAAAAGGAAATACTTATGTGTGAAAAAAAGAGCATATATTCTTCTTCCTGTTGTCAATTCGTATGTAAACACAAGCATTAGAATTATTTCTTTATCTCTCGCCAGAAAGCCACGTGGGTTAACAGTGATCGAGTTTCTTTTATTTATTTATTTTTACGGGTGAAGAGAGAGAAACTTACTTGCTTGAAGAAAGTCGAAACTTACCGCTCATTTGGCAGGAAACTGAAATAAATAACTGAAACCAAACAAAATTTATCACATAGTTTGACTTGTTTTGTGAATCATCAGCCAGTTTTAATCCTTTTTTGCCCATTTGATTAAGGTCCTACACATTTATTTTTCGTTTGATATCTTTTTTTCTCGTTCAGGGTCATTTTGAATAAAATTAAATGTTTTCTCTGTGTGCTAGTAATAATAAGTTCTTTTGGCTCGTGTCGGAACATATCTTACTTGGGCCATTGCCATTGAGTGTTTTCCAATCCCTCTCCCCGACACGTACGTATTAAGATAGAGACATGCGTGTATTCGCGTGACTGATAAAACCGTTTCGCAGTAGATAGGGCGTCGGCAGCAAACGCTAAAAAGGGTCACTACGAGCTCATTGACTCATCCGACGGCTGATGGTCAGACAAGGGGGGGGGGTAGTACGGAAAGGGTCTCAGTGATTTGACTCCGCCGATGAATTAATACGCAAGAGCTGCAAAGTCGCGGTAAGAAGTTGCACACGTAAATATCGATCCGTCTAGAACAATGGAACAATATCCTGCTCAGCTGGAGGCCTTATTGATGTCTGTGTGAGGTATGTATTGAGCGACGGAACTGCTGAAAACAAGCGTCAATCGACGAGGCGTCGTGCCCGTTTCGCGCATTGGGAAACAATTCCACGAGCAACCCCCTGGGTACTAGATCAAAAGGTACTAGAACGTACTATGTAAACAAATCTCATCATGATAGGGGAAGGGAGGGTGTAAATAATGGTAAGCAACACCTCAGTGTAGACAGATTTCATAGCTCGTTTTCACAAGACGTCGCAATGTCCATAGTAGTAACGAAATGTTGGTTTCCAAGTCATGTTGCAGTCTGAGTCAGCCTTGAAGAATTTGAACTCTTTTCTTACACAAACAGATTCCTTTTTTTTCTATAAGTTTACTTCGCTGCCCAAAACGTCCTGATGTAAAATAGGTTGTTTTTAAAACAAAAATGAGAGATATCTTTAGAGTTGCCTTGAGACATAAGTTAAAATATTTATGACACTTACAATTTTTTTTAATCATTTCCGAGATATTTAGGTCACTATCTCTCCGGAGATAAAAATTGCACCAAATTGCACCGATATCAGCGAAAAGGGCCGGCACCATTGTTACAGAATTTTTACTCTTTAAACTGATATTTTCATTTATTGATGAATAATAAACTTCTCTGGTTTCAATGGTTTTACATTTACAAATGTATATAGTCCTCGTATCTTACAAGAAATATCAAGATAGGGTGTTTTCCATTTCCACATGGTCTATGAAGTAATTATCCGACGCACTCAAGTTCACAAGGGCTGCCTAAGAAACCTACAAATACGTCAATATTCAACTCACTGTACAGTGTACATTAAAACAAATAAAAAAAGTATCTATTATTAACAAGAGTAAGTCCCCACAACTGCATAAAAGAGTAGGGAGCTTTCAGGTAGAAGCCCGTCCAGACTTTATGCGGGATTTCACTATTTGATTTGTGCTAGTTAAAGTCCTCAAAGAGGGGTTTCACTCATTATTATTTACACCAAGACAACCACAGTAATCTAGCTACGTCGGTATTTGACATCATAGTAAACTATAATTTACAAAAAAAGCGAAATATCCTAAAGAGCAAACCTTATAACAGTGTCGTGCTATGATTGAAAAATGTTTGTAGCGTGGATGTAAAAGCGAGGAAAATATTTTAGATCTGTCCATCACGATGTATAAAATAAGAATCTTCTATTCAGTTGCGTTGAAAATGTGTTTTTGATATTTTCGTCAAGCACAGCCTGAAGCTACTGGTGGCGGTTTGCAAATGAGCGTTGTTTTCATTTCCTCCATGATCGAATCGAATTGTATGATTACGTTGGATGCCTTTGACTGAAATTTCTGCGATAGATGCTCTCTGTAAACTATCATAAAAGGCTGTCGGAAACATTTTGTACATAATATACAAACTTATGTACTCGCTGCTCCTTGAATGTCTCAGGTGTAGCGAGTTGGTTATCTATCTTAGTTCGTCACGCAACGTTTCCAGTGGTCACGCAATTGCGCGACTCCTCTAGCACCCGTTGCGTGACGAGGACCTTCGGACTGACGGCCTAGGAGACTACTCAACTTTGATATGTAAGTTTATCCTGTTTCACACGGTAACATTTTCCAGATGAGCATTTGGCTTGTCAATCTTCTGTTGATCTCAGCTAATGCTAGCGAAAGCTTCAAACGTCTTTCAGGCGAAGACAACACTCGCACGATGTGATCGATCTTTTTTACTTTTGCCTTGGTCTGATTTTCTTTGAATATTGCCGGATGTCCCTTGCGTTTTGTGGTGGGTTTCTCTGGCGGGTTCTTTGATTTTTCCTGCACAGCTTTGGGACTTTTGAGGTTCTGATACAGAGAAGGTTTGCGCACCTGTAGAAAGTGACAGAGGCACTGAAAAATTGTGAAGAGTACTTTCAATAAATCATTCGTTTTTCGATGAAAAGTTTTCTAAATTTCCTGCAATTTTTTATAGGCACTTTATACTTGAAACAGGTTGCCTTTTATAAACCACAAGCAACGTGTAAAGCCTATAAGGACAAAGCCGACTCCTTCCTCAGCCAATCAGCTGCGATGTCTTTTTGAAGCCGATTGTTTTCTCCGACCTCAAGAAGACCATTTCCATTTGACTTCACGTTAGTATCATGGCTAATATGAGTCAACAGTTCCCAATGTTTTCTAAAAGCATTAGCAGGGCGTGAAATTAATTTTTTTTTTCTAATAACCACTTGGCTCCTAAATTCTTCAACGTAGTAGCCAATTCAAAAAAAGTTGGTCGCCATTTTAAAAGACAAACAAAACCCTTTTTTACGCTGTCAGCGTTCCTGACATACCTTCCAAAATTACTTTAACGTGCCAAAAAGTGGACACTAGGATGGACGATATACAACATTCAAGCTCACCTAAATCCAAGATGGCGTCTAGTTGTCGATCGAGATGCATGTGCCGCGTTTCGGAAACAAACTTAACGAGGAAGTTTGCCGCGGATTTCTCTTTGCAAATCTATTTAATTCACCATATCTCTTGGTAAGGTTATGATGAAACATTCTAGTCGCCAAAGTGAAAAATTTAGTCGCATTGGCGCCTGTATTAGGCGCAATTTCACGCCCTGATTAGTCATACTTCTTGATAAAATGTCTTCATTTACATTCAGTTTTAAGAATATTTAGTCAAGAAAGCTATCAAATAACCATTCAAGTGATTTAGAGTTTTCAAAATTGGCATCAGTTTCTTCACTCGCCGACAAAACATAAGTCTTCTTCACAATCAACTTTTGGTTCAATCATGCACCGCGCAACTTAAGAGGGTAAGGATAGAGGGGAAGTGGGGGGGGAGTGGTGGGGGAGTGGGTTGGGGAGTGGGGGGGAGGGAGGAGGGGAGGAGTGGTGGGGGGGGAGAGGGAGGGAGAGCCCTTTGCGTGACAGCACCATGCGATGGCTGGAAAGGAGAATAGCTATTTTAGATACTTTCAACCTTAGAAATTAGCTAGAGTTTGAAGAGACAGTGAAATATTAGTTACGCGAGAAAGAATGTCGAAGAATTTAGACACTGAAGGACGATATAAGTTAACTTGAAAAATGCAAGCTGATCCAAAATTGACACTATGAACCTATCCTTACAAGAAAAAAGAATTAACTGACAAATACAATTGTCCTACCTTCCTCGAAAGAGGATCGCTAACCACGCCGCCATTTGGTTGTCTTTCCCTACGAGTACTGAACGACTGTCTTCTTGTTGTCCCCAAACGGTAACCTAACAACGATTTAATAATGTTGATCCTTCTTCCTCGAAGAAAGGGTTTTAAAAAAGTAATAAAAGAAGTCCTCTTTGGCTTTCGAAAGTCCCTTAAATTTCCACTTCGGAAATAACTTTTTTAATTAAAGATGACATTTTTGGCCCAGTTTTTCTCTCTTGAGGTAGCAATGCTAGCCGCAAATATCAGGGAAAACGAGAGATCTAATAAATCAGTGCATTACAAGAAATACGCATATTCCACTCTTTCTACTCTTAAGTATTGAATTCATTTAGTTATTTCTTATTACCTAGAGCTTTCATATAAATGACATCTCACCCCTTACCCCCAATCCCCCCCTCCTTCAATTATATCCAAACTCTCTCCAATTTTCTCACGATTCCTTTCACTGATTCCGCAAATAAAACAGAGGATTTTAAGTAGCCTGGTTAAGAATTTTGACGCAAATCCCCGCCTCTCCTACCTGAAAATCGTTTCCCACCAATCCTGCGGGTCTCCGGTGAGAACACGTGACCGCAAGAGCAGGTACGACTGGAGGCAGCGACCTATATAATAAGTGATACATATGCATATGACTCAAAATAATAAGTAAATAAATTTAAGGAAAGGATTTAAATCAAGATTCCCATTTCGCTGTAATCTTTTAGGTAAATGGACAACCCCTTAAAGACGGAGGATTTTTAAAAATAATTTTTTAAGGGAACTCAAGAATACATTAAACGCTGAGAATTGTGCCTGTACTTGCAAATTTACGATTAACACGAAACGGTCATGTTACTTTGAAATAAAAATTTGGTTTACTGATCAAACTTTTGGGCTAAATGGAGTTTGCGCCACTTCTTTACCAGATATTGTTCACTATCTTTTTCTTTGTTTGTTTGGTTTTTTTTTTTACAACTATTTATACCTTGCAGGCAGATGGGAGGTTTTACACATTCTGTGGTCTTTCTAATGTTTATTGGTTAGGTTCAAGCAACCGAATATATTCCTTGAAAATGGGAGAGCGACTAAGCACAATCATGAAGTTGTAAACTAATGGGACGATTTCAACAGCTACTCGTTTTTAATTTTCACATTCAAATATAGTTTAGCCGAGCGCATGTGATCGCTTCCTTAACGCTCTTAAATGAACGATTTGGATTTTCTTCGTTTAACAATCGACGAAGTTCGGCCCAGAGACAAACGCAGTCGATTTTCGCCGCACGAATTCGAATTTTCCAGGTAGTCGGAATATGCTACTTTGTGTCCACTTCATGGAAATGTTCTATCAGTTATACCAGTGAGGATTTTCAAACACTTCATGGTGCAGGAGGTTTTTTTTTCTCTAAACTTACACCAGGTCAATAAGCATAGGTTACAATTCCGGTAAGCGACGGCTGTTGAGGGAAATTATTTTACATACACTACTGCAAATGAGGGATTTATCTTACTTTTCGACGATTTGTAAATCTGTATAAAATTCGATTGACTCATTTTCATTCTCGTAAACGCTAAACTTAGACACGTTCAACTGAGATTTTATCCTGAACTAATTTTTGAACTTGTTCTTTGCTTTACTGAAGGTCCTAAAGTCTGGGAGTGGGTAAAAATGTTATGAATTTTCAGTGATCTGCGCCAGTTGTACTAGAGGTTATGTAAAGGAGTAAGGATTCGTAAGATAATAAAAGTTTTGTTGTAAGGATCTGCATTCTCTTTTTATCATGTTTTCGAAACGTAGCGATGTCTAAAAGGCTGGGAAGGCTTTACGTATTTTCATTTTTCAGTTAAGCCAAGTGTGCTTTCACTCCCTCGGCTCTGATTTCTGGTCCAGCAATGAAATTAAAGTTGCAACCAACCCAACCGGGGTATATACGCTTGAGCTCGCGTGCGTAAAATTTGTACAGTAAAATAATACGATAAGTTGCCTTTTGTCACCGTATTACGCGTAAAAACATACTCCCTTTTAACCTGTTTCAAAACGCAACAGAATACGTTCGTCGAGGACTGCAACGAAAGTCACACAAGCGCACCAAGCAATGTGATGGTTGTCGATGTTTTGGTAGCAGAAACGAAGATCGCATACAACTGATCATGAATTCACCGAACTAAAACTCTATTAAACGAAGCAAAACCGAATTAACCCCAACGATGGTAATCTTCTGAACTAATTTGTACTGTACTCAAATTCAGTAACAGGCTTGACATCAAACACTTCGTTGCGGTGAAGGACAACTGCCGGTGAAGACTTACTACAACGCAACCGATGATTTACAAACACTAAGAATCCTGGCTAACCTTAGAATATTTTCCTTTAGCTACAATTATAAGACTACTTCAACATACTGACAAACCTTTGAGCTGCAGGCTATGCAGAGCTTCAGCATTGTCCTCGCGCTATGTCTGCAAAACAAGACAAAACTCGTTTGGTAGGAGGCGAGCGACGAACGATTACTTCGTAGCCTACGTCAACAGCGCTCGAAAACAGCTCGATCAGAGTTCGTTAGGATTTGAGCGCCTTTTTGGCGTTGTTCCAGAAATTGTTATGAATTAGCATAACAATGTGGTTTTATTGTGACGAACGACTACTGTGAATTCGGAAAATATGCTAATTATGTCGTCTTGTTTTCGATTTCTTGCCTCTGAACAATCGTTCAGATATCAATGATTTTGTGACCAAAATGTCAACTGTCGTTTTTCAAGATATTATTTTTTTATCTGAATTATTCAAAGAAAATTCCCTATAATCTTGTTCTGAACACATGTCTAAGTAACCAAAATAATCGGCCTTATGCAAAAAACCACTGCGTCACACAAAGTTTAAATATGTATACATCCTGCAGTGAATTCATACGCCCACTCTTTTTTTTGTCCGTGAATCTTTTCGATAATAAGTAGTGTTGTCAACTTCTTGAGGCAAGCTAGTTTTTAGCTGCTATCTAACAAGTGAACGAAATAATAGTTGAGTTTTTTCTCCAGGGTTCAAAGGATTGTTTTTATATTTCCTCACATCACGCGGTGCGGTGGGTGAACGCGGTGAGGACACTTTTGTGACGCGAGGAATCACGATTTCTTTCGCGAGAGAAATACAGAGCGCGCGCATTCGAATCACTGATCGTCTTTAAAACGCGCAGACAAGATCTCTCGGAACGTTCTTAGAACTAACAGCTGTTATCAGACAATAAAGCGTGATGAATGAGGTGATGATGGTACGCGATAACCTGATCCTAACCCCTTGTTAAATTCAATTAGGGCGCCTGGAATCGAGCACATCACCTGTACTAAAACGCCTGGCTAGGTTCATGGCCAAAATTCTAAATTTTCACCGAAGGGAGGCCAGAAGCAGCAACCTCCTGATGTTTCGCAAGTGTTTTTGGTGTTTTTACAAGAGAATCCAAACGGAGCGACGGGTCTGGGTACATTTGTTAAGCGTTCGATTGACAGTGTTTGGTTTGAGAATTTTTGTACGCAAGGGTTATTGCGTTACCGTTTCGGTGGTGCTTTGGCCTACAACAGCTTTGTTATCATGCGCACAAACAGCTTTAAAAGTTGGACCTTACTTGTTATCTGTCTCAACTACAACCGCTGTCTTACTTTAAGGTGGAACCAAAATTGATTGTGTTCAAGCTGGCCTGATCTCAGGTTCGCAAATTCGAGGTCGAAAGTCTTCTTTTGCATTGAAAGAGATCGTGATGACTGCCTTCATTGGAAAGCTTTCCTCCGGTCTCTTAAAATTGTCTTGTCAACTGACGGCAATGTAAATAATTTCCTAATCAAAGCGCTGATGATAACCGGAGCCAAAACAAATCCCGAACAATGAAGTCTCGAGCTGTTATGCTTTCTTCGTCATCCGAGCACTATCAGTTAACTGTTAAATAACAGGTACAGGTGCGTACTTTTCTATCCTGCCCCAGGCTCTCAATTTACGGGAACGAGTCAAACAGCACGGAAAAGGAGAGAAAAAGAGGGTTCCGGGTCAATTACCCGAAAACCTCGCTTGATTTGGAGCGTTTTTCTTTTTTTGAGCTTCTAGTGTCTGTCCAAGCGTAATTAAGCTGTTTGTTTCGAGTAAAATTCTCTTCTCTTTCCTTTGATTGTGAGTGTCTTAGAGAACTTGGACTAAGAGCTCATCAAATATAAGCATGCGTCATGGGCTCAGAGAAGTGGATGCGCATGTTAAGAAGAGGCCCCACGCGAAGGAGAGATTAATAAAGCTTTCCGTGAAACCTGCTTCACAAGGCTGGTCTTAAACAATACCTTACTAAATTCCTCGCCCGCTGACAACTCCTAGGCGTTCTACCCGACTTAAAATTATATTACAGTACGTTTTTAAATTTACATTCCGTGCTTTATTTGTAGATTCTAAACTGCTTGATGTGAGGCTTGGATTCCACTTTTTTTGTGTTTTGCGGTATTCCATTGAAGTGTGGTTTTTGCTTTGAGATGAAACAAGGACCCAACTGATACATGCTGTCCCAGAGAGCTAAGATCAGAACCTTTGAATACCTGAGACCAAGAATTTAGATATGGCTCAGTGTTGAATGACAATATGATCTCTCGAGGAACGGCAAAGATTTCTGAAATTTTTTCAAAAGGATAACGGACTAATTAGGGTGTATTGGAAGGCCATGAGGGATTCCAGTGAACCTCTTTCCAAACAAAAAAAGCGCAGGATTTTAACTTTAAGGGTTCCAGGTTCGAATCCCCCGCACTAACATTCAGTTTCATTTGTTTTTCCGATGATATCTCCTTGAAAATCCTCCCTTGGCCTTATGGGTAACTAATCAATTTTCCTCAGTTCAGATTTTCACTGCGCTTGTTTATTTATTTACAAGAGATTAAAAATTGGTATGTATTAATTGTTTACTTGTTTTGTTTTAATATTCATGCGCTGCCCACAAACAGCGCATAAGTGTTAACTTTATCTACACCTCATTTAAACGATGTTTCCATAGTCTGCAAAAATTCCACACAGTATATCAATTGGTAAACCAATCTCGCCTCTGACTCGCCCACGTGGCCTATAAATTAAATTTTTGGACTTTAACCGCTACTTTTCAACACACCGAGCATCAATTTCCTTTAACTTCTTAGTGCGAAAGACAATTAGCTAAAAAGGAACATCTTTGTCCTTCGAATCAAGGCTGACCTGACTCTTTTTCGTATCTCGATAGTCGGCGACAATTACATGACACGACCTCAATTTCAAATTCTGGATGGATTCCTCGGTGGAATGGTCCTTAAACATCAAAAAGAAAAACTAAAAAGAAAATTAAATTATGCGCATCATAGATGAAGATAAGTTTGAAAACATCTGAGCAAACAAGGTTCTGTACTATAAAAACAGATTTGAGCTATATCCCCTATAGTGTGGAGTGAGCTGGCTTGAAAATTTCATTTCAATTTCGTCCGAGTATTTTCTTGTGTTGACGTGTTTTATCCTCATATAAGTACAGCGCTTCGTAAATTCGCCTTATTCATCCAGCAGACGTATCTTGTTGAATGCCGGGTTGTATAACTGGTTAGTGAGTGATAATTTGAAAGGAATTTTCAAATTATTATAATGACAAAGTAATAAGGCTTACGTTGACAAACAACTGAAGTATGCAGACGATCGTTTACAATGATAGCTAGAAAAATGTGGTTTCGTCCTCAAGTGTGTTTTGTTAAAACTGCTCTTAAAATATCTGGGGAGTAGAAAAGTTTTAAAAATTATTAGTTCTCTATCTAGTGCTAAACATAATAGAAAGATTGCCTTCCATGTACTCTGTAAACAATGCTTTCATATATAATTTCCAAACAGGTGTGCAAAGGAACAAAACGAAACCAAAATTGCCGAAATGACCTCGCAAGATATTTTAATTATATGTTAAATTGAAGCACCTCTTTGCCTGGTGTAAAACGCACAATAACTAACAATCATGAGTGAGTCAATTAAGAGGAATTAAGGCGGTCGCTAATTCCTAATTACTTGGGGACAGGTAGAAATGCAAACTCAACATAGATGCAAGAGTCGCTTCTGTAAAACCGTTCGTGTAATTTGGATGTAGGAGTGCTACTTCACTAAAAAGATAATTCGATTCCTGTAGAATGTTATTTCTTTTTAATTAGATTGCCACGAGAATAAGGCGTCATTCTTGTGTCAGTCATTCGTATTTCATGCACACTTGTTTACTTTTTTTTCTTTTTCAGATGCAAATTTCCACCGTAACATCGCTTTGTGCGCTAATTGACACCTAAACGCGAAAAGAAAATTATGATTAGTAATATATTGGTTCCTGTCCAAGCCAAGAAATTTATTATTCCGAGAACTAAAATAGCTAATTTTACAGCTCTCATGGGTTCGACTGAAAAATTAGTTGAAATCGGGCAGTAATTCTGGTTTCCTCTCTCAAAAGTTTTATATAAACAGCTTGTTTTAACACTATATGTTACGATGTACATTTGTACAAGCTGAAGAAATTTCAATAACACATGAAGATTGATTTTTCTGCTAGACGAACAATTGCTAGTGTATATGAAATTTTTTAGGCTAAAAACGCACCATGCAACATCTTCTTATCAAGGCATGAACGCCTCTCGTTTTTGTCCAACGCGTTTCATACTGATGTATATCATCCAAAGTATCACTTTTAACGGAAACGCGTCGATAAGGGCTAGTTGTACATGTAGATGGTAAAATCCGTGAAAAACGTCTCTTAGATTTTCATGAAATTAACAGCGTCACTTTAGCTGTAGAGATTTCATGTCACTCACAGCGTCTTCAACATTATGATCTCCTTCCAAAAGTTTTATCACCTCCTCGAACTGAGGGCTACATTTTACATTCGCACAAAGCGAAAACTTTGATGTATTATCGGTGATGGTGGGCAGAATGGTTTGTCTTCGGCTCTGCTTCCCTTGCCGACCCCGCCATTTCATTGCTAAGCTTCTTGCTTTAACTATTGTTGTAATAGAATAATGTTCTTTAGCATCAGAAGGAATAGACAGCGACCTTTTTCTCGATGTAACCATCAACAACGATGGCGTTTCACTTCCACGTCTTTTTCCAGCCGTAGGTAGCTTGCCTTTTATCATTTCTATCGCTTGCCCTGAAGGCTTTGTTGGTTTAACTTTAGCAGAAATGTCGCCAACTTTTCCTCTTGATTTTGACGAACTGATACCTGGTTTTGCGTTTGAGCGAGATAACTGTAAAGGCTTCGAGGAGAAATTTACTTTCTTAGAAGAATATTGTTCGATTAAACTCGATCCCTCACGACTCCAATGTTTTGTAACATGGTAACCCGCAATCGAAGGTACGACATCAAGAGTTTTACTTCTCTCTCTCGACTTCAGTCTTTCTTTTCCAATCCCAGTCATTATTGATTCATTTTTGGCACTCTTAATGCGATTTGTACCTTTCCCATGTGTCATTGAAGGTGCCATGTTATATCTCCGTAATTCCAAAACTGGATCAACCTGGGTAAACAGACCAGTGTGTGGCATGTCTTCGAAAAAACACGTTCAAGATTGTGTAAGTCTATGTTTTCAACAACATACCCAAATCACTCTTTCCCATCGCGATTCAAAGGACCCTTTCTCTTTGTCGAGTTCTTTTTGTAATGATAAAATGAATGGGCTATTTTCTCATTACGACTAACGCCAAATTAAAAGCGTCTTTTATGTTCGCACACCCGTCTTACCTCAGCTATTGTGCGAAGACTTGCATCAAGATGTGTCATCTTTCACTGAAAGCCAAGCGTGTCACATTGACAACAAAATGTAAATTGCCTCGATCAACAATAGGGTTACTGTCAGCTTAGCCTCTTGTTCTTTGTACACTTCGCTTGTTAATTGTTTAAATGTTGACACTTGTTTCGGTGAATTCGAGAAAGCTGATTTTCAAATTTAGATCTGGCAGCCAATTGCACAGCTTAATTCTTAAACAAACTGACCACGAAAGACGGTGGTGAGTTATTTACACAGGAAACATAATAGAGTCGGTTAGAGAGGACTGTGCTTTTTCTTTAAACAATGAAGTAAATTATTAGACAAAAGTTGGCTTTATATTGTAATGTACTTTAGTATATGAGACATGTATATTCATTGTACTAATTAAAGCGCATTCGAAGAAAATTGTGGTGTTATTGTGTACCAACCCTGACTGGGGGGTTATCCCCTTCTTTATATTTCTCACCAAGTACAAAAATTTCGCTTTAAGTTACGACATTGAATCAAATTTGGCGTCATGTGAAATTACATGTGAATGCAATAGAACTATGAAATGGTTGATCGCTCGGGTATGAAAACGCTTAAGAAGTGAGAAAGGGGGCGAGGAGACTGGGGTGAGAGTGGAAAAATTAAATGCGGATTGCAAATAACGAATTTGAAAATTTCATTCAGCTACATTACTAGTATAAATATTATCAAAATGGCAAAACGTTGACGCAACTTAGTTGCATATTATGTCCCACTGACTCGCAGATATTCCAGTATGACACTAAGAGATTATATTTTTTGAGTTAGAACCTAAATTTAAACAGAATCTAATGGCGCACAGTTCGTTACAAAATTTGATAAAATCTTAGTCTTCACTGCACTGAAAATGCGGGGCTACAATTAGCATTGACCTACAGGTAATATACATTCGGAAGGGATTTTGTTGACGAAGTCTGATACAGTGCTTGGTAAAAGTGCTACATTTCAAAAAACTTTCGGAGTGAATGGAATACGGAAAGTGAGAACATCTGGAGAGCACTTTCAAAAGAGCAATGTAATCGTTCATCTCACGATGTGGTCAGTTCAGATGCGAATCGCGATGTTTGACTACATTCTGCTAGTCTTCTACAGGCGAGTGTAGTTTTCCAGAGGCTTCCTCTGGAAACTGTTCGGTAAAATACAGGACGCTTATTCCATTATAGATTTAGTACCTAGTATAGAAATATAAGATATAATTGACAAATTTTAGCTCCTTTCTAAGATTTTGTATATCGCTGAGTTGAAACTTGTTTGATGAATGATTCAAAACTTAATAAAAATAAATAGAATGCTTAGTGACGCAATACAGGTAAAGTACAAAAAACTAAAGAAACACATATGTCAAGATTAAAGAACTTGCTAATTTTGTGAAATAGCCGCTTTCTAATACCCTGAAGACATCATATTCATGGTTCAACTGGTTCAAATGATAATCTTTTATTTGACTGTTTTTGGGCTTAATCGGTTCAGCTCTTAGTCCTACAAACAATAAATATTGGAGCTAATTCATTTCCTCGAGCACTCGAACAATTGACTAATTACAGTTTAATTTACTAAAATGTTCTTAAGTACTCGGATAATTGATTAATTAGGGCCTAATTGTCTTTTCTCATGTAATATTCAATGTACGGTGATTCTCGTAAGACAGCCTTTTGGATCACTTCACGCAAGGGTTGGTATTTCTTTAATGCAATTCGTGTGTGGTTAACATTCATGTCCTACACAATTTAATTGCGCCCAAAATTTGCTTGCTAAGGTTTTTCTGCAGTTTTCATAAGTGACGGGTCATTATTTATCACCTGAGAGGACGGGGGATCGAAGGATTTTGGTTGTGTCAACCACCCCTCCCCCCCTTCCAAGGCGTTATATGATCACTGGTCAGAGGGGGTCCATCTTTCCTTTTACCCTTCAATTCCGTTACATTCTCACGGACATGAGTGGGGTGGGTAAGGTGTCTCAAAGCGACAATGCCCAGACACAGCCTTCATTTATTAACATATATATTTGAAAAATCTCCTCAGTATACAGTTCTGAAAAAGTCATATAAACCAAAAGTATGACTGTCTCCTATTTTTCGTCAGCTCTAAGCTTTTAAAACTATTCCGTGTAAGTTGTATATTTAATGTGTCGTGCACGATTTGCATCATTATAAATATGGTTATAAGTGCTTTCGCGTAACTTGAACGGAAGTACTTTACTATGAGTGCGTTCGGAATATCTCATTTAAGCGACAGAAGAGGCCCCTTTGCTTATTTGAATATTCCAATATTATAAGACACGATATTCTGGTCATCAAGTTGTGGTATCTGAGAAATGCATGAAGGTAAAAAAACTGATACAAAAACGGTTTAAAACTGAGTAGAAATCAAAAATTAAAAATGTTTCACCGAAAATGAAGCTAAACCAAGAGAGGATTCTCTCTTAATTGTACCTTATAGGCAATGGATGCTCATAAAAAATAAAAATAACGTATGAAAGAAATTATTAGAAAAGTCAAATATTTGCAACAGAAATTTTCTCAAAACGTGTTTTTTTTCGCTTCTACATCGTGTGACATATTTACCTGTAAACGTTCTCGCTTTGTTTTAGACCTTAAGGTGAGATATATCACACGAGTTTAAAACACTGCATTAGAAGATTATCACTTCTTTGAAATCTTAGACACTCTTCTTGTCCTCGCATTTTCCATGGCCCTGGCCTTGCTCTTGGTACAAATCGAAGAGTGCTGTTCTTCATCCTGCTCCTTACAAACATCCCCACAGTACCCCTGTGTGTTACACCTTTTGCACCACACTTGAGCTGGTTTACCGCACAAGCAGAAATACTCGCAGCTCTCTGTCATAAAGAGATCAAAACAAGTCTTAGCTGTCAGTGTTTACAGATCTAGAGTCACTTGAAACAATTCACCGTTCGATCATCACGCATGCGCATGATTATGATTTTCGAGAGAAATATTAGAGAGAGCAAATCTCACCAGGCCCCAAGACTTCTGATCAAGTTAGTACTTTCCCAAGCCGTACCTTCCTAAAGAATCCACGATGGTGGATTCACTTCATTATAACGAAAAGCACTATGCAGCCAAATGAGTAGATTTTTGGCTTCCTACACCTATTTTCCGATGCAATTTTGGTCTAACTAATACTGGAATTCCAATTTTTTTGTGATGGCTTCAAGTCTATTACCCATCGTGTTTTCCTTCGTTACTTTCTTTTCCGATATCTTCGACATTTTTGTATTAAAAAAAATTAATAAAATAAAAAAGATGATAATAAATAAATAAATAAACGAATCTCGTGCCATTTCTGATTTCAAAAACATTTCAAGAACTTTACCTGCGCCGTGGAACACTTTGACATACACAGTCTTCTTATAAAGCGCGGACAGCACCAGCTGTGTCTCTGTTCGGGGGTCAATGATTTTCATTTTTCGCGAAATAAACAGGTATCTCACTGAGCCAAGGTAACCTGGCAACGAGTGATTGATATCTTCCCTTAATTCTGCCAATGTTCCTCCTTTCTTGGCATTCACTATCCCTGCCACGTGCGCCAGGATCCCCATCTCTGCGTTGGGTCGAATCACCTTTATTTGCATTTTGCGTCGCTTTACCACTTGGTCTACATGATACGAAGAGGAAGAACAATGTTAGATATAACATCAGATTTCGACACTTAAAGATAATTCAGGAGAAACGAGACTAAGGAATGGTCTGCACTCAAGACAGACTCGCAAAAAGATGCTTATACTTCTTACCCCAGTATACCCCGACGAGGAGTGTTGTTACCTCCCCATCGTGTGCGCACCCCCGGATGATACCCATCCTGAGCTGTTCCTTTCCTAAGAGTATTTTGAGGGATTACCTATTTACACCTTGACGATGAAAAATATTTATTTTATTCCTCAGTTATAGACGAGTGATTTTCTACAGCAGGTTTGTAAATTTTCCCACGCGTGTTTACCCCTTCCAATGGTGCCTCTTTCCCTTAGGATATTTCGCCTATTTACCTCAGATACTTCTTATGTGATAAAGATCAATTGATTCCTCAACGATGAAGAAGTGATTTTCTAAAGCGGATTCCTTGCGTGTGTTATCCCCCCCCTCTAATAACCCTCTTATGTTGCCTCTACCCCTTAGATATTTTAGCTATTGACCCACTACACACTGACAAGGCGGAAAATTGATTTTACTCCTCTGGTTTTAACCGTTTACCTCCCATGAGTGATCAAGAGAAAATTTCTCCTTACAAAATCAATACAATGTTAAGCATAGGAGTGATGAGAATAAAGAAAAATATCAATTAGGGGATTATCAGTTGATCCGATACCAAATTCTCCAAATCTACTTCATAAGAATTGTATGGCAGATAGTAAAAAGAATTACTAATGAGATCTTGGGAGTTAAAGGGTTAAGCAGAGATATCTTATAGCAAGTTCTCACTTGTGACCACCAGGAAACCCGGCATATTGAGCAGGTCAATGTTGTCCCCGAAAGATGACGTTCGCCTACGTAGGAATGCCTCTTTTCTCAAACTCTCATCAAAGTCATCATCATCGTCGTCATCAAGTACATCCCCCATGACCACAGTTTCTTCCAAAGCTGGCAATGATTTAACGGGGGATTGGATTTCAGTCTGAGAGCTTGTAGTTGATAACGAAAGTTCAGGAGAAGTGGGAGGAACTGGAGAAGTGTCCGTATCCTCACTCGTCCGAAGACTGCCTTTGGAACTGTGGACCGGTGAAGATTTCCTGCTGATATTTGGAGTAGTTCTGGGTGTTCCTTGTTTGGACGGGACGGCAGAAAATGCAAGAATTGGTTTTGGACGATCAGCGTCATCTTTCAACGTCAGCTTTGGACTCTGCAAAATAGGGCATAATTTTCAGTACTTTAAGAATATTTTAACCCATAAGTTATTTGCATGTTCATTGCACAAGTACTCGCAAGGTTGTAGACTAAGTATGCTACCTGAGCAAGAATCTACACCAGATAAGGTGCTGAAGGAAACTCAAATGACGCATTATGACACTATCAATGCTTGATGTATCCACTGTGTTGATTCTTTTCACATTGGACGAAAAAGTGTGATTTTTACACGCACCTTATTCATAGTTGATCGGATTGTAATAAGAAAGCAGGTTTATATAAATTCCAGGTATCTTTTCAAGGCCAAACCTTCCAGAAGGAACGTCATGTTCTCATCTTCCCAAGAACAAAAATTAATAACATGACGAGGAACTCGCACCCGAACCACAACAAGATTCAGAGTCAGTTACGCTGGTCAGACCGGTATTTTTCGATTTCAGTAAAAAATTTTACCTCAGAACTTGGCAGTGGTTCTTCTACCTCTTCAAAAGCTGGTTCTATAGTTTCTGCAAAAGCAACTGGAGGCATACATTTTCTTTTATCATCGCTTCGTGTCGACTCTGTAGAGCTGTGCACAGACCAGGTCGCACTACCACTGGGTTTAAGATACTTAGCTTCCATTCCAAAAGCTTTAGATTCGTTTTCTTTAGAATCTTTTCCACTGTCGATGAATATGTCCGGAGTTTCTGGTGGCGTTGGGTTAACTTTGATCGCTCTGCCTTTCCGGCACCGACAGTAAATTACTATGACAACTATGAAAATTACTAAAAACCCTGCAACACAAGCAATAATGATGATATACAACGCCATGTCGTCTTCGTCTTTAGGAGCATCTACTACTTTCATTTGTTCATCATCCACCCTCATGATCGGTCGTGTTGTAAGAGTTGCACCATTAAATTCGAATTTCAGCCCCTCTTTCACGTCGTCCCAAAGGTTGTCTATCGTCGCTTGTTTCTTCGATTTGCGCAAAGTCATGTTAAATGTGGCTATGATGCTACCCTTTCGGACACGGCAGTCAGAGAAAGTCGCATCGGGGTAGATCTTAGATAACTGGCTCTCGCAGTAAGCTTGAAACTGCTCCTCCTTGCCTCCGATTACCTGATCGTAATCGCCGTCGAAGGTAAGTTCCACAGTTACCGTAACGAGCGGATCGTCATCGTTTTCATTGCAAGTTTTAGTTGACTCAGATAGTTGCAATTTACGCTGTGGTACAAAGATCGCCTGATTTTCAGCCCAGGTAATGGCATCCAATTTGGAGACAGGATTAGAGGAGGAGAACATCGCAACGACATGTTTTGTTCCGTCGATAGGTGTCTCTTGCAGGATAGTCACACCCACGTCGGTAGCCTCCAGTTCGGAGTTGGCAGTTGCAATAATAAACTTCTCGTTGGCAAAACTAGCTTTTATTAAGCCAACTACGGACGAAGCACCGTCTAAAGCTTTGGGAGTTCCTGAGGAAAAAGTTGTACGTGCAAGTTGCGCACCAACGTCTGCACCCTGATGCGAGAAGACAAAATATACTTCCGTTTGCATGTTTGTAACTGGTGATCCATCCTTGTTAGCTAGCTTCAGAGAGAATTCTAAGCCACATCGATCAGAAGACTCCCTGTTGTGGTCAGGTACTTGGTATGTCAGCTCAGTCACAAATTTGGCGCTTTTCAGATAAATTAGCGACAAGAAAAACGCGTCGTTAACCTCGATGACTTCGTTCCAGTCAACATCCATACGTTTCCTCATCTCGTCAGTGAACCGAGATTTCGAAGAGGCAGTGATGTAGGCACTGATGAAAGCGACGTCAACAATGTCAAACGTACAGTCCACATCTACGTCACCCGATATCTTATTCGAACAAGAAGACACTGTCACGTTTTTACTTGGCACCGCCGAAAGTTCCTTATTGACTGTTCTGAAAACTTGAACCATAACCTCAGGGACTCCCTTTTTCTTAGAAGTGAAGGAAAGCTCGCCAACACTTTCCGAGAAAGCTTCTGATGCTGCTACTGGTCCAAATATGGTCACCACGTTTCCAGCCACATCATACGGTAAAGAAGTGAAAGCTCTTTCAAGCTGTAAGTAATCCGAGTCGAACTGAATCTCTACCTGTACTGCCAAGATTCCCATAGAGCCAGGGTTTACCCTGATGGGCATTTTCCATGTGTCGTCTTTATCAAGCATCGGGATGGGTGGGCCCTCCCTCTCTCCGATATCAACTTCACCGACCTTTGGCTCCAGGTTGCAATAAAAGGCAAATTCTGCTGTGACACTCGCATTTACAATGAGGCTGGCCGTAATAGTGACACGACTACTGCTGTCTGCGACCAAGGTCACCACGCCAGACAGTGCATCGATTTTTGCTGAACCAGGGTTGCTTGAGGAAAACGATAGCAAGCCACTGTAACTTGTGAAGTTGTTGATTAAATAGCTCGATCCATCATCCATTAACAATTCAGCAAACGCCGAGGTAGTTTTTTCTATAGCAAAACCACTAAGAGTCATATTGACATTTTCCAAGCCAAACCGGACGATGTTTACCGGCTTAAAGACCTTCGAAGACAAGGGCAAGTTAAGAACTGCAGCATGACTGCGCGCGAACTCTGCTTGCAACAAGACTTCTCCGCTCAAACCATTTCCTTCGATCGAAAACAAATTGTTTGGAGAGGGTCCAAATTCATATTTACCTCCTATTTGCTGAGCGTTTTTAAACGTAAAAGTAGTGTTATGATTACTAGAAACATCAACGACTTGTCCATTTGTCAAGGCGACAAGAACTTTGAGTAACACCCGCTGATAATGTCCGGAGATAACCTGTTTTAGTTCTGTGACCTTTGATGCGCCGGGAGTTTCAGGATAAGGCACAGCACTGACAGTAAGGTTATTACTGCCCACCACAGTAACATTGACTTCAACAGAATTGACATTCGTGACATGTACGATTAGTTTGCCTGTTCCGAACAAACTTCGGTCGTTTGCGACGATGAAAAGTCCGCCATTAGTAGTAGCGCTGAAGAGACCATTGGATTTCGAAGAGTCGTCAACCGTATAACGGTCCCCTTCTGAAGTGATGTCTATCTCTGTTCCATTCTCAAATGCTAAAAGCACCTCCAAGTCAGATTTGTGGGGAACGCCAGCCAAACCAGCGGGATTCAATGGAGAAGCGATAAATGCATGTATCATTCGAGCTTTAGCAGTGTACATCCCGCTGTCATCGATGTTAATGACTCGCACCCTCAGGTGAGCAGTGATTTTCTTCCTTTTCCCAGGGTCTAGACTGCTGTCACTCACAGTGACTTCCAAATTGTGCTCACTAACTGTTTCAAAATCCAACTCTTTTGCTAACGTGATGACACCTGTCAAAGATTGCAATCAAAAGATTTTAGAAACTTCTTACCTCTGACAGAAAATCTCGAAGACCAAAGAACCGACAACATATGATCAGTACCAGAAAGGCAAAAATTTGTCACATAAAAAACTGCGTTGACTTCATTAGTAAGGAATATCCTTTAAGGAAAAGGAGAGAATTGCATTGCATGGAAAAAGTCACTTCACCTTGCTCGCAGAATGCATAAAATCTACTTTTTGTCATCACTTATTAAAAGATTGAAGCAAGTCTGTTGCGCATGTTTTATAAGTACGAGGAACAAGAGGTGACTCCCTAGGTTTCATGTCTTTATGGTACTGTACCTACTGTAGCTCTAACTTACCCGTGACGTTGTCAATATCGAATGTTCCAAAACTGTTACCCGCAGTCAAGGAGTAAGTCAGAACACCATCTTCACCGTAATCACCGTCAGTTGCATTCACATCAAAGATAACCAAAGCTATGCTGGTGTTTTCGCTTAGATCTACTATTTGGTTATCAGCATGCTCCAGGACCGGTGTGAAGTCATTCACGTTCTGTACAGTGATGATCAAAGATACTGAACTGTTACGTGGGACAGGTGTTCCTCCGTCCTCAACAAATATAACCAGTTGATAGGTTCGGTCTGCGGTATGGTTTTCAGTTTCTAGATCTAGGTCCTTAGCGGCTCGGACGATGCCTTGTTTGGACTCGATGCTGAAGAATCCTCGGTCGTTGCCGCTCGCAATAGAATAGGTGAGGTCACTATTGGATCCTGAATCAGGATCATTTGCCTCAAGTGTGATGATTTCCCCCCCAGAGGTAACAGTCTCGTCGACAGGCTTAGAGTAAAAGTTTTTAACGAAGGTAGGAGTGTTGTCATTAACATCCTTCAAGCTAATATGAACAGTGGTCGTTCCAGATTTGCGGCTGCTTGTTGCTTGGTCTCTCGCTGTAACAACAAGATCATATGTAGGCTGAACCTCTCGATCTAAGGTGGCATCGTTAGTTATGATACCACTTGCAGCATCTATCATGAATCTTAGATCGTTGTTGCCGTCAGTAATACTATAAACTATTTCTCCGTCTGCGCCAAAATCCGCATCGGTAGCATTTGCATCGTAAATAACGCTTCCTTTTGCAATGTCCTCATCAACTATGATTGACACATCAGAAGATGCAAAACTTGGCGCGAATTCGTTCTTGAGAATCACGTGTATGATGAGTGTAGTGTTTGAGGATAGCAACGGCGTCCCAGCATCCTGTGCTCTAACAACCAGAGTGTGCGTCCACGTTGAAAACTTCCTGTTATCCATATCGAGTGAGGCTTAAGGATGGAAAACGTTAAAAATAAGAAACTGTTGTGGAAACACTGTTAGCTATTGTGATACGTTGAAGACCGAGTTCCCAACTAGGAAGGGACTTATTGTAAAAAAACGATAGAAAGAGTTTATAAAAGCTTTTAATGAGTTATTGCCTGAGAGTCACCACGTCACACAGAATGCACTTTTGTTTTACAAGTGCGAAGAAACATCCTTCATTTGTGTATGTTCCCAATTTTTATTCAGCTAACTGTTAGGTGAGCAGAGAAAGTGTAAAATTTAATGCTAAATGTATGTCCAACATTTACATCATTGGTTTATTTGATATTTCACCGGTTGAAAACGTCCGTAAAGATTAACAGATAAAGGCTAGCTAATCAATTTTTGCGACATCGCGTGCTGTGTTGAAAAAGTGATTGCGAAACCTTCAGTGCATGAACTAAAAAACTGTTTGGACTGTCCCTCAGTAAGGGCCAATATTTAACTTCGGTGGATTCTATGGAGAGGAATCGGTTAAATAAAGGAGCTGAAGAGGCAAGAATTTGATATATCATTGCAAGTCACAAGCTTCAGGAAATCAGTCATTTTCTTACCGTTTAATGTGAGCTTTCCAGTGGAAGAGTTTAAACTCCATAACCCATCGCTAAACTCTGATGAGTTCCTGAGTAAGATTGAATACGACACAAGACCATTCAAACCACCATCGGGATCCAAAGCAAGGAATGTAAAAACTTCTAATCCAACAGCTGTGTCCTCGTCAACATTCACTTCATACCGAGACTGAGAAAATGTGGGTGCGTTATCGTTCAAGTCCAACACACTCACGTACACGGTAAAAAACGCATACTTCACGTTTCCCGCTTGGTCGTTATCACGCGCGTGGATTCTCAGGGTGTAAGATGGGGACGTTTCGTAATCGAGTGAAGATGCAAGCGTCAGTTCTCCAGTTGATGCATTGAGGGAAAACTTCCCTTCGTCGTTACCTGCATGTAAAAAAATTACCCTCAAATGAGCTTACTACTCATAAAAATAGTAAACACGCGAGATTAACGCGGAAGATTTTAACACGTATTTGGATTCTTGTTTTCGGTTTCTTTGTAATTTTCATCATCAACGAGAGATAGATGACGAAAAATAACAAAAATAACAAAACCACATAAATCTTAGACAGGAGCTTGCCTAGATATTTTGGTTGATTGAAGGGTAAAAACTGATGAGAAAAACACTTTTTAAGCCAAACGTTTCGAAGACTTCGGAAGTTGTAGTTCAGAGCTATTCAACGGAAAGAAAAAGCAGAAGAAAGATTAAATGACATGGGAAAACAGTCCCTGATAAAAACAAACAAATTCGCAGAACTGACTCATCCGTTAGAAGGCTTCAATGGGTGAAAGGCACTGAGCCGGAGAAGGATGTTGGGAGAGAAAAAAAAGAAAAAAAAACTGAATTGTCTTCCTCGTACCCACCTGAGCTAAAGGCAAAAGTCACCCGTCCCTGCTCCCCATAGTCCTGATCTGTAGCGTTAACATCAAACACAAAAACTCCATCCCCAACAGGCACATTTTCGGCAAAACTGAAGTTAAACGAGGAGTTATGTTGAAGCTGTGGCGTGAACTCATTAACAGGCGTGATGCTGATATTGAGTGTGACGTTTGTGTTCATACTTGGCGTTCCCATGTCTTGAGCAAGAACAACTAAAGAATGACTGAAATCAGGAGTCGGTTCTTGATCCAAGTCCACCGAAGCATTTACTTTCACCTCTCCTGAAGTGCTGTTGATGGTGAATATTCCCGCTTCATTCCCGTCTATTATGGAATAAAGGACTTTACTGTTTAAGCCTTCATCAGGATCGTTAGCATTGAGTGTTATCACGGCGTCACCGATAGCTGCATTCTCTTGGATAGAAGAGGTAACTGATGGGTTGTTGAATGAGGGGGCATTGTCATTGATGTCAGAGACGGTAACTACTACCTGTCCGTCTGTGGACCGCACCTTCTCAGGAACGGCACCGTCGGAAGCTCGCACAGTGAGCGTAAAAACGGCAGTAGTTTCGCGGTCAAGCTCTCCGATAGTTGTGATAACTCCCGTCGTGCTGTTAATGGAAAATTTGTTCTCAGTGTTCCCGGCCACTAAAGAGAACGAAACATCTCCTTGAGAACCAGAATCTTGATCAGTTGCGGTAACCGTGGTAACGGTGGTGCCAATAGAAACGTCCTCTGGAATAGATGCATCGTAAGAACCGCTAGTGGGGTCAAATACGGGTGAGTAGTCGTTGACATAAAGAACTTCGAAGGGCTGTGAGAGAACCTGAAGAACCAAAAAAGCCTTAAATTAGAGATAACTTTATAGCGCGAGCAATTAATTTCAAATTATATTCCCATAATGATCAATTAAAGCTGAAAAATTGACTTAAAGGTATTGGAAATCAAGGATTCTCAGAGATAGAAAGATGCTCGTATGTTCATTAATTTCTTGACCTGGAGTTAACGTAGATCGATAGAAAATACAGAGAAACTCAAGAAACTAACCTACATGATCGAAATGGGTTTAATTACAATGCCACTAAAGGTTGCTTCATATTATCCTTGTTTATATTACAGTTCCTGAGTCAACTATTTTCTGCGAGGAAGCAATTGTCCATTGTCATTCATGCTCTAAATTTTTTCCGGCAATCATTTTTCAGTTGTTATCTCGAATCTCTGGAAAATTTTGCTACTTATTTTTCTCGAGTTGTTAGAAATCAGTACAAATATAAAATTTAGAAGCATACCACTACATACCATATGGCCTTGGTTGGACTCGAATATTAGCTTATATCCAATGCCATAGAAAGAAACAGACAAATTGTTAAACTCTGCTCTCTCTTTTTCCACTGTAACGTTTAGTACTCCACTTAATGTTCCATTCAAAGCCGATGGTTTGAGTGACGCAGAAATGGACCAGTCACCTTTCAGCGGGTGTCCACGCGCGCGTGTTCCAAGGTCGCGTATCTCCACCACTGGGGGAACTCCAAAGATTTCTGATTGGTTAGCTTTGTCGGGCTGTGTGATGACTTCTAGGTAGAATTCCCGCGCGCTTACGTTGAAAGTTTGTGAGGTTACGGACAGGCCTGAGTAAGATGAGGCTGGTTCTGTGATGACAGAGAATTTCATTTGACGTTCTTGAGCTGTGTCGAAGAAACTCAAATCTTGAAACTCTACGCGCCCTGTGGTTTCAACTGGAAATAATGTGGTACCGTTGACCACAGAGTTGTCAGCACCGACCATTGTGGCATTTATCGACCAAGTTCTCCCTCTCCAACCGATGTTATCCACCAGCGAGTCTGGAAACGCATTCCTTATTTCTATAATCGGCTGACTGCCACAGATCACTGTGTCATTACAGTCACTAGGTTGTTGGACCAGTTTGAGATAAAGCACTCTTTCAGATACATTAAATGCCGAGGAATTACTAGAAAAGGCATAGCTTGAGGCTGGATCAGTTTTGGCCTTAAGTGCTAGGATGTAGTTTTCTCCAGAGAGGTCGATGCTGAGGTTTGAAAACAAAGCTACACCCTGGACAAACTCTACTTCAGTTGTACCATTTAAATGCCCATCATTATCTGTGAGATTAGCCAGTGAGGCAGTGAACAACCAACGACGTCGTTTCCAGCCTGTGTTGTCCACAATTTTACCGTTTGCTGAATCTCGAACTTCAATTCTGGGTTGCTGTCCGAAACTGACTGTTTCGTTCGCGTCGTCGGGTTGAGTGGTTATCGTAAAGTACAGGATTCTCTCCTTGACTTCAAACGACTGGGAAGTAGCGTTGAAGTGAGAGGCTGCTGGTTTGTTGACATAGAAGAATAATTTGTAGTCAGAACCGTTGTGAGTGATACTTAAATCGGTAAAATTCGCCCATCCATTAACTAGTGTCACAGTCACATTTCCATCTAACACCGCCATGGAGTCTCCGGTGCCATTCTGTATGGTTGCCATGACAGTCCAGTTGCTTAGGGAACCATGCCCTAAGGTTGTCACTAACTTTCCATCAACGTCGACAAGTTTGAGTTTGGGCTGTGAAGTGAACGGTACAGTCTCGTTCCCACCGCTTGGCTCAGTCACTACCTCTAATCTAGAAGGAATAAGGAAGCTAAACACGTTACTTGCTTCTTCTGCCTCCTTCTCAGCTTGGACCACGTCATACCGAAGTGTGGAGTTTCCCGTTATATTTTGTTGATCTGAAAGACAAACACATGAAGATCGCATTTGAATAGGGCTGTTTTTCAATCGAGTGCTGGCATAGTGCTCAGATGGCATTTTGTAGCTGGCCCGTGTAATACTCGTCTTGTATCGTTAACGTTGAAGAAGTCATGATGAGGCCACTGTTGGACAGTTTTTGACAAAACTAATTTTTGACTAGTCTCTGAAAATTTCCCCCTGGATATGTTAGAATTCAAAACCTCTCTTTCGGCTGAATCAAAGTGCAACCCAAGCAACGCCCAAATGAAGCACTGATCAAACATTGGGCCTTCGAAAAGCTGCGATAAGGAGAGGGCATAATCAAGAACTTACAAGTCTCATTGGTAGCACGAATGCCTCCGGTCGGGTCAACAGGCTCAGGGATTGGATCTGTTATATCCAGCGACACGATTTCAGTGTTCAGTTGCCGTGCAAGCTGCCCAGTCTGTACGTTCTCCACTACTGAGTCTCCAATCTCTTTAAGCTCATCATAGGATGTAGTCTTGTTAACTGCTGTAAGAATGGTTATGCAAAACATGATATATAACAAAGTACAAGTCGGTTCAGTCAGATATGATGATAAATAAGACCTTCACCGGGGCCCACATCGTGTTAAACACATGAGTCCTTATAAGAGGGATAAAGTTGTTACGATTGACACTTTTGGTGATATGAATTTTCATAGGAATGCACACGAGTGAACATGAATGCAGAAATCCATAGTCTAATCCTAGCATGAACTTAGGGGGTAAAGCTCTTGTTTTATTTAGGATTATCCGAATGAAAATAATGTTTTCTGGCGTCGGAAAAACTCCTCCTTTCATCCCTATGGTTTAACTTTCCAATTTCAAAGTTCCAAAAAAATTTTCAGAACACCTCAGTAACATTTTTATAGTACTACCCTTAGCAAAAATAGATTATAACTGCTTAAAAAATGTTTCCAAAAGATGAAAAAGGGTACCAAGATGTCATTCTTTTCATACCCGTGTAGTTTGATGAGGATGAAGTATTTGAAGCCGTAGGAGGATCGGCGATCTCAATTTCCACGGAAATGTCACCAGCGGATCGCCGTCGTCGCCGACTGTTGCCGTCAGCGCTTACAATGTTCACCACTCGTATGAGAGATTTGTCAATACCCAACAGATCAGCTAGGTTATTCACCAAGTTCACTTTGAAAAAGTCATCAATGGAGACAGCCTTCATTCCAATTTGTACCTACCCATGGAAATTTAAATTTTCAAAAAGGTTTTGAACACTGTTATGAGAGTCAAACTTTTAACGTCAGAGATCTGATTAATAACACGCGATTCGAGGTGCGAAACATACTCTCAAAAATTACTTTAAAAATTATTTTAAGGACTATGATGCAGTTCGATATAAATCCTTATAAACGACTACAGTTGAGAAAATAAATTCGTTCATGGTAGTAAATCTGTTACCTTGACGACAGGCATAACATTGATGTCCACCGGTTCGGAACCGCGCAAAACGACAAATAAAGTGGCAAGTTCACGATCGTAATAGTTAGCACCACTAATACTGGTCAGCGGTGGTTCAAAGTAGTCATCAGGAGCATTTGCGGGCTTGTCAATTAAAGTGAATTCTGATCCTTGGAGCCTTGCGTTTGTTGGATTTATAAATCTTCCTGAAAAGGAAAACAAACTCAAATAAACCCCTGTGCTTTAAGCGTTAAGAGTTTTCTGTAGGTGATTGTATCCTTGTGTTCCTCATTTGTGAAAGGTCTACGGCAATTGTAAGTTGAGCACTCATAAAAAGAAAGTGTTGTTATCCCTTTTTCTTTTCTTTCGTCACATCACGGAAATACCTGTTTTGAGCGCCTAAATTTAACAGATATAAATGGACCATACCTTCCCTGTACACATCCTGTCTCTGAGGTCTCTGATAGAATATACCAACACGGACTGCAGCTGAGGAATCACTGTTTAAAAGGTGAAGCCTGAGTTTCTGGGGCTCATTACTGGTAAAGTACAGAGAGTAATTTGTTCCAGTCGCCACTATCCCGTAAAATGTCGAAATCCTTTCTTGGCAAGTGTATCCCAAGCACCAACCGTGATCCATAGGGCCATTAAGAAGGTTGACATAACCATTTGCAATCAGCGCCACTGGTGACAATCGTCTGGTCTCCGTATCAGGATCTAGACTTTCAATAACTAACATCCTGTAGTCAATGTCACTGCACTTGTATGCATTCCAGTCACCATACCACGAGCACATGTTATGATCACGTGTGCCCCGAACAATTCCTTTATTTGCAGCAACGGCTGACATATCAAGTCTAGTGCCATCGGGCAACGTCATAGCAGGTTTCGGAACGCGGTAATCACCTGTGCGAAATGTGAAGTTTGTAATCAGTACAGAACAATGTCACCATAAACTGGCGACGAGAACCAAATTTGTTTAGACTTGACGTGCATAATTAGTTTTCTTGCCTACGTAAAGCAAGTGATACGTACAACATACCTAGTCCGTATCGCTTATCTCCGTCCCATTCGTACTCGGCCTTAGAGATTACCGAACCCCCAACAGCGCCTGTGAAAGAACCATCAAGATCTCGGATAAGGATTTGCCTCCTGGCGTCACAGTCCATATCCACGCAGTCGGATGGGTTGACCCACCGAAGTGTTGGCTCGTTTAGTAGCAGCTTGGATTCTTCGTCAACTGATATAAAATGTAATCCTAGAAGATGAAGTCAGTTATCAATACGCTTAACATTGGAAACAAAAATGTGATACCATGGTGGAGCTCAGAGAAAGACTTTTCGAAGGAATATAGTGATATATTTTTGTTGTTCAATGAGACACAAGCCAGAACAAGAGTTTGTAGGGTTAGAGGGCAGCAAGCTAGGGAAAACTCAAGGGAAAATGGATGATTAAAGATCTGACAAATCATTTTATGACGTGCAGGCTGCTACAGTCTGTTTTAACTCTTGGCTCTAAATATTTATCTTTCTCAGTTCTTTAACCTCTGCTGTAAGTCTTCCTTCATCGAGAGAGATTTTTGCGACTTAATTTATCACACAGTAGCGTTAACCAGGTGTATGTGAGTGAAAATTTTTGCAATTGAATCTGGCCTGTTGAATTAAAACATCTCTTTACTTATGCTACTATTCTCCGCTGTTTTCTCCTTCATTCGCTGTCTACGTCCTGAGCCTTGCAATTTGTAACACTTATAAGAATTTTTTGGGACGATAAATACGAATATATCCAAACCCAAAAGTGGCTTAGATCAAGATACAGTCGCGGCTATTTGGGAAATTATTTCGAAATTATGCATTGAAGAAACAAACCTCGCACATCCATGGGATGTATAATGTCTCCAGCCCACTCGTTTGACATGATCGCTCGATGTCTCTTCCCGCAAGTCTCTTGAAAACCGAAGAAGGTCACCTCGTGATACAGAGTATAGCCATTGACGGCTGAATAATCATGAGGGCTTTCCCACGTCATAATCGGTCCACGTGCAGGGGCTGAACTAAATTGCGACGTAGTTATTCCAATTTTTCCGCCTGACAAGAGATAAAATAGTAGTATTCTTGATGAATGTGAAGGTTCTAAGTTCCTTTATACATTTCTTAACGTGTGACGTCTTACCAGCCGGAGGTAAACGCTATGTAAAAGATCCAATATTTTTATTCTGTCTAAGAGTCTGAATAAATAGTAACTAAGTCATGCTATTTATTTCCTCCAGTTACGTCCAACAGCACGTGTGAGGTGTCACGATATGTTTTTAGGAAAGGAATAAAAATAGGGTCTTGATTCTTGATCCTTAGTGTTTGCTGGTCGTCGAGGTGAAATCAGGAAACAGCTTCATCAAAATTTTTGAGTATAAATTAAGGAGCGTTGGTCAAATTGAAGTGAAATTTTCAAGGTAGATGCAAGGCATAAGCGTTGTGTTTAAGTAAATAACTCATACCTCCTGGTGCCTTTTTAGCTCCAATCCCGCCATATGGTTGCCTGGCGTATGGTACGATGCTGTCATGCACACAGTCGTAACCAGGACTCGTGCCCACGATGAGTGTGTTCCTCACAATAACGTACTTATCAGCAGTCGGGTGCGACAGAGCATGCGGACCCCACACATTAGGAAACATACCCACCGTGTTCTCCACGGAAATGACGTTGTCTATTATAACACTGGGCTCACCGTAAAGGAAGATACCATAGTCGAAATTTCTCCAAGTCATGTAACCAGAAAGCATGGAACACCCCTCAATTTCTATTTCGTAAGGCAAATGCATTCCATGCCAGGCACCGTGTACCTCGTTCCCCACAGATATTCCTGGACCATCCGAACACTTCTCACCACTAATTTTAAATCCAAACCGTTCACTCCCAGCCACTGTGTTGTTGATCAAGATGACGTCTTTGGCTTGGTCTACCTCTATTGCTCCTGGCCATTGCAGGTTTGATTTATCCTTTCTTCCGTTGTACGTGTGTATTGAGAGAGAATAAACTGCCAGATTTCGTAGTAAACTGACAAACTTGCCTATTACTCTTATCGAAGGGCCGACTGTGTGGTGGACAATATTGTCCTTAATTGTCAAGTTATTGGTCCTGAACACACCGATACCAGTGTTGAAACCATCGTGAAATGAATTTCCACTAACATATGAGGTATTCCCTTCCACGTCGCCGGTATTGAGAAATGCTAAAGCAAATCTGAGAAAAAGAGAAACGATTTGTAACCTGAGAATTCATGACTCACGATTACGACTCAACTCCTAACCCCTGGTTGGCAAGCTAATGAAAAGGAGGTGGCTATTTGAGAACCGGAAGGAAAACGATCAGGGCCTCTTGGGGTCGCAATTACTCTGATAGATTGCTGTGCTAAGTTTGAAACTATTGAGCTCCAAAATTATTCTTTTACATAAATTTTTTGCATTGAGCATGTATTTAATTTAAGAATTTGAAAAACATGCCTCTGTATCATCCCCTTAAAACAGAAACTTAAAGAGGATAATGATAAATATTCAAAATTATTGTTCTTTATCTGTAATTCATGTTTCCCTTTGATATGTTATCATTCATAAATGATCCTTTCTATTTTCCTTCTCTCTTTGATTTTCATTCTATCCTAAATTCTGGAGTCATGCAATAGATAAAATGTCTAAATCATAAGTTAAAGCATATTACAAGCTCAAAACCCGGAAAAATATTCATATTGATTGTTCTTTTTACCTGGGATCGTAATCATCAACCCAGCCTTCCTGTCCACAGCGTTTAAACTCGACATTTTCAATCCTGGCACTGCCCCGATAATCTATTCCTTCAATTGCCGTTCGGCCAATCAGAACTCTGCATCCAAACGACTGGTCCCAAGCATCAGCTGGGTTGTTTGCTCCCTCCACTAAGAGATTTCTGGTCAGTAGTCCCACTTCTGCTGCTAAGGTATAAGTCCAGTTACCCGCCGTGTGGGTCTCGGCAATGTGTTTATACTGGAGAGCTTTGTCCAGAGTCAAATTTCTCCCGTTCTGTGAGATGGCTTTTATAATGAACTTCTCTGTTTGCTGTGGCTCAACTGTAGTTGAGGTAATAACAATTTCATCGCCAACAATCCAGTCGACGGACTCGGATAGTATCACCGAACGATCTCCAGCTTCAGCAGTAACCGCCAAATCAGTCCAATACACTCTTTTTGGCCGCCCGTGCATCCATAAGAATCCAAATACGGCAAGGGCCTTGCTTCCAACATTAACATCCCGCAAAGGAAGGTCCTCACTGTACACGTTGCCTTGGAGGCTGATCATGAAATTCGACAGAAAGGGCTGGTCCGGCCATCCTACGATCAATCCTCCGGTAACAAAGATAATAGACGCATTTAGGACCATACCAGGTCTGTCATCTATCTCTAGTGTTCCATATATCAGCAGTTGGTTCAGATATGGCAATTCTATGTCTGCCACCATATACCAGTCAGACTGTATCATAACGTCACTCCCGTTGGTCGGCAGCCTTCGTCCATAACCGCCATACATGGGTTCAGTGCCCTCCCAGTCATCCACATTGGACCAAAGCCGGACTTCTTCAGGTCTTCCTTTAGGGGGAGGGGGTGGTACCGGTACTATACATTCCTCATAAAAACAACGATAAACTCGCACGGTGATATCTCGGGGCAGTATGTTGCCATTTGGTGTACGAGAACTATTCTTACCTGACGCAATGTATGTGAACACCTTGGTCTCGTTTACAAAGCTCCAGCTCCCGTGTTGAGAGTTCGCCGGCGGAGTGATGTCTGTTTTATTTTGATGAACTCCAGTAGTAGTGAAATGATCAGGCGTTTGTACCAACCGGTGCTTTATCCAAATATTGTCATTTTCTTCCATATCGTAGAACATACCGCTATAGGTGATGTTTGTTATCTGCCAAGCGTTCTCAAAAGTGATGTTGTATTCTTCGCCAAGTATCAAAAGCGTGACCCAGCCTTGAGGATGTGTCGTGCACTTAATACAGAAAGGCACCACGTCCATCCCATGTCTGTTTTCCAACAACACGTTTTTGCTCATTAGAGATTCTGGTGCAGCCTTATTAAAAGCAAATCTCCTGAATTTCACGGTAGAGTCGCAGACACTTCCATTGTGAGGACCGTAGCTATCCTGGGGAGAATAGAAACAATGGCCTGGTGGCAGATTCGCGTTTAGTGGCACGACGCTTCCGTTTGGATAACCAGTCAGAGTGCCATCTAGATCGACTATGACCGATTCATGACTCCAGCGGAAAGAACTTCGGCGTGGGGAGTTCACAAAACGATTTTTCATCGCGTATGTACTCCATCCGCCTTTCCTCTTAAATTCTTCACACTGGGCGCAAAGGCTGTAACAAGTACAGCCTTCTCGGTCGAAGTTCACGAAGGTGACGTTATCAACAACAAGTTTGGAGAACTGTGGTAATTTTAAGCCTGACGTTGTACAATGTGTGTTGCTGCGTATTCTTAATTCCAGTCCTTCACTCACTTGGCTGTGACCGACGATAAGTGCATTTTTAATCTTGGGACCCCCTCTCGGAGCATCGGCGACATCGACGAATACGTATTCAATACCAGCGATATCATTGTCGAGCATTTTAAAATCGTGCATTTGAACGGCTCCTACTTTGACGGCTTCTGCTCCACGCATGTTGTTGTAGGCTATAAAAGAGCCAAACACAGCAGGCTTGACAATAATTGATTTACAGCCTCCTCCTTCCATGGGATGATAAACCGGAAAAATCCACAACCCATAGCGTCCAAACGAATGAGCAGAGTTGTTAAAAAACTCGAGCATGAAGACATTTCTCGGACAGTAATCTGGTCTAAAAGACGGGCCGTCTGGGTGCTCAAACATCTGATACCAAAAACCAAAATGGCTTCCTCCTGCGGCTGCATTATGACGTACGGTGTTGTTGGCATTCGTTACCCAGTAAGTTGCTGGAGTTATGTCGACATTCAAAGCAGATGTGGAGGCAATAACAAATATACCCAAATTGTATTCGACCACGTTACCAGTTTCTATGCCGTCTTCCATGAAGAAGCAATTCCCGCGGACATTAAATACAACATTATGGCTAACATGAAGGTTGTGAATGCCATGCATTGTAATGGCACGGTTGAAGCTGTGATGTATTGCGCAGCCGCGAACATATGAACCTGAGACGTCGCCACTGAGATGAAAATGTATCGGATAGCGACCAAGACGAAATGCTTGTCCTGCATGTGAGATTTCTGCGTAACTAAACCTGGCTGTCACCAAGTTCTTACTTTCCTCTGGAGCATGAATCATGATCTGTACACCAAATTCATCGCTTCCAACTTCTTCGCCAAATTTTCCTTGGAAGCATGTCTGGGTCTGAAACTGTCCTGGTCTAAATTCGTCTTCGCAAGCTTCGATTTTTTCTGTCCATGCGGAGTGTACTGAGCCTCGAACCCTCACGTTTCGCGTCAGTAAACCCACCTCTGCACGCGTCTCCACTACATGAATATTATCGAACGTCTGGACTATAGAAATGTGTTTGTACTTCAGCGGTGGCGAAACTTCCAAGGTGTAGTTATCGTTGAGAACGGCTGTGATGGTAAGCTCTTCAAACTCGCGCTGCGATTTTCCAGTTGGTGCTAGAATGATCTGATCACCTGGTTTCCATGTGACCTGTTTGACAAGATGAAGTCGGGTTGCGCCAACCTCCGCCGTGGAGCTTAGATGTGTCCACGTGATTGGGACATGTAGCCCATGAAGATCAAGCTTTCCTTCGCGTAGCGCAATGGTCTTGGTGCCAAACACAGGCATCTCTCTTGAACGAACATGGCCGTGCAGAGTGATAAGTGCCTGGCCCGGAAATGGGTCGTCTTCAGTACCTACTTGGAGGCATCCACCATCGGTGATAAGTATGCTTTCTGCTTGCAAGTGAAGAGAAGGCTTTTCCATGTCGAATATTAGTGCACCTCCTTGTATCAGAAGAAACTTTAGAACCGGTGTGTCTTGATCTAACAAAATCGTCTGTCCCTTCTTTATTGTCACGAAAGTACCTATGAATTATTAATTGCAATGAGTAAGCTAGGGATCCATCATGGATCATTCATAAGCTTCTTTAACAATATACCCTTTACCACTGCTTAACCAAGCGGCCAAGATGAAGCCTAAGAGGCTGTCAGAGAATTCAAGAAGGCCTAACCTACACCATTTCCCATGGTTAAACATCTTATTTTCCGGTCCCAGTTACCCACTTGGTAAGGTAAGCCTCACAATGCCGTTTAAACTCTGAAAATACGGCTGAAATTTTATCTCAATTACCAACGGGAATTTGCATTTATGTACGCAGATAGTTTGTCTCTCATGAAAGGTCTTATCATGCTCTCTGTGAGGTTTGAATGAAGGAAGACAATTATAAGAAAAAAATACTTTCCGCGAAGCTACAAACCCATGCAAAACATTGACACCGATCTTGAGATGTATTCTAGAACTCCGGCCCAAGTCAATCCGTCGAATAAATGACACGTTACCTGCTTCAGGGGGGTTATTGTAGCCCCATGTAAATTGCGATGACCATACGTCGACGTAGAAGAAATATGCTGCTTCATCTATTGCCTTCCCATTGTTTCCAACCTCCACTCGAACTTTAGTCTCAATGGTCTTGCTATGAGGTCCAGTTTTGCAAAGGATGACTGTGGAATTTGCGAAAGTAACCGTGCATTCAGTGCCATCTATGGTGACAACATTGTCGCTTTGGGTATTACTGAATCCTGAGCCTTGTATTGTGAGCGTGGTTCCTCCACCTGTTCCTCCACGGGATGGAGTGACAGAAGCTATTTGGGAGGTCAATGCCACTTTGTAAGTAAATCCCCTGCCAATGTTCGAACTTAAATCGTTCAAAGCCATTTTTATGTTGCATATTGTATCAGTAACGTCCAAAACATGACTTGGTGCTTCGCAGGCCAATTCCGTGGTTGTCGTGACGTGGGTCGGAGAAAGAATACACACGTTCCCACAGATTCTTACTTGTGCAGATGGATCAAAGCCATAACCTTGGAAAACAAGAACTCGTCCACCTCCGTAGCCGCTTTCATTAGGGGTGACACTCGCTAAATGTAGACTGTACGTGAAGGAAAGCCCAGATGACGCTCGTCCTTTTCCCGGAACCAGCACGTCGACATCGTATGAGCCAGCAGCGTGAGCTGCCAGCGTACACTCTACACTTCCTTCTTCCGAGTTAATCACTGCGCATGGTACATCTCCAATGTGGACTTGGACCGCGCTGCCAGGGGGCGAGGCATCCAGGCCACTCCCGTAGATGGTCAAGATATCGCCACCTTTCCCAGTGGATGTTGAAAGGGAAATCAGTACAGGGGTAGCGTCCCCAGTATATGCAATGTCTTTTGGCGGAAAATCCAGTGAGGTACCTTCAGACTCGACGGTGACTTGAAGGGTTACTGCGTTACTGGAAGAATGAGGTGGTGTCACGCACTGGATTTCCCCATACGTTACCGTGACTATCTCGCATATTTCTCCTCCAATGGCGACGCTAGTTCTGCCTGGTGTCGGATTAAACCCATTTCCTGTTATCGTGATGGTTAGGCCTCCATTTTGGCTACTTTGTGTCGGGGTAACACTTGACACGATCGCCTCACTTACAATTAAGTCTTGAGCACCATTGAACTGGGCGAATCCTTTTCCGGGTTCATGAAGAGTCACTGTGTGATTTCCAAAGACGATTCCGGGAAGAACACACTTAACTAGTTGTGACGCGACTTCTGTTACACCACAATCTTCATATCCTATTGTAACCGTCACGTCTAGAGCTCTAGACGGAGGCTGTGACATCTGGAAGCGAAATTCTGTCCCTGGGCTGATTATTTTAGCAGGAGTCGCCATAGTTACTACTGGTGTTCTATCAGCTTCAAACGTGTACTTGCAGTCCGTAAGGTCAGCGGCAACGCACACACTTGTCTCACCATTGTTTGTCACTGAGACTAGTTGTGCTTCTTCAGTACTTGCTCGGGTCGTACAGACTATTTTATCAAATGATGCAGTTATAACATAACATTCTGTTGAGCCTATAAGAACAATATTGTTGTTGTTAGTGTTACTAAATCCATCGCCTGTTATCGTGAGCTGTGTGCCTCCCGCTTGAGACCCGGTCTTTGGTGAGAGGGCCGTAACGGTCGGCTTCAACACAAAGTGAGTTGCTTCACCTACATCTGCCCTGACAAAAGCGTAGCCGCGGTTTAGTACCCTAACAGATACATCGAGTGGTACACCAGCAACGGGAAAACTCGCTGTGTTTAGTTTGCAAGTGATCTCTGTCTCGCTAGATGAAATCACATCACAGACATGAGAGCCAAACTTTACTTTGTTGTGGCACGAGTCGTTGCTAAAACCACGTCCATTTATTGTTATTATCGTGTTGCTCGTGCCATTGGAGGGCGTCACCGAGGACACCTTGGGCGTGCTGCATTCTGAGTAAGTAAAGTAATAGCCATCGTCTCCAGGGTTCTGAGCTGCCTGAGAGGAATTGCACTCTGGAAAACTATCTGTCCTCCCAGACTCGCATGTCGTAGAGGGGACTGAAGATGAGGTTAAATTATACATTGCTTCAAAACCTAGATAAAATTTAAAAAAATTTATTTCACTCGAGTGATTGTTTCTGTACAGTAAAGTGGAAAGAGAATAGGGCCCAGTTGTCCCGAAGCAGATTAGCGCCAACCCAAGGTTGAATTTTAACCCAGGTTTCTTTACTCCTTCTTTCAAAATCTTTTCTAAATAATCGTCACTATTCTTGTCAGAGCTTCCAATCAAATTCTGGACAAAAAGAATTACAATGAATTTTTTTCTTAATAAGATTTCACAATACCCCTGGGTTATCTAAACCCAGCTTTGAATAACCCAACCTAGAAAAAGAGGCGAATTATTTGCCTTCCTTCAAAGCACCCAAACATACCACACTGTGTGCTGAGAGGGTCGCGGTCAACTTAAACACTGATTTGATTTCTGCTTCATATGTGAGGCAGAATTCTTCTTACCATCAAGTACGAATTTTATTGGTCCGCTCTGAGTTCTGAATGACAGAACCTTGACAATGCCTTTCATAGTGACAGATCCGCTTCCGGCATAGAAGTACACTCCTGTGCCCAAGAACCTATGAAGGGAATGTACAAAATTATTGCTAATACCAATGAATTTACGATGTTTATTTTTTGTTATTATTTGCCAGTTCAACAAATACTCGACGCTCTCAACATGAGCAAGGAATGTACGGTTATCAGAATCAGTAGATTAACATGATACAAAAAAGGAACTAGGCTATTCCTGATCGTCGAGTCATTAGATCACAATTTTCACAGCGGCTCAATTCCATTTTTTTCTTTACTTTTCCATCTTCTCCTGATCTCTTAATGCAAGAATAGACGACCCTTGGAGATTGGCTTAATTTTTTTTTTGCGATGATCAAAACGAGAGATTTGTTCAACTGCTGCGACACAAGAAGTTTACTCTATCGTTAGATATGGCAGATCAAAACGGAATGTTTTCAGCCATTTTTTCCTTTTCTTTTCTAAATCATCGGAACATTTCAATTACCTATGACTGAAACTTCCAGTCTTGGAGAGAGCATTGCTATGAAAACCTGACCCATCGTACTGAACTGAGGAAGAATCTCTCGTTTGAAAGACGTTGAATACAGCCTTGGAAAGTTCCTGACCGGCCCAACTCCACTATTGACCAAAAAATAGGTACAAGCAAGTGAATATATGAAAAAGTAGATGAATAAATAAATGAGGGAAAGTGAACATCACAACATATTATGACAATGTTAAATCGCATTTTTTAGCTTAGTATGAGGATTCGGTTGGTTAGCAAGGTCACGCAGAAAGGGAAGGCTTTCTGTTTCTACAAATGAATTACTGGTAATGGGTGAATGCTAAAAAGTTCTCAAGGTAAAACAGCTGTACAGAGATACACATGTTCGTAGGAAATTTTTGGGAAAAAGGGCGAAAGTGCACTGGATAATCGCGAAAGGTAATCTGGATATTCGGTAATCAATGAATTCTGATAAGTCAAATAAATGAGTAAATTCATCAAGCCCGCGATGCCTCCACCTTACAAGAACATTTTTGAAAATTTCCCTGAAATTCTGAGGTTAAGGAACTTTGAACTGAAAACTTCTTTTCGGGGATATCATATGCACTTTTACTCTTTTCACCGACAACCTGTCTACAAACAGCCGTGCATGCCATTGATTCATCAGTATCTCATCTCAAGTTACCTTCACTGTGTCGCCTTGGTAACAAGTCACGTGTTTCGGTGACCATTCATATCCAAGTCCAAACTCTGAAGAAAGAAGACACGAAAAAAATAGGCTTGTGTCAATACAACATGCTTGCAAGGATTATTCGTTGGTTATCATTCCGAAAAGGAATCTGCAAGTAAATAATCTCCATTCAAAGTCATCTCGCTTTAAAAAACTTGGAACCTCTTGCTACAAAAAATAGCCTGCATTGCAGGCGTCTTATTGGATGAATTAGCGTTGAAAAGCTCGCGATCGTTTATTCAACCGGTTATGTTTGATTTGGGGATGTGGGCAGGGGCATTTTTGACCGTCGCTTATCACCCAGGTACAAATTTCTTTCTCTCCCCAGCCTTCCGCTACCATTAAATCAAAGGTAACGGCCATAATTTTCGCTAACAAAAGCACTCGCTCGCCAAAATTACGCCTTATCTGCAGGCTATACAAAAAAGGGACAGCTGCGTATGTAGTTGTTTCATTTTATACACCACAGGCTTCGTGAAATGGTTGATAGGGGTTCTAAAAACTGGTCAGGGTTTTGCTGCTAAAATAAAGATAGTAAACTAACCCGGATGACGTCCACTGTTGTCGACTTCCGCAGTTTGAAAAATATTTGTTGTTTCACATACAACATGCGTATCATTGCATGACACGACTCGACATGGTCTGCCTTGTACGGTAACGACAGCACGTGACACGTTAAACCCAAAGCCTCTTCCGGTTATAGTAACGTGTGTTCCGCCTGCAACCGAGCCAATCAGAGGGAAAATAGAATGGACCTCGAGTAGGTATTCGTAAGTGCTGTATGCGGTAGGGATCGACGCAAAACCTTTTCCTGGTGTGAAAAGCCGAATGGCAAACTTTCCTGGAGCATGAGGTGGAACAAGGCAAGTGATTTCTACCCCAATACGGGACTGAATCGCGCAATTTTGATCTCCTACTTGCACGCTGGTCTCGTTCAAAAAACCGGAACCAGAAATGGTAATTATCTCTCCTCCGCTGACACTGCCTTGAAGTGGGCTTACGCTGGTGACGTCAATGGTGAGAGACGAGTCGTATTCAAATGTACCTGAAGCAGTGACAGAACTGTCATCGACTGAAATGTCTACAGAAACTATTCCCGCTGAATGTGCAGAGGTTCTACATGTGATCTGGGACATTGTGATGGTAAGAATATCACAGGGGGAACCGTCAAGCGATACTGACGCATTTTCTTTCTTATATCCGAAGCCACTGCCAGAAATGGTGATCACCTGTCCACCGGCTTTACTGCCACTGGACGGATTAACTGCCGTAGCACTAATGACGTAGGTAAAGTTAAGTAGCTGAGTGTTGTCTGCAAGACCTTTGCCTTTGACTAGGACCTCAACTAAGTGTTTTCCTCCGGGCCCATAGTCTGTGGGGTTAAAAAGATAGACAGGATTTCAGAATGAAAATTTGAATCTAAGATTGGCACCTGACGTCACGCTTCTAACTGAAAAAGCTAACTGCACCTGTTTGAAGCACAAAGGTACGTGAAAAGTGATGTGTCACAAGTAAGTAACGCAATGAAGGGAACTGACCACTTGAGAAAGTAGGCTTGACATTTTCTGATTGAGCAAGCGTATATCCGAAAGACAATGTAGGAGAGGCTTATTAAAGTTGAAAAAAATGCTAAGAATTTAAACAAGAGAATGTTTAAAACAGGAAGCAGGTGCACTTCATCATACTATACTTATAAAAAGGCCAATAAGCATTACAATGAAATCTATATATTTCATGTTTAACAAGTAGATAAATACAAAGATAAGGGGCTGAGTAATAAATAACCACAAGGATATCTACCTGCTCGACATGTTATGCTGCCAGCACTGCTGCTGATGATGACACAGGTGGAGCCACCTATCGTTACAATATTGTCGTCATTGTCAGAGGAGAATCCTGTGCCACCCAAAGTGATTTCTGTCCCGGTGCCATCGGGACCGCCGGGACCAGAGTCCGGTGATATGGACGTCAGCGTCGGCGTTTGGTCTGCGGAATACTCAAAAGTGCAGTTGTTGCTCGAACACGATCCTGTGATTTCGTTCACCACGACCACAACCTGAGTAAATAAAAATAATAAATGAACGCATGGGCGAAAAGAGAGGAACCGCTGAAGTTGGACGAATCTAACAAGAAAAGAGGAGACAGAACTAAGCAGGGATAGATGGAGGGATTTAACAAGGAAACATAGCACGGAATCTGTGATGAAATATACATGAGCGTTCTTTTAGAAAATTGTCCATTTCCATCATTATTATCACTGTGGAGAGAGGAGGAAAATTCCGAGCTAGAGAACCAGCAAGCAATTAGAAACGATGGAAAACGAACCAGAGGGAAGAATAGATAACGACAAATAGACGGGGAGCCGAAGAAGAAACTACATATGGTGGGCAGAGATAGACGAAGAAAAGAAGGATTTGAGGAATCATTGGATAAATGAAACAGAGGCGGGGGGGTTAAGGAAAGGGAAATATAAAGATGCCAGATTTGCCACGACGGCATAACTATCGTGTTTTTTTTCCATGTTATTTTGTTATTCAACGACTTGCTGATCTCTACCTGAGTTTGGTTCGACGGCACTCGCAAGAATTCACCAGGGATTGGATCCATAAATAAGCCGCCATCTTGAATGGTAGTCACTGTTGTGGTGACTTGCACACCAGTGAGTTTGCTGTCGTTGACCTTGACTTCAGGATGATTACCTCCGTGACTCTTCCATGTAAAAGTCCATTCAAATTCTGCACAGTGCCCAGATCGTTCAACTTCAATTATACCTTCCTCAAACTCCTGCTCCAAAAGATCTTGGAGTCGCATTGCAGTTATGTTGACTGGAATGTCTACAAAATCATAAACAGTGCAGGTAAAAATACATAAAGGGGTAAGTTTCTAAAGAAATTGTGGTGCTGCGTCGGTGGGAGAGTATAGCAGGTAATTTAGTGTTAACAACTGGGTTAAAAACGTAAATTAGCCACCGTAAAGGGTAAAAAAGCTGACGTTTCGAGCGTTAGCCCTTCGTCATCGCTCTGACGAAGGGCTAACGCTCGAAACGTCAGCTTTTTTACCCTTTACGGTGGCTAATTTACGTTTTCAACCCAGTTGTTGACATTAAATTACCAGGTAAAAATATGACACTCTTGATCGGATAACAGTCACTAATGCTCTAGAATAGAATTTGATAAATAACGGTGTTGGGTGTTAAACAGGGCACATTATGTTCTTTTAGCAACCGTCTTGAGACTTACAGAGATGATAAAAAAAAGTCTCTGTTATTCATTTCCACTCGCGCTTGGGACAAATGGGACAATGACACCTCCCACTCCAAGCGTTTACTATCTCATAATATATGATGCCCGCTCGTAAAAAAATTGTGCCAAATTTGACTTAATTTTTGTCCGCTGTCTCATAAAGAGTTTCCTCGAGCTATTTTTGCCATGATATGAGAGTTTTTTTTTTCGGAAAACCACTCACCCTTAATGACATTTCCTCTATACTCGATGTCAAACATTCCTTCTATTGGAGGTGAGGCTTCTTGGACCCTTCTTACTCGGACACTGGAGTTGAGGCCCGGCGTAGTATAGGTGACATCATCAGGGCTACCGTTCTCATTCCCGGTGTGCTCTACAACGGAAAAGAGCGGCATAGGGGAGCCGCAATTTGCAGGGAGGAGGGAGATAGTCCAGTTCGTCTCTGTAGTCTTCTCTATTTTGTAGTCCTTGATGATAAAACCATTGGGCATGGCGCCACTGCTCACCGGTCTCACTGAAAAAAATGGATACATGAAACAACAAACAACGTCCACTATTTCAGTAATTTACATTTTAATGTTAATTTTAATATTTAAACACTGAAAACAATCCAAATCTGAAAGTTGGAAAGTGAATGGCAAGTTGGATTTTTCCCATGGCATTTTATATACTTGCAACAACAGGTGCGTTTTTTTCCTGGTTGGCGCGCGCATAGTAAGATAGAAAGTGAACAGTTAGCCCGCGTTTCAATGATTTTTTTCCACACATAGAGCTTTTAAAATTCATCCCCCATGTCATCACACACATCAGGCAAAATGCGAACTTCAAAGTGAAATTTCATCTTCCTATATCCCTCCTTAGCTCCTTCCACTAAATTCATAAACTTTAGTTTAAAACTTTACCTAATAGTTGATTTTTACCAATCCACACATTATCCACGAACACATCTTCGTCAAATCCATCAAGGCGGCTGATTTCAATTCTGTACATTTCGACACTCATTGCCTGATCTCCAAAGTCCTCGTTGATCTTTGACCAGACATCTATACATGAAAATCCCCAGATAGAGAGATGCGCGGAGCTTCTAATAAAGCTGTACAAGCGTGTCGAGTATCTCTCTTCATTATCACTATCTCGGTATTTCACTCGAAAGCTCACTTGCTCTTTTATAGGCCCTTTGTAGGCGAAGCAAAACTAAATGGAGGAAAGATGAGAATCAAGAAGACTTGTCAACTCATTAGGGGGACTTATAATTAAGTAACCTTTATTGGCTCATTTAAAACTGTTTTCTATCCTGACATGACTTTGTATGATATGCGCGGTAACTAAATAACTAAATCTCTCATTAATTGGTTTTGTTCATGCAGAATGTAGGCCATTCAGACATAACTTAATTGTAGCCTTGTAATATGATACGCAGAGCAGCCTAGTGCCAGGCCCTTCAACTCAAAGCTACAAGCAAGACTTTCATGCTGTAATATTCATTACGTTGTGTAAGCTACTATAACTCTTATGTTTTTACTTTTTTTTCCTTTTATGGTCACGAAGTGCCTTGAGGTACTTGTGGTAGTCGGTTTACGTTGCTGGTTCCAGTGTAAACTATTAGTTTACTAGCTGTTTACTCAAGTAAGGATTTAAACAAATGTACAAAAGTACTTCGGCAATCGTGTATTGAAAAGGATTTTACGTCAATATTGAACTTACCCATTTGTACCTAGAGACTGGATATGCACTTTGAAGGAAGTCATTCAAATATGCCGAGTAATCAGCTTTCCATAGAATTGATGGATTCTTTAAGGCCTTTCTTCCGCAAAACGCTTGCATATCGGAAACTCTTTCACCAGTCTCACCTCCGAAAATATTGTCTCCCTCGTAGTCTTTATAAAAGATACGCCCGGCTAAAAATTCGAGAGAGCAAGAAACAGGAAGTTCAGTTAATATGAAACAGATGAGTTAAAGTTCTGGGTTTGTAAAATTTTTCAACATTTTTTTTACCACTGTTGGTTCTTTTTGGACTTGTACAAGTAACTGCGTGCAATCGTTAGTGTAACTCTCAATCTTTACGAATTTGACTCTAGAATTTTCCCCTAACTCTTGAAATGTAGCTCCCTAGATTTTTAATAGCTATGAAGAACGTAAAGAAGCTTTTTGTTAACTTACCCAAGGAAGATTCTTCGCATTCAACAGAGAACCAGCGTTTAAGAGCTTTCTCGATCTTATCAATACTGGAACTTGGCTTCAAAACAATGGATGGTACACCACCAATAAAAAGCTGAAAATCTTTGGCGGACTGTCCCTTCACGTCGCGAGTTATACTTAAGTCCAGGGTTTGGTCACTTTGTGCAGTTCCGTTCAACAGTTCGATTCCTCGCGGATCTTTGAAGCAGAACCAAATGACGAACACTGTGGCATTTCCTTCCGTCACATTAGCAGCAGTGACGTTAATTTTACCCCGGTCCTTAAAGACATTCAGTTCATTCAATCTTTGCGCCAGTATCGAGCTACTGGTGTCTTTTAAGGACAAAGTTATCCTCTCATTAAGGTAGGACAACGTGAAGTTATCACTAGTATTGTTACAAGATGTGATGTTAGTTTCCACGCACTGCAATGGCTGAAGAGAAAGGCGTTGCACTTCGCAAACTCTCTCATCTTCGTTCCAGGTAGTGAAGTCCAAAATCTAAAAGAAGATTTTAAAAAGTTCAGGGATATTTGTGAAACAATTTCATGCGGAAAGAGCGGTAGTGAAAGAAGTTATAAATATCGAAAAATTCTTATTAAGGCATTCTGCCTAAATAAAACCAACAAATAATTCTTGGCACCAACCAAGAAAGAAAAGTGCTGACAAGAATTGTTCACCCCTTCCATGGAATTCGCTCTCGTAGCTTGAGAATGAAGAGTTTTAGTCGCTAAAATCTTAAAAAACCAAAGCAACTTCTATTAGATCTTTCCCCGAAAGAATAAAAAAAAAAAAAAACATTTGTCTCTTATTTTCTTTTTTTCGCCTAAAAACATTTACTATACGCAAAATACCATCCCAATCCCACATGCTCGAACTGAAAGACTGGTCAAACCTGTTTATCCCAGAGCACAGACGAACTGATCCTAATTTTTTGTTTTGCATCTCTTGCAGCACTAACTTCAGCGTTGGTGTGTTGAGTCTTCTCCATGCCTACTCGGATTTTCATGTGATGGCCACCACTATAGTCATTGTGGTATGCCTCAATATAGTACTGCTTGCCTGCCTCCAATGAGATCGGTTCAGACTCCTGTACGCTGTTACTGTTCCAGTTACTTGTTGCTGATGAACAACTCGCAATCTTCGTCTAAAGAAATAATGGATAAGATATGCAGAGTCTCATTATTTTCATGTGGGAACCCAACAGCAACGCTCAGGGCTGTTCCATAATGACCAAGGTAAGGTGTGCGAACGCGGTAAAGTGATGGCAACAAGCTGCTGTTGCTCCTGACGCTGAAATGCAAAAAACGTCCGATCTACCACAGGAGGGGTTAAGGGATTTTGGTACAGGATTTTTAAAGGATTATCATCTTTATAAATGTTCTGCTGTTCACCGAATAACGCAAACTAAATGATTGGGCAAAGTGACCGTGAAATACATATTAGCACGTCGTTTTTTTGAATTTTTTTTTCTGGCCAGCCAATAAATTGTTTGAAAACAAACTAAGTATCCAAGAAAGAACAGCACAATGGTGATGAGTGCAATACCTTGTCAGTGGGGTCCCCTGTCAAACTAAGATATAACTCGCTGGCGTCATCTGATAGGATACCGAACCTATACACGTCATCTTGAAACGGCACGAAATAACCAGTCACCCTGGCGCTATAACCGGAAGTTCTTTCCCAGGACACAATTTCCGGTAAGCTACTTTCAGTCAAGTACTCAAAGTGATAGTCAGCGGCAGACGATTCAAGGGTAGCAATGTCTGGTAAGTTGGACTTCACGGTTGCGGTCCAGATTTCACGAAGCAGACCACGAGACCCTGACAGGTAGGGAAAATATTGTCAATAACAACTTAAGCTTCTCCACCGACTGTCTTCAAGATCTACTCATTAAACCTGAAAAGAAACCTGCGTGCAGCTTTCACTGCGAAATAAAAGCAAAGCAAGTTTTAAATTGTTGAAAAAGAGCTTCAGAAAATCCAACGAACTGAATGAAGTAACTTTCAATTTAAGAATGCCCTTGTAATTTGTGAGTTGTTCAAGTTAATAATTTTTCCTGAATTCTGTTTATTATGCAGTACTGCCCTTCATTTTGTAGCTACATACCTGGGTAGTTGCTTCTTACTTCCTTTCTTGCTCCTGTTCGGCACTTGATCTGCGTCAAACTCGACGATAAAACTTCACATTCAACTCCTTCTCAACAAATAAAAAAATTGAGAATTAGGTCCAAGTTGAGAAAACGTCTGAATTTTTTATCAAAATTGCAAGTGATAAACATAATTTATGGTTTAAAGGTTTTTATCCTAAACTTTTCCTTAGAGAGAGGCTGGGAACATCAACTTTTCATCAATTCGGTGTCCAAGATATTTTCTAAGATCACTTGAAAAATTAAATCATTTTCGGTCCTTTCAATTTTATGCTAGATTCTTGTATTCTAGTTTTTCATCAGCCTGTGTTTTAATTTTACAATGACAAAATACCTGCAACAAAAACTTTGACGTTTTTGGCGATGTCGCTAAAACCTACTCCTCCAATTGTTATAACGGTCCCGCCTAGAAGACTACCAGAAGACGGCGAGATGCTTTGAATATCTGAAGGAAGAAGATCAAAATGACACAATTAACAATTGATTAATCGGCATGCGTTTGATAACAGAAGTGGACACCCCTCGAGGGTCTCGCAACCTCGTTGCCTTTATCCATAACACGTATTTAACAGTGGATTGATTGTCTTACTAAAAAACATACCCATATTTTTTTCAAATGGACTACGGGCTAGAACTATTTATTACTTTACAAGGATACCTGAATGTGTTTGATAGAGATATAACTCTTGATTTCCATCTACGCGCCACAAGTCCTTATTCACTTTTGACCTTCCAAGTAGTGAAACCAAATAAGAAGCCGTGTGGGAGCCTGGAGAGAAAACAAGGGGTTGAGTGTAGCAAAGTTTTTATACTTAAAGGTTGTACTTTGATATTTGACCAGTCTGCATTTAGGAGACTTTTGACATATTCACTGCTACATATAGATACAAATAAAATTAAACTTGTTTTTAATTAGCTTATTGAGATTCTTTAACAGTTCTGAAAGTTTCTGTAAGAAATTAGATTATTGCATTGCGAGTCTTGTTTAGTTTCACTTTTATCGTGTCACTTTGAAACCAATTTTGGTGAGTAAATAACTCAATATAATTTTTAACTTTTTATCATCCTTTTTTAGTGTTATAGGATCAAACGGCTGACATATGACATGAAGGATCCGTCATCATATACCACCTGGGGCGATCGAAGGATTTTGGTTGTGTCGCAATAAAATTGACCTGATCCCTCTAAGGCTCTGTAGTTTTCTAATGATTCCCCCCCTGCGTCACTTGCAATCAATTTATTATACCCGCCCCCCCATTAATTCTTTGTCAGTGGCAACTAATCCCCTCTCCGTTCCCCCTGAAAAGCATGAGATCCCTCCCAGACGATAAAGAATGACTGCTCCCTGAGGTAGGAGGAAGGGATCAATATCAATATCTGGGCAACTGCCTACCTACCCCTCCTCTAACCAAACAACAGTTTATTGATAACAAGTTAGGGTTAATGTTGGGTTAGGGGAGGGGTAGGTGGGCAGTTGCCCAGATACTGATATTGATCCGGAGGAAGTTCACCTACCAGGAGTACGTGTTTTCGGTAAACACTGAAATGAGCCACGACAATTCGGAGTCCAACCACAGTCGTCTATTTCCGCTCCAAACCTGAAATGTGTAAAAACATACGAATTGGTTTTCTCTAACACTCCATGGAAAAGGATATATCATAAACCTGCGCGTTTCCATTCCCTGTGATCGGATCTCCCCAATGGCAGATTATAACAACTACTTACAATTCGTTTGTCTCGTCGTTGAAAGGATTGCATTCAAGACCAACGTAGACTCTGCAAAAAAGTATCATAAAAACCACCTTTATGACGTTGATTTATCATAAGTTTGTGAATACCAGAGTCCCTTAAGCCAGCGAGGGCCACCACTTATCAATTTCAAAGAAAAAAAGGCTGAAAGAAGAATCTGTGTGAATTAAAGTTAAAAATCTAACCTTGTAATTTCCTTGTTATCAGGTGAAAATCCAGGAGAAAGTCGGCTGAATTGGGTGGTATGAATTTTTCCAAAGATTTGAACGGGTGTTCCTTGCAACAAAGAAGTAGTGGTAGATTATTGTGTTAACCGCTTAAATAATTGCTCTAATATTATGTGACTATATGTGGTTGAACTCCAGGTCACGCTTGATATTGCAATGGTGTGAATTCGGCCTCAAGTAAAGTGGAATTTTCGAATGAGACGTTTCCAGTATTGCTGATATCGTTTGTCGTATTTGCCACATTTCATTAGTATACATCATATGACAGCATCATCATCATCAATTTATATCTAAAGATCAAGTACTTAGACATTTATATGTTGTATATACCTGGTGTTGCAGCCCGAGGACTGAAATCATCGATGGTCGGAGTTCTCCATATGTAAAACTACAGTTAAAATGGTAGATGCGATTAATAATTTATAACTTGGTTACCATCATAGATTTTACTCTAGTGGCTTATCACTACATCAAGCAGTACTCCAACTTAAAAAAAAATTGTCAACAGAGGTTTTGAATTCTAGAAAACCTGGCAATTTTCGACATGCCGTTGATAAAATATGTTATTTGATTTCTTGTGCAGTTTGGATACAAGGATTCGGTTACCTCACGCATGCAGTAAGGGCAAATTTCAGCGTGAGAAGTGGAAATGTTTCCCAGATTTGAAAAAATAAATGAAAGGTCTTTCATCTACATATATTTTCAAACTTATAATTGCCATCACAGCTCTTAAAATATGCTCTCAATTGAGACCAGGAAATTTTACCTGGAATGTACATTTCTGACGACGCCCGCAATACCTTGTTACCAATTCTCCATTTACAAACATCACCAGTTCGTATTCACCATCAGTGGCTGTTGGTGATGGTCTGGATAAAAGGAAAAATTGTGACCAAATGAGCTAATTGGCTGACTAACTAACTGGCTGCCTTGCTTCTGATCAATCGACGAACTCTGATACATACACTGACTGAATGACTCACTGACTGAATGAGTCACTTACCGAATGACTCACGTGCACTGAGTGAATGACTCACTGACTGACTACCTCTGACTGACTCAACAACAGTAACTGACTCTCTCTCACTGACGTCAGTCTGTGAAATGCATATTATTTTCGAACAAGGATTGAAGCCGCCATATTGATTTGTGAGATAGAGGAAAGCCTGGAGAGAACATGCCTCTCTATCACCTCCTTAGTAAATTATTGTCACTCGCCCTAGGCTTTCCTAGACCGTACCAATCCACTGCTGATGGCTTGAATCACTGATCGGAAAAATAAAATAATTCGATCGCTAGAAAATAAGCTCGCTATGTGGCATATGTGAAAGTGAATATCACAAATCTGAAATTCTCAACTACCCTACTCTTACTCCGTTTACAAAGCGACTCTACGATACAATTTGAAGTAACCTACTCAGTCTCGCAGCCAATTCTTTTTTCGGACACATCTGTTGGTGTTATATGACATTCCACCTGATGTTTATCTGATTTGAACAGTATTTTGTTTCCCAGTAATGGATCATGAAAATTAAACTGATCATTTGCAAAACCTGCAAAAAAGAGCAAACATAAATTGTTGATTAACCGACGGCTCGAAGTTGAATTCACATTGTTCTTGCTGAAATTACTAGACATTTTCGATGTATATAAAGCTACGCACCTCTCCCATGTACAAAGACCATGGTACCCCCTGCAAGACTACCATAAGTGGGCTCAATGCTGTATACAACTGGGTCTGCAGATGAAAATGATAGGTTCATAAATTTCACTGATTTTTTTTCATCAGTGCATAGGAATATGATCTATTTATTGACATGCTACAATGATTTATACCATGCCGTGAAAACTACGAACAAGTGCCATTATTGATTGACGGTCGACAATGCTGTTTGAAAATTGACGTGTGAGAGAAATGTGAGGACTGTAACGATGGTTTGACGCTTGGCAGTTGCGATAGTTATGAGTAGGCGAGATAAACATTAATAAGACAGGCAATGAACATCACGGTGTTTGCGAGGATAACGAGGTGTTTGCGAGGATAACGAGAGGATAACGTGGTGTTTGCAAGGAAAACAAGAGGATAACGCGGTATTTGCGAGGATAACGATTTCTGGCACGAGACGAAAATTCGGTAAGGATGACAGGAAAAATTGAAAATAAATGTCTATGGAGGATAAAAAAAAAACAACAGCAAAGGTGATTTGTAGCCTAGTTCTAGCATCTATGTGTATAAGTTCAAGAAGTCTACTCAGTGTTTTTATGCCGTATTTCGGTGAAATAAAATCCCACTAAACGTTATTGCACTGCACTGATCTTAGATTTGCAGTGCGCGTTGCTTATGTTTTCAAAGCTCCGAAACTAAACGGTTTAGGCATTATTCATTTTCTTGTTCAGTAGACCCCTGCAGAAAAATCGATGACCTTTATCGAGCTTATGTGAGCTAAATTTGGCTTGTGTGAGCTAAATTTGGATTATTTTTAAAAGCAAATATTGTATAACAAGCAAAACAGAATTTGAAAAGGGCTGCAAACTTTAACAAAAACACTTGAAACTAACAGATTTATGAAAAAACTTTTCTTCAGCTCTGCGGCAGTAAATCGGCTGATAAATCCGTGATACATTCATGAGTAGATCTGGCTTTTCCATGTGCCGGCTTAGTTTTGTGTGTAATTCATGCATAGATACAAAAAATTTTTCGCAGAGGGTGTTCCGTGAACATGATGACGCTGCGTTTTGCGATGTTGATGTATTCAGAGCATTGAAGTCCTTCTTCTTAGTAAAGAGAATTTTCTATTTTGCAAGCGATGAAATAACTTGATTTGATATCGAAATTAGAGCAAGCGAATAACAAGTAGAAGTATTGTTATGTAACGGTTCTCCTCAAGTGGAAGAGCTTTCGAGAAACATAAGGAGGCCGTTGTGAAAAATAGCTCCCACCCGAAACAAACCTAATGTGCGAGCATTCTTTGGATTTAAGTTTTGTTCACTCTCTACAGGCAAATTATGACAACTTCTAGCAACTGAGTTTTTATTTGGTGCGAGGGTAACTCCAGCACTTTCATGCAGACGCATTCCGTTGCTTATCATTGAAATGGACCGCTAGTTCCTCTCTGAATTTATTTGCAGTCACTTGAGGGTTTTATTCAGTGAACCTGGAAACTGCTGTTTCCAAGGTCACTCAATAATATGGGGTGACATTAGTGGAAACGTGGAGGAGACGGGGGGGAGGGAGGGGGGGTAGGGAAAGGAGTATGCTTCTCTAAAGGCTATCAATTTTTGTCCATACTGGTTTGAAAGTTTTGAAATTGGTCACAGATCTGAACTGAGTGACTTTTTTGGTTAACACGATACGACAACAGAAGTTTACTCGCTTCAGTACTCTCTTAATTAAATCTTGCGCAAAATTACGCCCTTTTGAGTGTCAAAACTCAAACTTGTTTCCTAATTAGCGCTTTCAATTTAGTGAAAAACAACTATCACAAATTACTTTTTTCGTTCTCAGCATTAAGTTCAAAAGATTTTGCACTTTACTCTTTCCAGTCATAATTGTTTACTAATCATATACTAATGAATTACTCCAAGTGTTAAAAGCCTAACCACCCTCTGAGATCAATTAGATGGGAAGACCCCCCAGTGTGATTTGTTTATGAGTTAGCTTTAAGTTCAACCTTAAGATAAAAGGCAAAGTTTTTTTTACACATATTATTAGATAGTAATTCACTGATTCACAAAAAGTTGTTGAATACATTGATGTCGCTTATTAATGAGCTCCTCCTCCTCCAGCTGGACGAATTAAGAAACAAATCGCCGAATCATGAGTCTTTTGAAGAAAAAAAGAGTGGAGCTTTTAGCTTAAAAGAAATGTGCATTTTAATCTAGTAAATCTTCTGCAATCAAACATATTCAAAATAGTCCTTATTCAAATTGTTTTTCTATAAAAGAACGGATCAGGAATTAAAAATGTCTTTGTCTTTCGTGATTTACGTCTATTGCACACCTTAAAAAGAGTTGCGTAGCAACATTGATTCATAAATTTATAACACATCTTCCCCTAAAGAATAAAACTCGATTCACGCTGCGGATAACTTTCTATATTTGGCTCTTTTTTTAAACAAACCGTCTGTGACCTAGATATCTAAAGCGTCACATGATAAGATTTGGATGGCACTTTGTCTAATACCTTCGTTAAAAATGAGAACTTTTTACAGCAACAGTTCTTCAGCAACGAAAGCAGACAGCTATCACAAGGCCAGGGGTTACTCAAAGAGTCACATCAGTAAACATGACGGGTTTGGCAGCGGGATTGCAGACACTCAACAATGTCTATCACTGTGTGTGTAACCTGGTTACTAGGTAGACTTTGTTTCTACCCAATTTTCTGACCTGCCACTTGGCTACGTGTAAAGCTCACAGTGTAAAGCTCACACCTACAGTGAACCGATGCTCTATGCCGTAGTGAGTTTCGAAAAAGATGGTGATTCTGTCGTCTGGAGTTCTTCGAAGAATGACAAATTTCGAAAGGTCGCCGATCACTAACGGGGTTTACTTGCCTTTCAAAGTGATACAACTCTTTATCTAGAAACAAATTATCCTTCTCCGAAAATTTTAACTGTCATGATTCGTGGTTACTTGAGAGGTTTCGATGCGCGCTTCCCATTCGCAATATGATGACATGTTCGGCTCAAAATTGACAAGACGCACATAGTTGTGTCCATCGCTAGTTGAAAAAACAAATTTCGAGCCAAAAAGTTCAAATGTTAATTTTTCTACGATAGACTTAGTCTATACTCCTTTGCGCGGTAAACACAGCTTAAATCCTACTGTTTTAAGAGGCCTCATTTCTTAAATTTATGCGTTTGCTAATAAGATTTGGCTTTCTCTTTATGGCTGCTTAAAGTTAAAGGAAAACGAGAGTTAACCAAAACACAATGATTTTTTAATAACTTAAGAACTCACTAAATCTTCTCTAATTTTTATCCGTAAGTTTCTTATTTTTTATGTTTTCTTGAAGCATACCCGCTGGCAGTAGGATCTTGTTAAAGCCATTCATATTTAAAAAGGGACGTCGTGTGCTAACGATGAAAATTATTCGAAAAATCCAATCACCAACATGTTAATATCTTGCTGTTACGTCAAAGCGCATTTTGATATCAAACAATTCTCTGCAAGATAATTCTCACCCTTTCAAAGAAACCTTTGTTCCCTTTCCGAGTTTTGACTATTTTCGAAGATTCTTTTAGACGCTTGGTACAATAAAATGTCGCGGGAGGTTTTATTTTCATAACATTGAATATGTGAAAGTGAAAACATCTCCCCAAAATAAAAGTTTCAACTTTGGAAATGTGCTGTTATCGGGAAACTTTGATGGATACAAAGAAAATCGAGGGGCAGTTTGCAAATTAAGAATAGAAGAACGATGCTTAATTGAAGAAATATACTTTGAGAGAGTACCAAACAGAAGCAATCGAAAATAGCTTTAATTTTCAATGTCTTTAATGCACTCCCGGCACTTCACAAAAAAAATATGCGCTAAAAATAATTCTTCCTATAACTATTTCTATCTGGAATTTGCGACTGTCTTCCGGTTTATTCCGTCAAAACTTGCTCTGAACTTAAATTGGGCGAATTTTGTCACTTTTCCAAACAGAATACGATAAATTACAGATTCTGTTGCTTCTAGCGTCTCTCTCGTTTTATGAGCAGAGCAGATGTGTTTCCTTATTACTGAGTCACAGTCTATCGCCACGTTCTCCGTGATTACTATTCCCTTTCACATATTGCTGGGCTGGTAGCGGAAAAATGTAATGCCCCTTTGAACACTGACATGCGTATTCTCGACCATGTTAGTCGAAGAAAAATTTGTTACGCGCAGCATTTGCAAGTGCAGATGACTTTACAGCAACACCTCTCCAGGGCTCATGAGAATTTAATTCAAGAAATTTTGAGCTTGACAAGCGATACTGACAGTTTTCCATTGCGAATGTAACTGCAAAAAAAAAATTTACTCTTGAACAAGAGATCATTTTCTCTCGTCTTGAAAACATTTGTCGGTGTAAGAGCGGATTTTCTCTGTCTTCGTGCCGAAACACTCACCAAGAGCATGTATTGGGAAGTTTGTTCAAGAACTGATATTGGCCAACTTCACCAGTTGTAAACACCGTTGTTAGTAGCTAATTACTTATCTATTAGAGTAAAGTTAAGGTATTATAACTTCTTTTGAAAAGTTTTGGACCTAAGAGACGAAAAGGAGTTAAAAATAAGCTGCTGATGGAATAACATAGTTGGGGCTTTCCTTGAAGAAAAAAGTCATCTGAGGATTGATTCGCACCTCAGTAAACCGTTACGTCTTTGATGTAGAGAGCGAAAAAAGTTTCTTAAGAAGGGAAGAATTTCTGGCCGAAGGCAGTTTTTTTCTAATTAATTCTCAGTTAAACATGACAGACAAAGGAAATTTCCAGAAAAGTGTCCAAGAAAGAGAGAAGAACTTTTCATGCGCGTCGCATAACAACCTTCGAAACATCATCTCTTCTTTGTTCCTGCAATCTTATTTTTGCGTAAAAGATGATTCAAGAATAGTTCGTGGTACTTTATGTCCTAAATTTTTTTTAGTTAAAGAAATTGGCGTCAAATTGGTGAGATATGGTCACTACGCCATGGAATTCGATAAAATATGCGGTACTAAACGACCGTCACTTTGTAAATCAAAGTTTGATTTACCACATGCATATTCTGAAAGAGAAACGTGAAAACGATGATTTGCACTCTTTCACACTGAACACAGGTAAAGGAATTAAAAATTATGGCGAACGATAAGTTCTTGCTTTGTTTTAAACCCTAATCTTTCAATCTTTGTAATAATAACGTAGTGCAATCACAAAGCGTGTTGTGAAAACGTCTGGTCTTTCTGCAAAACCGAAACCGCCAGGCAGTTTGATAAAAAGAAAACTCGGTTATTTGAGTGCAACATAATTTTTTTTTACAAACAGAGATATCGGACCCTGTTTTGGTGAATCTGAAAGCTTAAATAAGAACAGATTTAATGTTACTCTTTTTAGCAGCTTCACGGTCGAAAAATTATCGAAACACTTTTTTATAAACATTAAAACCAATTATGTGCTAACGTTAACACAATTTAAAGCTCGTTCGTTTACAAGTTGTGTGAAAGCTGAGAGGTTTCCGTTCATAACGAATCATCGATGATAAACTGCATCGAAAGCTTTGGTAAACTGTAGTACTAGTTGTGGATTTCAGAATGATGTCATGTGCAGTTTGTTCCTGTGTCTGAAATTTTGATGAAGGCAATTTTGTGAGACAATTTGTATTTCGTCTGAATGCCGAACACGAAGGACAAAAGTAGGAAAATTAATATCATTTTAACTACAAAGAATTTTCACGTTCCCTTTACTTAACAAGGTGGGTGGAAAACCGCTGAACACGTTCGAGAGAGGGGTTGAGCGCAATTAAGCAAAGCATTAAAATTTGTTTGCTGTGACTGAAACATGCATGACCTAAGACTTACATATTAAGCTGCGCAAATTATGCTTCAGTAGCTTCCTGTCAATAAACAGAAATTCCTGTGCGCTCGATGTATTAGTTTGGAATGTAGACAAACCAAGAACATGAAGGAAATGCAAACTATACATACCTGCCCCGGACGAAAACACGACACCTAAACAGAACAGGAGAAGGCGATCAATTAACCCTACATTTAAAAGCGGGTCAGGCAAATATTTGCGAAATACAAGCATGCAGAAAGGTGCTCTTTGGCCTTTAGCTTACCTGATGCAATACACCACAAAAATAATAATACTTTCCGCGGCATGACTGCCTAGATTCGCGCCTTAAAGCGGCGTAAACTTTCGCAAAGTTAAAATCTCTTTCGATACTATGTACCTTCACGTCCGGTAGCTGTTCTTAATGATCTGAACTTTGATATGCAAGTTTCTTTTATAAACATGGGAAAGCAACGTCACAGACCACGAGAAGAGGTTAATTACGATCTTTTGTTAAGCAAATAAAGCGAGCCGCGGTTCAATAGAACGTGGCAGGTTTCAAGCTAAGTAAAACAGCCCGAGGCGACATAACAAAATGTCTTCTTTCAAACATATTCAAAGAGCTGAATGAATCCTGAAATTAATTCCAAGAGAGAACGTCAAACACGAAGGCACCTTGCACGATTCCGGAAGTTTTGCGATGCACCCAGTCTCCTGAATAAAAGATGATTTCACGAGGATTCGTCCAAGATCAACCAATTTCATGAAATGAAAAATTTTTCCCTGGGGGGGATGATGTGGTCACGGGCATTGTGCAACCAACCGACGTCACGTACGACCAGTAGAAATCACACCTAAATGTAGACTGAAGCTAGGAAGTTTGAAATAGCCCAGTTTCGATTTATCTGTGAAGTAAAAAAACTCAAGGGTATTAGAGGAAAAATCTTTTAAAAAAACTTTAAAAGAAAAAAACTTAACGTCACAGTTAGCCATGGCACATAGTGGATTAAGAAGTTTTTAACTTTTGAATGCCGGAGGTTGCCACGTTCATAAAACACAATCTTACAATCAAGTTGGTGCTTTCTTGGTTCACTGATATTCGTTGTAAAATAAACCACAAAAAACTCAAAAGAAAAATCAGTGCTTTACGCTTGATTTCTTGATTTGATTTTCAAAGGTTCCGATCTCCACAGCCCTCCTGCCTCAATCACTTGTGCCTTTTTCACAAAGAACTATTTTTCACAGAACTCTCGACGTCAGTTCTATTGCTCTTAGTAACTTCCCTCCTGTAATTCTTCGTTAATATGAAATAAAACTCTCTGAGTGGCGTGGAATGTTAGCTTTCATAAATCTACCCGAAGCATACATCATCCATCATTGGCAACCTTTCCAAATCCATTGACACTCCCTGTATCCCAATATTTTCTCTTGCCTTTTCTTGTTAAAATAATTATATTTTGAACAGATCAAAGCTTTTTGTTGGCCCCTAACATTTTGCATGGATCGCTACATTTTTTTCCTGCAAGCTGAGCTTGCTATATCAAGAATATTTCAATGCAGTTCAGGAAAATACGATCGAAAACATGCATCTGCTTGATTAGTTGATTTCCGACAATTTACTTCACAGGATTTATTCCAATAATATATTTTGCTCATTTTAATCCAACCGCTTTAATCGTGCGTTTTTCAAGCGAAATCATGTTGGACAGGTCGGCTCAGGTAGGAGGGTTCATCCCTAAGCCTTTATGACACTGCAAACCAAAGTGTATGCCCGTTGTCATGGCTCGGTTTCTTCACTAAGTCTAAAGAGCTTTGAACCGTTTGAACAACTCAAGCCTGTCTTTAATTCATCTCTATTTTTACTGGCTTATGGCTAGGATTTTTACCCCGAAGATTCTCGCAAAAAGATCGTTCTTCCCAACTTCACGCGTGCCCGAGTAAGCTTCCTGTTACTGAAAATCGTGCCGATTGCCTAACTCTATGCCAAAGTGGGCTCTTTAAGTCACGTTTCCCGCTTGGCGTTTGATGAAAAGAATTCATTAGTTATGCAAATTGTTGTGTCGGTATTTTAATCGATTAAGTTCGATAATGTGGCGATAAACGCTATTAACAATGATTGTTTGGATTAAGAACATTATATAACAGAAATCAAAGTGTTTCTTTAATTCTACCTTAATTAATCTTACTCTTTGTCTGAAAACCAGGGACGCGAAAAGTTGAGTAAACCCGTGCGACTCGAAATTGTAGAAGAAAACAGGACTAAGATCATGATATCAGACCGAGCGCTCGAGATTTACACATCGAGATCATTAGAGAGTTCACCACCTAAAATTCTCTTGCGTGCAAATAATTTATTCGTGGTGGTTTTGTAAAAAGCTCATCTTGACGAAAAGGAGTGCTTTCTTACTAGACAAATTTTCAATTGGATATCAAAGGTGATTTGAGCTTGCATTGGTTTTACTTCACTTTGCTCTGAAAACTCGCGCCACTCTCTCAATCAGTCATGCAGATACAAAACCAAAACCAATCTCGACTGGGTCGTGCGCGTTTCCCCGCGCTTTGGACAGTTTGTTTGATTTTAGTTCAAGTTCTTATTGGTTCCTAAGGACATTTGCCTTTCTTTTGATTGATCTCTGTTATAACTTTGGGTTTGCTTTTACGACAGTCAATAGAAAAGCGCTCTATCTCTGATCATGAATTGATGGGCATAGAGTACGAAAGCCATTGGGCACTGAGAACCAAGTATTTACACTACAATTAACACATGCTCTGAAAAAGGCAGGAAATGTTGGGTGTTGAGGCTTCGTTGGCAGAATATCTGGGAGTCATATACGATGGACCAGTACCTTTTAAAGCTATCAGTCGTGTCACGACTGATAGCTTTAAAAGGAACTGACGAGCAAGACTGGCGCAAAAATAGAAACCAAGACTTCAAAGCTGGAAAATATATGCCAATTTTATAGTCAAGAAGTCGTGCAATTTTTGCATCAGCAGTTTATATGGTTACTCTACAATGCATTTCGTCCTTCTCTGGAAGCATCATATCAGCAAAATAACCGTGACCTCTTTTACGTAGCAAGAACCTTGTCCAAGTCGATAAAATTTCAAGGTAATTTGGTATTATTAACTGAGTTGATGTCGTAAATTGGCCACCGTAAAGAGTTTCAAAGCTGACGTTTCGAGCGTTAGCTGTTCGTCGTTCGCTCTGACGCAGGGCTAACACTCGAAACGTGAGCTTTTAAACTCTTAACGGCGGCCAATTTACCAAATCAACTCAGTTGATAATACCAAATTCCCCTGCTATACTCTACCACAGACGCACGCAGCACCACATTTTCTTTGGAAACTTACCCCTTTTATTCAAGGCGACATGTTTACTTCCGCGTCGTGGTACAACAACTTATAATCTTCACCTCTCTACCCTTATTTTCTGATACCTAATTCTATGTGTAGTTTCTGTAAGAACGATAATGTTAATTACTGTCATGCATCTGTTCTCAGTTATCCTCTTTTCTTGCTGAATTTACAAATGTCAAATTTCCAGCGGCGATCCCTGAAATAAAAACGAAAAATAATACTATTACGAAAAACCTTCAACACTCTCCTACTGAATTGCCCCACATATTAATGTCACAAGTTTTAAAACTCATCGTAAAACTATGTAGGGTGGAGGATTTTAGCCGCTTAGCTTTTGCTGAATGTTCAATACAGGTGAGAGGTCTGTCGAAATAAAACCGTATTTTTCATTCAATTCCTCGACCTCTGTTCGTTCTATTCCACACTTTGCTTCTCTCCTAAGAATCCCGGGCAAAATTCGGTCTTATTCATTTTTGCAGAGAGAATTCTGATGACAGACATTTCAGTATGCACAAAAGTCACTAAGAATCCAAAATTGTTTATTTACCCCGTTACTTCTCTAGCTTCCATCCTCTTTCAGTTATTCGAATTTTTCATTTATTCCTAGTTACATTTACTCTTTAGTATTGGTATAGTTTACCGAGAGTTCCTCACAATGGTTCTTATTTCGCATAAACCGTGAATTTTGTCGGCCATTAGAAAGCAGAACATGTACAGTCGAATTCCGATAACTCGAACCTTCAAGGTAAATTGAGAAAGGTTCGAGTTATCCGGCAGTTGTAAACAAAGGACCGAAAGTAAATGGAAAAACGTTTTTCTTTTCATACAGTATACATTTTTGATCACATTTAATTAAAGAGAAGTCGAGTGAAAACGGAACACTAGTCAACGGGATTCGACATATGCATAGTATCAGCACTACTTTCCAAGTGCGGCTCGTCCTATGTGTCCGGTCTTTAAGGCGTGCATTAGTCCTTAAAAATTGAGGGAAAGCAGAGATGAATCAGTTGTGATAACTTGCTCTTCCCAACGCTGGAAAAAACCACTGTTTAGATGAACCGCTAATGAACTCCTTTATAATCAGTGCTACCAATTATCGCTGATTTTATCTTTAAACATGAATTTAGTATATCTGAATCAACCGAGAGCAATTACTTACTCGTGGGAGTTGTTATGTTCACTGTAAACTCCGACCAAAAAGTACCCAGATGGGACCAAGTAGTCCAAATCCCCTTTCCATTGATTTTGATACTTTGTTGTCTTACATGAATGAGCAACGAAACCTCTCGCGGGACAACAAAGAAACTTAAACCTGAACAAAAAAGAAAGGAAAAAACAACTTAAGTTGGAGGGGGAGAAAAGTAGCACTCTTCTTAAAAAAATATGAGATTACTTTGTTTTTCAGTCTTGAGGAAGCTGGACGAGACTCTTGAAAGTTTATTCTTGATCTGAACGCTCTTCTGTTAACCAACTATCAGTATGTAATCTTAAAAGCCCTTAAACTGTTCAAAAGAACTAAAGGTGATAAAACGATAAATCACAACAGAAGACACTGAGATCTCGACTTAACCTAAAAGCACGGGAAGACAAGGTCATAATCACTATGTTGTTTACTTATCATCATTAAATTTTCAACTCCGGATATAAGATTCCTAGTGTTCTGATTGGTTCACTAAATTCGGTTAACGGCTAATATTCGGAGTCACCTCGTACAAAAATGCATTGCGACGTGTAGAAAGCCGATAATTTTTGCTGAAAATATTCAAACGTTCAGGGTTTAATAAAATTAATAAAACAATTATTCCATTAGCACTTGTTGGATACGAGAAGCCAACTCGGTGCCACGCACCTCGTTGGCCATTTATCATCTCATACCCAACGCGCGCTCATGGGTAATTGTTGAGCCAATAACAGGTAGAAATGACATTACACAGGCGCAGCAATGAATCACTATTTTTGAGTTTTTGTTGGAGTCAGTGGTCTGGTTCAATCATCAAAAAATTAAAGTGGTTGTAATCTAACGTTAGCAGTTGGAAAAGGAACTCTGCTGAAATAAAAATAATGTGCTGATTTCATTTAATGATAACGATGGCTGTCACCGAAATCGCTTTTGAGCTGTAAGGCCATAAAATTAAGATTACAGGTGATTTCAAGGAATTGGGGTTGCTATGAAATTATTAATTTATTCGGACCTTAAAATACTAAGTTGAGATTGGGATTCATAAGACGCCATTTTTATCATGAATTTATAATAAAATAGGGTTCGTATTGATGCATAAAACTTTTAAAAGAAGGTACAAATATAACCGTTTAAGTCTGACGTCTTTCTCAATGTGTGATTTCATAGCTCAGTTGATAATAGCGCCCAGCTAGTATCTAGGAGGACTGGGTTCGAATCCCGTCGAAACCTGAATATTTTTTCAGGCTTCTTTTCTGCAATTCAGCAAGCAAGTGAAAATTACTTTTAGAACAAGTTGCTATGAAGTATCCTAGTAAGCAATAAAAGCACCTGCGATCTGCGTGCCGATGACTGTATTCACTTCCGACTCCGGTGATAAAGCTGTTCCGTTTGCACTCAAAGTCCACTGGTTTGTCATAGTTGTTGACAAGATGGTTTTTCCCTACACAATCTTTTCTGTTGTAGGTGACTGGACCGTATCCACATGCAAACGAAAAGATGCGATCTTTCTTGCAAGTTCGGTGCCGACTGTGCCATTTTCTCAGAGAGAAACCTGAAAAGAAGCAATTTTATTTTCGTATGCTAATTTTCAGTTAAAGGTAGAATTGAGGAAAAAGTGAATGTTTTCTTTCTTCATCTACCATTTTCGCTTCCACGCATTTTTATTAATTTGAGACTGATGCCGGCTTTCACAGGCCAAAATCTACTACGAGTTCTGAGTTTTTAGGTATTCCCCTTACCGGCGTGTTAAATGTGTCTAGCATTTTTAGAAATGTGCTGAAGAACGCAATCTGACCGGTTTCCTGCGCCTTATCTCCCCTTGTTTTCCCTTTAGCTTTATTTTATATTTCTCTGGTAATTTTTCGCTGTATAACGTGGGAATAACTTCCAGTGAAAACTTAGAAGCGTCTCACCGTAAGGTCGCACTAGCGGAAGTGTTTATTGGATCGATGGTTTACCGGCCATGAGAATAGGTATTTTCTGTAGTTGTTTTTACTTTTTTTGCAAAATCGCATGTAATTATCACAGAGACTTACTTTTTTTGCAGTGAACTGTGGAGAAGTCGTGCTGCCAAGAATTTACCCATATGACACCACGTATCGATGGTTTGGACGATTTACATCGGCGTCTTCTCGACCACCACGGAGTAGACTGAGTGAAGGAAATAAGAAGTACATCAGTGGTCATCAACAATAATAGTAGTTTAGCAGTGGTCTTTCTTGCCATGATGATCTAATAAAGGAAATACAAAAACGTTTAACAAGGCTTTGAACCCATCTAAATTGAAAAAAAAAAACACCTGTGAAGTTTTGAATTAGACATTTCATGTTGAGATTGAGTACTTGATATTAGTAGGATGTGAACGACTTAATGGTGGTTGTTCTTGTTGTGTTGTTTCATTTAAATGAGTTCAAAACAAAATGCAACAAAATACATTTCTTTGCTCTTTTGATACTCTTCGTGTTGTAATAATAATAATCATCATCATTATCATAATTATTATTGATTTGGAACTTATGCGGGAGGCGAGTAAATAAATATTACTATTGAGGGCACCACTTAGCTTTAGTCGATAAGTCAGGCAATTTGTTGATATGGTCAGCGGTAAATATGTTTTACACGAAAATAATTCTTTTTTATCGTCGATGATGTTGGCGTTTTTCTCCTCATTTGGGTGGGAAATAAAATTGTTCATTATTACAAACGGAGAGATTTAGATAACAGTCTCTAAGTGTAAACTTTCAATTTTTCAGCCCCGTTTTCTGAGCGCTTTAGTGATATCATGCCAACTCCGGTAGGAATGTTTTCAGAGAACCAATAAAACTGTGTCGCTAAGTTTTCGAGAAGGATCGATATATGAAAACGAGGAACACAACGGCATGAAACTAAAACTGGAAAAAATATTTTCCCCTAGCCGTCTTGGGTAAATTAAAATAAAATTTGTAGTCAGAGTCGTTTAACTCTTCCCTGAAAATGAAGATGCAAATTTTTGACAAAACGTCATCGACTGCTCCAGATTTCATTCTCAAAGCTTGTTAAGAAAAGCGATAAAACCGGAAAAAGGTACTTACATCGATCAAAATGGCTGGTATGTGAAAATACCTGATTAATGACGAAAGAAAACCAACCAAAACTGTCTTTGAAGGAAATGAATGCACTTTAATTTATGTATGTTGGAAGTCTTTGTGTTACATGTTTTAAACAAGTTCGCGTCGTACTCGAGTCATTGCTCTAAAAATAAAATCTTTGTTGATACTGAGCACGTGTGAAAAAAAAGTGCGAAAGATAACATAAATTACAATAAACGCAATACTTTCGACAAATGAAAGTCCCTTACGTTCAATTTTATTGAACATACTTAAATGGCGAAGCAACCTCCAGATAACATCATTATCGAGTCGCTGAACCATCGATGCGGAAACGATTGACAACAGGAGAACATCATTTATTTATTCACTCCCCTTCGCCTCACATTCCATCGCGTATCTGTTAATGGTTTCATGAAATACTGGCCCTAGTATGCCTAAATGGTTCGAATGAAAAATCTGGACCTATTGTGTACATGAGTAAGTTCCTTTCGAGGTTAAAAGCTTTCCTTGTAATCTAAACAACTCTCCTTATTCATTTACTGACCGATACAAAGATAATTTCCCACCTTCGCAGACCAATCATTTTTCCGTCAGAATGTGGAGTAGACTTCACGTTTCCATGTAAATTTTTCGAAAAGCTGAATGAGGTTTGAAAGGAATGCTGCTTTTCTTTACAGTTCCACACGATCGTCATGAATTGTGTACGGGCGCGATCTTGCATGACAATCTCGCGTGTCGGTATCGCGTGACAACATCACTTGCCAAGGACTTCCTCGTCTACTTTCTGGCATAAATCACGATTTTACACGACATGCGTCATAGGGAAAGTGTGTGCTAAAATCAATATCTATCTAATAAACGCCAAATTATCACAAGCTTTAAATGTGAGAGACTTAAATCGCCCATCACTCTAATGAATATAGATCTCTGTTAGGATTCTCAGTGCAAATATGAAATTTGGAGGCGCATTACTCTTGTATTGCTGTTTGCCAAAAATAAAGAACGTACATTTTTTGATCTATTTATAACCCTTTCGTGTAAATATATATTTAGTCTTGAATGACACCAATTGAATGCAGTGGTAGAAAAGATGAGGATTTCGAAATGAAACGTCTCTGAACCACACCTGAAAGATTTTGTTTGGCATATCGCCTGGCAACAATTCATGTGTTTATTACATAAAGGAAGGAACTTTAATATCTAACATGTATCTCAGTTGATGGTGACAGTATGCGTCGCCATCCGATCCTAGATAATGCTTGAGAGAGAATAACATCTTGTTGCGGAACACAATGTGTCTGAGAAAACAGCCAAGCAAAAACCCGATGAGTGATTGGTCTGACCGTCAGCCCTTTTGAAGTAAGCCCTCTACATTTTTCAAGTAACACGTTATTTCGGAAGGGAGTTGGATCGCTTGTATCCCTATATCCGTATCGATTGTAAACGAAGGCACTCCTGTGATTTTGTCGAGTATTAACAATTTCTTTGTATAATTAATTAAGAAAGGAGGACTTATAATCATTCAATATTTACACGCGTTGTCAAGTCATTTTCGCGACGGTGAGCTGCTGTGGTTAAATTCATATCACAATTTTGCTTTAGTTTTGTTTCTACTTCAGACTGAATAGATTGAAAAAAATCGATCGAATAATTTCCCTCAACTTTTCAATCACTGTTTTTAATCAAAAATTTACCCGTCGGAAGGGGCAGAGAAACTCGAGACCATAGACTCATGCGGAACACGATAAGACTTCAATCTTGCATCTTCTGTCGGTTTTCCGGCGAACGGAAGCAAGCGAGAGGCGTGCACGATGGGTGAGATACGCGAAAGGGGAGGAGGCGCACTCCTCTTCTCGCGTGTTTCTCACTCTTCACCCTTGCCTTGCGCTTGCCATGAGTGAGTTCTGCAGGGTAAGCCAGTTCAGGGACCGCCTAGTTTAGAGAGTTCTCGATTGACAGTTGACGAAGCGCATAGCCCGCCTGGCAATCTTTTCCGTTTCATTTCAGCCTAAACGGCAGATGAGTCAGTGTCAACGGAGTTGCTGCCTTTCAGCCCATGCGTTCACGTGACTCTGGCTCGGTGCACACTTCTACGTTTTGCTAAAGGATACTAAGAAGACTACTATTGAGATTACAATTTTTTTCATAAATAAATATGAAAAAAGAAAAAATTCATGCTTCTCATTCAAGATTTGAGCATTTAGATTGGAGTGGCAAGCTCTTTCCAATTTAACCCAAAGGAACGTGTTTTTCCAATCCATGGCTTCTTGCACGTGTTCTATGAAAAGTGATGGGTTTTTCTTCTTTTATTATCAAAGGAACGATTCTTCATGGCTTCTGTTGCGGCACCATGTTTTGTTTCAACAACAGAGACAACTAATTACGCCCGGCTATGCAGGCTTCTGGCGGATGTCAGTACACATGTCCTGAGAGAGACATTTGAGAAGAAGCGTCCAAAGGGAAGTTTGGACACGGTGTTATCAAGTCACCCTGTTCATGCCGTACTACAATTACTCAGAAGAAAAAAAGTGCTTAATCCATCACAATGGGGAAAATTATACCCTGCCATCAAATCTTCAGTTTCATCTCAGCATTTCGACATTACCTTATTGATGATTCTACTGAGGAACATTTGTAGTCTTGTTCCTCCAGTTACCGGCTGGGATGCACTTCCTCCTGCGGCAGACACAACCCTTGAGGCAGACATTGCGCGCATCAAGTATTTCAGAAACACAGTTTATGGTCATGCCAGCGAGGCGTTAGTTGATGATGCAACATTCAATCAATACTGGAAAGACATCCAAGAAGCAATAGTCAGACTGGGAGGAGCTGGTTACCAAAGTGCTATTGATGATCTGAAAAAGGAATGCATGGACCCTGATTTCGAAGAACACTACAGAGAGCTTCTTAAACAGTGGGTGATGGATGAAAAAAGCGTCAAGGAAAGATTGGATGAAATCAGAGGAGATCTGCACGTGCTAAGACAATCACTCTCCCGCGTCGGCATCAAGGAGAAATTGGATGAGATTGTTGGCAAACTGGATGCATGGAAAGACGCCATGGTCCCTAAAATTGAAAAGAAAATAGGAATTGAAGGTAACTGAGTGTGTTGCTCTTCGTCCGTTATCATTATCATTTGGCTGATCCCTGGAGATTTTAAGGCCTTAACTGGACTTGTTCTGAGTAGCAGCAAACTTTCCCATATATTTTCAATCTTTTCCAAACCTATTGACACTAAGCCACTGCTGTAAAATGTCTAAAATCCCTCATTCCTAACATTAATCTCTCGAGTAGAAAGCACGTTTTTAAATGCCCTGGGGTTGGGTATCTTTCCGTAGAATCGACATGGAATCGAAGATTTAAAGAGAAAAAATACTTCACTTTGTCGAGTCAAAACCAAAGTCTTTTTTTCCTTTTCGGGAGTTTAAAACAAATAGATCAAGTAGTTGCACGAAATCGTAACGGACGGTTTATGATTATGCCATGATTAGATTAAGCATCTTCAGAATTCTAAAGCAGTATTTATAATAAAGTTCGGATATATAACGCGCGCTGTCATCGGTTGAAAGAGCGTGCGCTATCAGAGTACAAAACATGGAGATGAGCTAAAACAGAACAAAACAGGAATGATTTAAAACATAGCCAAACTGGCATAACTGTCAAAATTCATACTTATCATGACGGTGTCAGTGCGACTGTGATCATGCTAAGGACCATCGCTGTTAGCTCTCCGATCATCGCAGTGAAGCAAGCCTAAGAAATTACATCGGCCGCCCTAAGTTTGAATAACTAATAGCTTGGTCTGATATCCTTTCCGATGTGTTGTGTGGAAGCTACATCAGTAAAAACAGCCGAGTTTTAAGGCGCTGTCATCCCGAAAAATCTTTATGTTCTTGTGAATTCAGCTATCGTTCATCCATACGCCTTGAGCAGTTTGTTTTCTACTATTTTTGACATCACGAGCGTGGGACAAAGAAAAATATTTGTCCCACGCTCGTGTCAAGACGAAAAAACATCTTTCTCTATTTCTTTACCGAGATCAAAATTTACCATCTCTCTTATTTCTATCTTCAAACATTACGCTTTCGACATTGCTGATCCTAGCAGTATGCAGAATGCGTGTCATATGAACTTCGTAACAGACCTCGCACACCGTGGAGTCTCTGTGGCTCAGAGGTAGAGCATCGGAGCGCGGAAACCGAAGGTCTGAGGTTCGATTCCTCGTGAGGACGTCTTTGTCCCACGCTCGTGACAAGACGGAAAAACATCATTCTCTATCTTTAGTCTTATTGAACAAATCAGATTATATGAACCATTATAACAAGGATTCTGATTGGCCTATTGGAACTTGCTCTATGAGAGTTTATAAAATGTTTAGAGAAATGCGCGCGCCGTGATCGGTCAGAACGAGTTCATTATATTTCCATAAAGCGCGCGCCTTACGTCACACGAATGCACCGGTTGAGATATAATGCACGCAGCTTACGTCATCGGTACGAGCGCGCGCAATTCGCGATACATATAGAAGAAATAAAGAAGCTTGTTCCTCGTGCATTGTTGAGTTCTATAAGCACTTAGGAATTTTTAAGAACACTCGACGACACTGTTGTTCACCCTGGAAATAAAGTTTGCTTTAAAAATTGAAAGTAGTGCGTGGGGAATTTAAAGGATTCTTTATTGTAAAACAAATAGACAAGCCTTGACTTTGCTCTGTTCTGCTGTAAAGCACTAAGTAAGCGGCTAGAGCACTTAAGAAGTAGAGAGAAACACTCGACTACGTCTCGTGTTTCATCCTGCACTTCTTACGTGTTCAAGCCCATTCCTGCTTGCTTTACCACAAAACAGAGCACAGTAAAGGCTTTCTATTTGTTAAAGATATGTTTTTTTCTTTCAGTTGTTGAGGCATACAGAAACGCTTCAAAAGAAGCTATAAAAAGCCAAACTGAGTTCCACCCTCTAACTTTTGTCACCTTCTCAAGAGTAAAAACAGATCACATATTCCCAACTCTACACATACAACATGGCAGAAAACCAGCTGACTACCTTGATACGAGAAGAAGAGAACACCTTTGCCATTTCGCCCATCAGAAAAAATTCTTTGATAAGGGAAGAAAAGAAATACTTCAAAATTTCAGCAGAAAGCCAGTTAAATACACTGGTATGAGAGGAAATGAAAACCTTCGCCATTACGGCAGGGAACCGTTTGAATACCTTGGTATGAGACGCAAAGAACACCTTCGCCAGTACGGTCAAGTAAGTGAAGAGCCAGTGAAACACTGTGAAGAAATTTTCTTTGCTGATACCGATAGAGATGAAGAAACGAATCCCAAATTTGTTCTTGTCGCTGGGAGGGCAGGAATTGGTAAGAAAAAGTTTTGCCAAAAGTTAATTGGAGACTGGGCAGACAACAAATTGTTTCAAGCTCAAACAATTCTGATTTCTGATGTCAAACAAGTCCTCGCATTCCCGATTACACGTTTGCGTCCTTGCTAACTTTCTGTCAGTTGAATTTACTGGGAGAGGACCAAGTCTCGTTGCGAGAAAACCTTAATCGATCATCAGTGTTAGATACCCTCTTAAATATCGACGAAACTATATTTGAGTATATAGTTGATCATCCTGAAGAAGTTTCATGTAATTTACTTTATCTTTATCATTACATTCAGTAGTTTTCTATCTAACAGTAACTTTTTAACAGGTAACTCTAGTATTTAATCATGCGTGGTGCCGTACAAACTGAACATAACATGCAGAGGCTAAAATATCTTCGCCACTGAGCGTAATGAAAAGTGACGGAAGACAATACAGTGTTTATCATTAGTGATCCAAATGTCTTTCTATAGAGGTGAGGTTTTTCCGTCGTATACTTTGAAATGGCTGATAATACTTACTAGCTAGAACAGATTTATCTTTCATTTCCAGACTATCGCTGTTGTTTAATCCTTTTTTAGATAAATGTTTGAATACACCTTTTTTAACGGTGCCGATGCTGTGACCATGTTTAGTTCTAAACGTTTTTCAGATGTAGCACAGATTGCATTGCTTTGTTTGCACGAGACAAGTGCGGTTAATGGGCATGAATCCAGTGGAAAGAATGCACACTCCGTTAAGCAGTTACGTAGAACATTGTCAGATTGCTTCACTATTCGCGAACCTTTTTGGTGTCAAAGTTTCAAAGATAAAAAATATATCTCACAATTCTTGTTATAATCACTGGTCTACAATAGTTTCTGCGCCTCTGGATAATTTTCGGTTGGCAGACGTTTGGTTTTCAACAATTTTCATTTTTCAGATGTATGGTTTTGACAGCATGACACCTGACCGCTTTTCAAATCCCCCCCAGGTTTTAGTTGTTTTTAAGTTTTAATTTTAAATAAAGAGCAGGATTAAATTGCAGCTCAAGAGAATAACATTGAGTCAATGCTTTGATGAAAGATAATTTTTGAGATAACGTGCCTGAATAAAGGCTCGGTGTATTTTATAACACATACAAAACATAACTTGTACTGATTCAAGAATGCTGATAAAAATTACAATGATGAGCAAAAGCAAGGCTCCACTTGCAACCCAATCTTATGCACAACTTTACCCAGTTGCTGGTGGCCTGTTATAAATTTAGGATAATGAACATCTTTTTGGCTTGGCCAACCAATATTTTCAATTTCACTCTTTAATCTTCTTAACACCATTTACACAACCAACATTCCCAAAGAGCCTGTGGACTCGGCATGGACCAACCATGGTTGTTTTAGTGTACCTGTGAATATTATAAAAAAAAACTATGCCATCTAATAGAGTTTTACAATTACCAGATGTCCTCATCACCACTCTATCCTAACTCTGTCATGCTTTCTACCCTTTACACATCCCACTGCCAGCAGTACTTAATGGTAATCTTGCTTATCAGTCAATTGATAGCCTTAGTGATGGGGCAGAGCTGGCTTGATGCAGACTAAAAAAAATTTCAAAACATTTTAAACTTTCCTAAAGAGTAATTAATCTCATGCCTCTCAAGAGAGAGCCTCTTGGAGAGCATGACTTAACGGAGTGCCTGACATAAGCATTTATAAGACCCTATAAAAGTCTCGACTAAGTTAAGAGACATTCCTTGTCCACAATTAAAATGCCTCTGATCCAGTTCCAGACTTTACACAGCTATGGGGTATTGCGTGACATTTAGTGCTTGAGAAGACGAGAAGCGCTAACATTCATGTGCGAAAATGTTACTTAAAGGTTACAAAATAATAAAATATCGAATGCTGAGGAGCTGTCGCGTACGCCTCTAAAAGGGCAGGATCGTTTTTTATGTCATCCTGTTCGACTAATTCCACTTTACATCGATCACCGCACAACTCAAGAAGTTTATCTTCAGGAAGATGACTGATCCATTCGCCTTCGTTCTTCCCCGATTCATGGCGAAAAGTCATCACAAAATATCGTCCGTCAGATTGTAAAGATGACAATAAAACGTCCACGTACTGTTTCAGACGGGCTTCGTCCATCATTGTGATCACAGTGCACGCTCCGCGATCCCAAATGCAATCAAACTTGTTTTGATAAACCTCGCGTGACAAATCAAATATACTGCATTCTATCAGAGTAAGGTCCTTGTTCTTGGCCTTGAACAAGTTGATAGTACCCCCGGCTGAAGTTTGCGCGGTGTTTACGTCGTATAGTAATTTGTTCTCCTCAAAGAACGTTTCAATTGCTTTTCGGATCATTTCCACGCCAACAACAGTGTGGCCTTGATCTGCCAACCAAATCATGTCCAGCGACTTTCCACATAGAGGAACAAGAATCCTACGATTCCTCCGGCCAGATGTGAATTCATCGTAATGTTTTATCAACATGGGACTGACATATTTTCGGTGCCAAGCGGGATTTCCGTCGTTCCATTCTGTCTCCCAAGTTTCCTTTCTCTCCAATTTCAGGATTTTTCCTGCCAAACGTGATGAAGTGGGTTGCATACGTTTGACGTGAGCCGAAAGTACGGATTGCAGTTTCTGATATACCCTGCGGAGCATTGACTATTGACCTATTGAATTACTTCCTTGGCTGATGAGTAATAATCCTTTATGTCTTGCAATCTATGGCGCAGAAGTTACTAGACGGCATAGGAGAGGAGAGTAGAGAACAGTTTTCAGAGACCGCTATACTTTTGGTCAGCACCATCATGGCAACAATTCATTCGACGAATCTGGCGGCCATGTTGCATGGCAGATACATCTACCAGCGTGTAGTTGTTTGACTTCTCTCACGTGTGACTATTTTTTTTCACCCATTTTAAGAGGCAATCTTATAGAAAATGGATGCAGTTTTAGCAAACGAAGCTGATCTAAATTCCATTGTCAAAGAATATCTGGATTATCTGGGATATTCGAGGACATCGTCTGCATATGAAGATGAGTTAAATTCGCTAGGAAAACAGTTAAATCAGCTAATCACACCAAGAAATGACTCGCAGAAAACTGAAATTCAGGATAAATTGTTGTCAGCCTTTGCTGATGGAAGATACGCAGAGTTTTTCAGAATATGGGAGGATTGTATCCCCGACAATGTTCAAGAAACTGACCGTGTCTGCCAGAAGCTGGTCTTCAACATAAATATTTACTTCGCACTCTTTCCCATTCTTCACGGTAACCACAACAAGCGAGAACTGGAGCGATCAATGCAAATTTTCAAGTCGTATCTTGAAACTAAAGGAGCTGCTTTAAGCCAGACAACAGAGTTCCTTCCCTATTATGCATTGCCATTTATTCCTGACCCTACGTCTCATCCATCTTTCAAACCACTTTTTGCCAGTTCATGGAGTTCTGATCTCAAGGGAGACTTGCAAGTATTTCTTGCAGCAACTCTTAAGTCAGAGGAAAAGCCACAGCTCTATACTTTGTTTATGAGGAATTCCACAGAGATAGAGAGAGAAAGAAAACTGCACAATGAACAACTCAAGAAACTACAACTTCAGCTGACAGCAAAGGAACAGAGATTTTCCCAATTTGAAAAGAGATACCTTAAAATACAGGGTGATTACCATAAGCTCATAGGTGTTGCTGCTGAATTGGTGGACTCACTGGAGGATGCTGTCCGCGGAAAAATGGTGACACCAGAATACCTTCAAGACATTTGCATGAGGCTCTTTTCTCCCTCTGTTAGAGAGTCTTTAGATGTTAGCAAGCCAGGAACAGCAAGTTCAATGCTAAGGGCATCTGTGGTCAATGATGAACTTCCTAGTCTTTCTGCAAGTGTGGATGTTCCATACAAACAAACTCTTGACTATGATAAGATAAAGATGAACCTGCTTTCTCTGCCTGAAAGGAAGAAAGCGTTTCTGTTACAGGCACTGAGGTGGAATCTGACCCAAGCACCTACCCGTGAACAACGAGACAGCATTGTTAATGCATACATTATCCATGATTTGCTTGGCTGCTCTCTTGACAGCCACTTGAGAAGTGGAATACTAGACCTCCTGAATTCACCAAATGAAATAGTTAGACAATATTTGGCAAGGTTGTTCAATGCCTTTGCGTCTCTCTCAGCAGGCCGCTCTTATTTAGCACAGAATCAATCCATTGTGCATGCCTTACTGTCAGTCCTAAAGAAGGAATCAAAAACATCCCTCACCAGTGAAAACATTCTGGGGACCTTGCAGAAGCTTAGCCTACGAAGGCAAATGCAGTCTATGATGATCAATGGTGAAGTGATTCAGTGGCTGTCTCAGCTATTGATGGACCATGACAATCTATCAGACTACACATTGGAGTATTCAGTTGCTCTGCTTATGAACCTCTGTCTACGCTCTGGAGGGAAGAGAAAGTGTATCAAAGATGCTTCTCAAATTCTGCGAGTTTTAAGTGATCTCTTGGGGCATGAGAATCAAGAGATACGTCCGTATGTGAATGGTGCCCTGTACAGCATCCTAGCTTTACCTGCAGTGAAAGAGGAAGCTAGAGCACAAGGAATGGAGGAGATCCTTGAGTGTTTCCTTAAAGATGACAACCCTGATATGACCAGACAGATCCAATTTATCATCAAACAACTCAACACTGATGATCCATCTGCAACAAATGACCCTGAGTCTGATGACGAAGATGAAGAAGATGACGATGATGAGGGAGATGCTATTGATGCTGAGCTGGATAAACAAGAAATTCTTGAACCAAATGAAGGAGAGCTGTTTGGTGATGAGCTACTCAATACTTGTTATGCAATGCCAAATTCTAATCTATCTCAGCAGCTGAAGAACAAGAAAAAGTTTCCAGTTCCTCTTGACCCCAATCACCCTCTAACAAGACCCACCACTCCTGGAGCAAGAGGAACAGATGCTATGCAGGATAATACTCCCCAACCAGTAACTTCAACAGTACGACCAAAATCTGGACAACAGAGCAGGCCAACAACATCATCTAAATCAAGGCATGGCTCAAGACCAACAACGAATGGAGCAGCAGAGGAGAGGCCTTCAAGTACCAGGCAAGGAGCAAACCCAACCCCTTCTGATGGAAGTTCAAGGTCACCCCCTCAAGTGGTTGAGCCTCCTGCAGGTAAATCTACATTTAAATCCCCCTTTGTCTCAAGACCCAAGATCCCTCGCACACCAGACTCAAGGCCCAGAACTAGCACTCCACCACCTTTAGGACGATCAGCCTCCCCTCCCAGACCATCTTCAAAGGATGGCAGGCCTGGGACATCATCATCAAGGAAAAGCAGTCATTCAAATAAACAGTAAAAGACTATAAAAATACCACAAAGACTTATGGTAAGACTCTCTAACTGCACAAGCAGAGCTAAAAACTTCCTGATCTGTGTAACCTTTTAACCTTTACACTCAAATCTCTGTATCCTTATTCTCCTTACTTAGGGTTTTCTTTAAGGGTTTTAAGCAGCTGGAGCTTTTTTAACGGTAACCGGTTGTGGGTCCGGAGTGGTCCCAAAACTCCTCTTTCCCAGATTCCTGCTTGCATAATTATGTATTCATATCTCAAAATCCAATATGGTGGACAAAATGTCATACCGTTTTTACTTTCCTGCCTCCGCAGCAAGATTTGTCAAAAAGACAGTCCTCATCATAATGGTTTTATAATAACCTTGAGTCAGAAGTCTTTTTATGTTTTCAGAAAAGATAGGCAGTGCAAATTTATATTTTTATTGAGCCCAAGTTTCAACCTGATAAACATCATCTCTGCACAGGCTCTTGAAGCAATGAAAGTAGCCAGCGAAACCTAGCAGAGAAGCTGGTGTACTTCACCGGCTGCCGGCTCCTATCTACAACCCTGCAAACAGTTCTATATACATCGCCTTTGGGACTAAGAAGGAGAAATGGTTTACCTTGACAATCAAAGTTTCTTAGGTCGGTGATCATTTCCTTTATTCCCCTCATTTACATACATACATACATTCTTTATTTGATAAGTAGGTTGTGTGAAAGGCAGCCAAAGGGCTGATGTGGACCTACTATACTAAATATTAGGAATTACATATATATAAAAATTGCAATAATAACTTAGAACTACTATATACAAATAAAATGGTGTTCACTAAGACTAACATATAAATCTAAAAGTAAATGAAATGGTCCTTTCTGTTGGCAACTACTGTTGCCTCTTTCTCAAATGAAAAATTGTCAATAGTCTTAACATGTTTACGTAAGATTTGTTTAAAAGAATAAAAACTTTCAGGTACTTTAACTAATCTATTTACAAAATTCCAAATAACAGGACCTCTGTATCGTAGGGAGTTCCTGCCGGTCTCTGATCTAAATCTAATGACATTAAATTGGTTAGGAACACGAGAAGATCTAGAAGAAACTCTTTTAGAAAACAGTTCACATATCGACTGGGTCGTTGTTCCAAAATATACTTTGTGCAAGAGGAATTTTAGTGAATGATTCAGCAGTATTATTGTTGAGAGAAATTAGATGCTGGTTACTCTTAGGGTTTTAAAGAGTTAACAGTGCCTTTAACAGTGTAAAGGTTGAGCAATACAGGACAATTTTCTCCATCAAAGTCCAAAATACCAATAAAGATTCTCATTGAAAATTATTTCTGTAAGAATTCTTTATGTCAAAAAAGACATGACTTTTGCTTCTTTGAGTTTTCAAGGGTACCATGATATTTACAAACAAGAACAGCTGTAAGTTGTTTGGGGCTTTATAGAACATCATCACATCTAGTTGTCCTTGACATCAGTTGAATTTTCTCTTGTAGAGTACAAATGAGTACAAATTTTTCCAATACAAATATTCTCAGAGAAGTACCTGGCTCATGCTAATGTAGTTCTTTAACTTGAATCAAAATGAGGTCAAATACATCACATTTTATTGACATCATCTTTTTCCATAAATATTTGTTCTTTTTAAAGACATTTATAAGAATCCAGATGTGAAAGAGAATCAACAAGTGATGGGCTTAAAAATGAAAATTTTAAAGGTGGTATGAAAAATCTTGGCAGTGTTGAATGTACAGTATAGAAGAGGGTTTTTAAAATGGGAAAATCATGTTGACAACAACACCTGTGTGTAGTGTACATTTACCAAACAAATTGACACCTTAGAGTAACTCCCAAACCTGAAATGTCTCTATGGTTGATTTTGACATTCTGTAAATCCTTCACTTCAAAGATCTGATCATTAATTTTCTTAATGTTATCACATTAATTTAATGTTCTTTTTCATTTCATGTTTGCTTCATCTGTGCACTTGTTCTTTAGCATCAATTGATATTTTGGTTTTGCCTCTCAAAATGAATGTTTTAAAGGTTTCACTGCCATTTAAAATATAGTCAATTCAGCTAGTTTTGTTGTTGGATTCCTATTTGTCTGTCTCAGTGGAAGTCAACTTCAAAGCTATTTTCAGGTCTTGCACAGTGCACATGCATTCTAAGTTTTCATGAAACAAATTAAATATCCAATAACACGTACTGTTGTATAACTTAAAGACTTGAAAATTTCCAAATGCAAGAAAAAAAAGCATTATAGACCTCTACCATTATCATCAAATAACCTTGATGTGAAAGGAGTATCTTGACTATTTCAGTCGAGCTCAACTTCCACTTGATTTTTTTACTTTCAACAATAATTTTTTGTGGCTATTTGTCTATGTTTCCTTAAAACACACTGCCTATCTAGAATAAAATTGACACACATTTGTGGGGTTATCTCTTAAGGTTTCATAAATGGCCAAAAGGTGTTGCTGCTCTCAGATAAATCGTATTTTGTTGTTATTTGTTAACCCACACTCAAATAATACCCAATAATGAGACCTTTTACATCATCAAATGAATCTTTTATTCCATTATTGTCATCATTATTATTATTATTTCAGTTATTAATTCAAGCAACAAGTTGAGAATCTTTTTCACATACTGGAAGGAGACAATGAATAGCCCTCTTTAGCGTGTATGATTTGTTTACCCATATCAGGTCTCAGAGAAAATTTTCATCTTATCTTTGTAAATTGTTTTGTACATATGCATGTGAATGAAAGAAAATTGGAAAGATGCAAACCTTTAGAGTATTATGTCATGACCTGAAATGGGTTAACAAAGCTTACAAGCTAAAGAGGGTTATTAAAGTTGAATCTAACTTCTGGCACCAAATTTTCATTATTGCACCTACTTGAAGTAACAGTCTTTACTTAAAAATTCTACATTAAGACTTAATTTACTCACCTAAAGAGTTGCAAAACTATTTTATCATTGCTAAAGTGACCAAAAATTAAAAAAATCCTTACTTTCAGTACAATGGAATAAACAATTACATTATCATTGTGTTTCCTTCATTTTTAAATAGTAAAGTAGTCTTCCTCAATCTTTATTTTTTATATATACCAATTTGAAAAATTTTCTAAAACACAAAAATTTCAGATAAAATTGACATATACATGTATGTATTTGGCATAAAAGGTATTAAAAACCATTTTAATCATAAGCATTTAAAAAACTTCAATTTAATTTCTGTCAGCAACACATACAGACTAAGATGGGTCTTGTCCTGATGTCCTGATGGGTCTTTTCTTCGATAGCATCTTTGAATTTTTTCCAGCCCTGGTAACTGCACTCTATTATCATGGTTGTCAGAGCACAAGGATGCCTCTTTTCAGACTTCCGGGCAGCAACTAAAGCATCCCTGTAGTCATCTTTGCACGAATTTGTCCACACATTGTAGACCGGGGTTGGAAAAGGAGTAAACTTTGACAGCATATAGCTGCAAAGAATACGACAAAGTCTACCATTGCCATCTGAAAATGGATGTAGATCTAAAAGTTCAAAAAGTAACCAAGCACAAGTTTTGAACAGAGAGTACAAGTCGTAAGAATCCTTGAGGCCATCTTTGATACAATAGTCGAACATGACATTGCATTGGTCTAATAATTTGCATACAGCACTTTCCATGTCTTCTGGATTCTTATACTCGTATTTTTCTCCTTTATATTCCGTTGTTCGAGGGCGGTTGCTGAATATTCCTGGTTTTGTCTTATCTTTTGGAATTTCAATGCCTTCCATTAGCATAACATGTGTTTCTTTGAGTAAACTTGCTTCCACAAGGCCGTAATCACTCGATAGTTCTTCCCTCTTGATTTTTGCCAACAAATGTTCATAAGCGTTCCTTAAGTTCAGAGTTTCTTGTTCTTTAATAGAGAGTTGACGTTGCAAACTACCGTTCCGGGCGTAGAAATTTTTTAAAAATTCATCGGTTTCTTCAAAAGTTGAAAAACCCTTTTCCTCTTCCATGTTCACGTGGGAAATAAATTGGACAAGAAACTGCTTCTGGACTTTGTCGATCAGCTCTTCATCGTATCTATCTTTGATTTCTTCCCACTCTCTGAGATGACTCAGTATTTTTTCTATCATCTCCTGGACTGAAACATCTTCTTTTTTACCCCACTTAGGAGTTTCAGTTGCTTCAAAAGGTAGGTATTGTGACAGTCGTCTCTTTCTGTTCTCATCATCAGTACTTCCGTGTGCATCCTTGGCAGCCATGCTCTCTCCTCGTGGATATCAGCTGGCTGTGGGGGGCGCAGTGGGGTATATCAGGAATCTCGAGCCCAGAGTCATTTTGGCTCCTTGTCAGCGGTATAGTCGCCAAATAAAATGTCACCATGCAGGCCTCAGAAGCTGGACAAGAACCCAAAATAATCGTAGGCTCAAGGTTTGTGTATAGACCTGGAAGTGAGATAAGCTTTCTCATGGGTCCGTGTTACATATAGACAGACCAATTTGTTTTGGAGGTTTTGGTTCGAGAAGGAAGCTGACATAAAGCAAACATGTTTCCCCTGCATCTTCTTATTGTTGGCAATAACTGTTTTCCCCACTGTGGGAAAAATTTTTTGATATATATCCATATCTTTTGCACTCCAAAAGACTTATGATTTGTCCCATCAGAAAGGTATGAGAAAGGTACTTTGAGGTACCATATATGTATTTGTATCTTTAAGATCCATCAAATATTTTTCTTGCTTGCAACTGGTCTAAACTCAGCACATGACTGAGTATCCCCAGCAAAAAACTGGGTGATACCTGAGAATATCACACACACAATCTAAAGAATAATGATTATCAATAACAAATTTGTCACTGGGTTTTATTGGTTTTTCATATTTCATTCTTTACCCAAAAAAGAGGAGTGACCCTGAATACAAATTTGTTACAAGGGGCAACCTATCATTTCCACATAATGTGTCAATCTATTCAAAGCTTCACATCTCTCACCCTTGAGAACTTTCAACTATGAAGATTGGTTTGTTTGAATTCAGGTCCCCCTGGGCCAAAATTGTGTTCAAATGCCCCACCCAAGTGCTGGATTCTATTAACAGTTTTTTTGTAGAAGGCAAAATCAGCGGCTGTGACATTCTTGAAAACCTGAGCCATCAAAGACAAAAATTCATCATGATTTGTTTCACCTCAGTAAGGAATAGACAATAAGCTTTAATTAATAATTCATTTATTATGAAAATAAGCCAAGACATCAAAAAAAGAATAATTCTTACAAAAAGTGACCATAACTTTCTCTTTAACTTTAACATTAATAAGTTCTGTTTTTAGTCAATAACCCACCAAATGGTTGAACTTCTTTCAAATGGTTGAACTTCTTTCATCCACTTGATAGAAGAATCACCATGCAGTCCTTACTTACTGATCAACCATAAACTATGTGTAAAGAAATACATTTTACATTCTTGGGAAATAGTAATAGAGTAAAACAGACTACACTGTAACTGTTGAGCATTGGATGCTGAGGTTAAAGTTGTGATAGAAAGCATTTTTCCAAAGTCAAAATACAATATTATCAATAGAATAAAGTAACTTGTCCAGTCTATACAAAAATAAATTTTCTGTACAATCAAACAGTGGCACAACAAAAACTCACTGTGGAGGGGAAATATTAAAGCTGGATAGGGGAAGCTGGTGGAAGACACTTCTAAAGTGATCATGAGACATGATGCCCCACAAACCCCAAGGTCCAGCTCCTTTCTCTACCATACTTAAACTCACACTCACAATACTTGCACAAATATAGAAATAGTATAAGTAAGTGATAGCAAGTAAATGCCCCTTCATTCAAAGTTTTTTAGAAAACATCTTAACAAGGAACTGAGGCTACACAAGGAAGGGTAGGAACTTCAAATAAATGTTTGATATTACTGTAAGAGTTTGACTGAGTTAAGCATGACTTGTCAACTTTTCTGGAGTTTCCTGCGACATAATTTCTATCGGTTGATCCTTGCAAGGCTTTGAAAAATTTCTCCCATCCATAGTAGGTGCACTCAATTATCATTGTAGTCAGAGCACAAGGCTGTCTGTCTGGTGACTTCCTAGCTTCAACCAAGGCTTCAATGTAATTACCTTTACATGAATTTGTCCAGACGTTGTAAATTGGTGTGGGAAATGGATTAAGCTTTGACAAGCAGTAACTACTAAGAATGCGGCAAAGTCTTCCATTTCCATCAGAAAATGGGTGCAGATCAAGAAGTTCAAACAAAAACCACGAACATGTCTTCAGTAAGCTGTAAACATCAATATCTTCGTTGGGTCCTCCTTTCTCCTCGATACAGGAATCATAAAGAAAGTTGTATTTGTCAAGTAAGTTAATGACTGTACTTTCCATATCGTCTGGATTTGCGTAGTGGTATATCTCCCCTTTAAATTCTGTAACTCTTGGTTTGTTACTCATTTCTCCGGGTTTTGTTAAACCTCCATGTTGGGGAATATTCTGTAGTATCAAACGGTGAGTCTCTTTAAGTAAACCGACCTCCAGGAGTCCATAATCACTGGTTAGTTCTTCACTCTTAATTTTTTCTAACAAGCTTTCATAAGCATTAATTAAGTTTACTGTTTCTTGCTGTTCAAGGGAGAAGGAACTGCCAGCCGACACGCGTCTTTCAGAAGAACAATTACTAAGAAAGATTTGGGTATCCTTGAAAGTAGTGATTCCATGTCCTTCTTCGCGATTGACATGAAAAACAAACTCGACGAGAAAATCTTCTTTTACCTTTTTTATCAAATCCTCGTGATAGTGGTTCTCCGCTACAGCTTTTTCCCAGCGCTTGTGATACTGCGTGATGCTACTGATCATTTCTGTAACCGTTTTCCGTGGCGTCTCCTTTGAACGAGCACTTGAGTGCCACGATGGATTTTCCAAAGCGTCAAATGAAATGAGACCCCTCACGGGATAACTGTTAGTTTCATCCATGATGAGGTATTTGTTGAGATTTCAAAATATTGTTGAAACTTATGTTCCTTTGAGGAGATTTCTTCTCAAAGCTTAAACGGACGTCAGTTATATTACGCGCGGGACGCAACATTCTTGAGGTCACACGTCAATAATAGACAAATGAGGGAGGCATAAATAAAAATAATTATGATGATAGAGACCGCTGACAACATCGCCAGACCATTACTCATGTAACAACCCTCAAATTGCGCAACCACATGCTTCAGTCATCATGGTGGATTTCAAGCCCAAGGCAATACGGGAAAGTCAACTTGAGAGAAGACAGGTTTATCTTTGAGCTGATTTGTCTCAGTCGCCATTTTTCTTGTCATTTCAAGAGTTCATTCCTTAATTTTTACTTCTTCAGGTTGAACTAGCTGTCCCTGCTCTTGTGAAGTTCGCGAGTCAGAAACGAGGCAAACAGCTGCGGCTTTTGAATGAACACGAAACAATTTTGTTGATCTTAGCTTTAAAGAAGATTCCAAACCCTGACAAGAAACCAAGAAGAATGTGAGTGTTAGTTAAATATTACCAAGTTAAATTCGAAAAGGCAGTTTACGATCCTCATCGTGATTGCTTCACATATACAGCTTCACGTTCAAGCTTGATAAATCGAAATCATCTGGTGAGGTGTCAAGCGCTTATTGATAGAATTTTATTCACGAGCTAATGCTTAAGTACAGTTCATTTTCGTCTTTTTTCCAGCCCTTTACCATACTCTTTGTATTCAGAGAATGTAGAGGTTTGTTTGTTTACCAAAGAGGATAGTTCAAAAGTCAAGCAACTACTGAAATCAAAAGATGTTACAGTCAAAAAGGTATGGACAATCATATTTGGGAGAGAAATGTCGTTGTAACACTAAAATTTTCATGGATCTTCATTAGTAGCAGTAGTGTTGAAAAGTGTCGAATGGCATGACTGGGTCAGGATATATTTGGTATAATTGGCATAAGGCTTTATGCATATTTACATCAGAATACCCAGTTTCACCCACAAGCCTCACTTTCAAGGTGCGGACTAGTGGATATTAATTAGAAAGTATTCGCAAGACACTGAAATGAATAGAACACTCACACAAAAACAACAAGAAAGCGGCAAAGGTTTGTGCAAATGTTGGTGCTAATGAGACTTGAGGTGAGTTTTCAGTATATGAAGTCATCGTGCAAAGGTTTGTAGCCTTCCTTTAAACAATCCCTATACATAAATTTGGACAATTTTTTGATCTTTAGAAAACCTAAGAAGCTGCTTTCTATAAAGTTTTCTTTTCCTTTTCCATGCTGGATTAAGGAAAGAAGAAGATATGTGTCAGTGTACAGCAGCAAAGGGGAACTATTAATCAAGTATTTTAGATCAGTTTAAGTTTAACCCTTGATTGGCATACACTCTAACTTTTTAAGTCTTGTTTGTTTGTTGTTTTTTTTTGCAAAAGAGAAATTTTACTCAAATGGTGATTGATTACTAGTGGGATTATATTTAAAGCAAACAACTATCCTGAAAATTTTTGGTATTTTTATGGAAGGCAAACATTTTAAGAATCAGCCTTCTTTTAAGACTTGCATGTAATTGTTCCAGGTGGTGACTGAAAAATAAATTTAATTACCTTGTCTTATCAAGACTTGGCACCTGTGTAAAACAATTAAGGTTTATACCCTGAATATACGGTATTTCATAGTGGTTAGGTACTTGAATATGCAGTCCCAATTAGGTTTTTTTTCAAACCTAAAGGTAATCTCTCTGACCAAGCTTCGTAAGAATTACCAGTCATTTGAAGCAAAAAGACAGCTCTGCTCATTGTATGATGTGTTCATTTGCGATGATGCCATCTACCATCTGTTGCCCAAGTTACTAGGAAAAGTTTTCTTCTCAAGGAAAAAGTAAGTTGTAGTATTTATTATGTGCTACATGCTTTCCTTTTTAAATCACAGTGCATTAATGCATATTTGGTCTGAAAAGTGGTTTGATATTTAGCAAGGTGGACTGTGGATTTTTTTATTTTCAAACAACTTTGAGTAATTTTTAAACTTTAAAACTCAAAAGAAACACAAGAACACCAAACAGGGTCATGGATTTGGGAAAAAAAGTAGAGAATTGAAATGGATTGCAGTTGTGCACCTGAGAGGACTTCATTGTTGAATTTTTTCCTCTGTTTTTCAAGTTTATCAAAATTTAACATTTTACAATGTTGAAGTCCCATAATTTTTTAGATACACATTGAACTAACATTAAATATTCTGACCTACATGTAGCGTCTTAAAAAGAGATACCTCACTTAAATGACCACTTTTCATTCAGAATTACATGTTCATGGTGTGGATAAATACAGATCCATCTTTCCAAGTTGATCCACTTTGATTGCTGCCCAGGTCATTCTCTTATTCAATGATTAACCCTTTAACACTCATGAGTGACAAAGATGGAATTTCTCCATACAGTGTCAACATGATGTCAACATTATAACAATTGTACCGTTGACAGTAAGAAGAATTACTGGAACAAATTTGATCTGGGAGTTAAAGGTTAAACACAGACATGTTATTACTTTGATGATTTGAATGAAACAAATTGACACGACATGTTAAACTGGTAGTAATTTAAAGTAATATGACAAGTATCAGATGTATAAACTAATATGAGACTTAATTTAATTTTCATCGTGAACATTTGTCATCTAGGGAATGTTAATGTATAAGAAGTTCATCATGAAGAATTGTCTTTTCTTGTGTTTACTTCTTTCATCGCAGATTTCCCATCCCAGTTAGTTTAAAGAAAGTAAACTTGAAGAAGGAAATTGATAAGGTTCTTAACTGTTCTTTCATGACACTGGGGCATGGATCATGCAGGTAAGCCTTAGAATAACTCATTTTATTATTTTTATTAGTCAGTACATGAGCTGTGATTGGTCAATTTAGCAGGCCATTTTTCACTGTACAACCTGCTTAATTCTTGAGTTTATTTTAATTGACATCTTCCTCCTCTATTTTAAACTAGTGATATGATAAATATCTTACTAACTTTGTTTTCTTGGTTCATTTGCAAGTCACAAAACCTTGTTTTTTCTGCCCAGATTTATGGCTGGTGTGCCTGGTGCCTGGGCCATGAATATGAGCAGGAAAAACTTGGTCTATAACCCACAGTATAGACTTAAAACTTGGTTCATAAGAGGTGTAGACAATTCTCCTCTAAACTAGATGAGTTTTTTCAGAACTCCGAGGGGTTGTCTGTGTGGTAATTATTAATTCCCACATTGTTAGAAAGCTCTTACTCAATATATTCCATCAACACCAGTTGCCCATTGTTGTTGTTCCATTGTGCAGGTTTTCTCTTGTAAAATGAAGAAACTAAAATACATAATCATTGCTTTGTAGTGCAATTAAGGTGAGCCATACTGGACAATCAATGGAACAAGCTGTAGAGAATGTTGTCAGTGCTGTCAGTGAAATCACCAAGATTGTCCCAAGAGGATGGAATAACATTCAATCCCTAAACCTCAAAACATCAGATTCAATAGCTCTTCCACTCTATACATCACTACCTGAAAAATCTCACTTCATAGAGGACTCACAGCCACCTGCTAAAAGAAGGAAAAAGGAGACATGACCACTGCCATTATCTAGACTGCATAATGTAAAGAACCTCATTTTGAGGTTCTTGAGAAACCATTTCTTTGATTGAAGGAGCAACAGAAATTGGTGGTTTGGGATATAAGGAAGGAACATATGAGATTTCAGTGTTAGTTAACCCTTTAACGACCTAGAAATTTTTGTCACTTCTCCCCTCCAGCTGCTACACACTTCCTTGTAGATTAGTGATGAGAATTTGGTGTTAGATCAAGATAACAACTTTACTTGATGAGTTAAAGTATTCTCATCACCTGTTTGCTGGACGATGTATGAATGTTATGGGAAGAAGTTACATGTTAATCACCTGAGGGAGTTAAAGGGTTTAAGTTTTTCTGGGCATAAACCAAACTGCATAGCTGGGAGATTAGTGGCATTTAACTCCCAAGATCTGATTGTTAATTCTCCCCTCTAGCTGCTACACAATTCCTTGTGGATTGGTTTTGAGAATTTGGTGTTTGATGTAGATAACAACTCTTACCTGTTAAGTTTAAGTTTCTCATTACCAGTTGGCTGGATTTTGTGTGGATATTATCAGAAGTTACATGTTAATCACTTTTGAGGAAGGGATTAAAATGCAGGATCAAATGTGACTGGTGAAGCTGTGAGATGAGATCCAGCTGAATTTCTCAATTTTCTCATTCCTGTTGTCTTTTCAACTTGTTAGCTCAAGGGAAAAAAAAGCCTTTCTTACCTCATAGATTATGCAAGGTTTGCTTTAATGTAAATTGTAATTTTGCCAACAATCCTTTCACTCTCAGGAGTGAGCAATAAGTAATTTATTCTTGCAATATCATTTCAATGTTCAGCATGAAGGTGATTCGAAGAAAATGTTAACACGGAATAATTTTTTATTTTGCTCTAAATTCTTAAAGCTGAAGTTGTAAGAAACTTGTGATAGACAGTGCGGAGAATTGATATGTAGAACATAGTAACTTCGTTAAAGTCAGTAAGATGCGGAGAATTTGGGGTCTTATCTAAGACACCTCACTGGTTTGGTCGTTATCCAACAAACAATGCAACTTTGTTCAGTTTGACTCTTTGAAGTCTCCCATTCCTGTCATTAAATTGAAACAAATCTAATGTAAAGATGGTTGTCAAAATTTTATGTATTTATGAGAAATCAAATGCACTTAATTATTTCCAGACGATCACATTCGTCTCGTTAATTGAAGCTAAAGTGAATTTAGAATATTAAATTAAGTTTTACAATTTTCTGTCCAGACTTTTACGGAACGTAGCGAAAGTCCATGTTTTTTATGCGTATTTGTGATTGAAAACAGAAACTTAATACCTAGATAAATTACGTGCGAAAAAAAGCTTTTTCAAACTTACCTTTAAATCATGACGTCAAGGAAAAGAACAAAGGGCGAATTCGATGTATCGAAAGAGCTATTAGCAATTACACAGGCACTTATCACGCTTTCTACTTTGACGGTAGAAAAAAAAATTGATCAGGAAGTTAACGATAAATCAAGTCCGCCCCTTTCAAAGATTCTGTGGTGCACAAACCCACAGGAGATAATGAGGTAACATGCAAGCAAAAAAATGTTGTGAATAGCGAGGCGAAAGAAGGTGCGGTCCCTTGTGTCTTTCAAATTTTAAAATGGTAGATTTATCGGGAGAAACCGCAATATTAATTGAAAAAATTCAGATCGGAAGCATGCTTATTTCATTAGGAATAATTAAGAGGGCATTTGAAACGAATCCGTAACAACAAAGAAGTTACTACGCTGTAGTTAAGGTGTTTTTTCTGTTTTCGAAACATCTTCAAAGTTTTTCCAAATTACGTCATTGTAAAGTAATCTTACATTTCTGCGTTATCTTTTCTTAAAAATATCCGCCCGTTCGTGGAATGAAAAGAAAGTGCTGGTAAGATAAGATCTGTAATGTTTCAGACCATACGCATTCGGCAGCACACGCGCGTCAAAGTTTACTTCAAAACCCTCTCTAATTATGTGTACGGACTGAAGGTTAGTGATCTTGAACTTCCTAAAGCCGTTGGTCTTACTGCTTTCAGGATAAGAAATCTTACACATTCCAAGCATCTTCAGCCAATATTGGCAAATGCATTAGACTATTTCATGTAAATGATGTATTTTTCAGGATACGAGAACAAATTAATCAGGATATCTGAGTCAATTAACTGTAGGAAAGTCACGTACTGCTATAATGACAAATAAAAAGCGATAATTTTTCCATGATGAGTCAAATAAACACCACGGACATTTGTCAAAGCTTTTCACGATGCCGAGAGGGAACTTCTACGTGCATCGCACTTTTCAAGATTTATCGTCTGGAATTTCTTTTAATTAATGATCGCTGTCTCAGTAGTTTTCCATGAGTTAAATTTTTAAAGGTAAGGTGGCGCTCTTACAGTGTAGGCTTTTTACAAACATCTGTGAATGATTGATATGATGACATGTGACTGATTTTTTCTCCATTCTAATTTGGTGCGAGGTTGAATTAATCAAGTTGCATTTCTGCTTCAGTTTAAAGACAGTTTGTTAGAAGGTTATTAATATCTGTTCATTCTTTGCCCAGTAAAGAGTTGACTAACAGTGTGAGCAGCAGTCTACAACTGATCACAATGATAAAAACAAACATTGGGACAGATAGAAAACAATGACGTCGTCAATCCTTAAATTTTCACGGAGCATGAAATTATTTCTTGGGAATCAAGTTTAGTAAGTGCATTAAGATCCTTAAAATACTCATATACTCGATTTTAGTTTAATATTCCTTTTTTCCGTAAGAACTTCAAATGAATCTTTGGTAGGGGCTTAGTCAAAATTAGACATATTTTCTTATTCCCTAAGTTCTCTAGTATTGGATATTAGAGTTTCATTATTATGTGCATGGCTGTGTGCGCATGGATGTTTTTTTCTTAATTTTTTTCTTAGATAATTCACATTGCTCCTTTTTCCGCAAAGTGGGGGAAAACAAGAAATGATTATCATTTCTTGTTTCCCCGACTTTGCGGGAAAAGCAGCAATGTGAATTCGCTAAGAAAAAAAATTAAGAAAAAAACCACATCCACGCGCACAGTTTATTCAACGAGTCGCTGAATAAACTTCCACTTCATTTCATAGCAGTGACTACCATATGCGCTTTAATTGGAGAAAAATAACTGAAACAGGCAACATATTCATGTTGTTATTTAATAGTTTCTGGTTCGATGTTGGGATCGAACACTGAAAAATTTCTTGTCTCTTATTTTCTGGTTTTGATATTCGTTCTCAAGATATAGGTTCCTTTAAAACTCAACTTCCTTAGACAAATATCGGTGTTAATCCAGATGAACTGAGCGAAATGTAACTTCCTAGTGTATTTTGCAATGTGTTTGACGCACAGGCGTCAATTCGCTCTCACTACTTATTCTTGCTGCTTTGGGCCTGAGACACCTGTCCTGAAAAACTTAAGCATGGTTTAATGGTTCCTGGAGACAAGCCTCTGTCTGCCTCTCATACGTGATAATCAATTCGAAAAGAATCTGAAAATATGAATTGCACCAACATGAATTACGCAAAGAATATTGATGATAACCGAAACTAATTCATCGAGTAAATTTCAATTTCAAACACCACGGCTCGGAAAGTAATGAACATACCCAATATTAGAAAAAGATCATAGAACATGACCAGTCATCTGTCTCCAGTTCAAGTAACTTCCTCATTAATATGGATATATATAATTTTTAATTAAGCGAGGGCCTTTTAGGTTTTGAAAGGACTAGGCCATTTAAATCAACACAGAACAGGTGCCTTGCTGATCATCGCACAACAAGTTCGCTATAAAAAGGTAAGCGCGAGCGTGCTTGGAACTTGAAAACCTTTTACAATTCACTTTACTGAAACATGCAGAAAAACCAGCGCAATGTTGTGTATCCGCTCGTTCGAAATCGAGGAGACAGTAAGATTTGCAGTTACAGCCAGAGCAAATAAACACACACCAGTTCAACTAAAACTGAGAAACATTTGAAGCAAAACCGGACCGTGAAAATGAAACCGACCAAAATTGAACGCGTCCTGCATCAGATAATTCGGAATTTCCACTAATTTATCCTAAGAAAGGCCATGAAACGGATCCAATTATACTGCGTTTGGGACCAATGAAGTTTTCTATAATCATTGAACTCGGATCCTTAGTAGTGCCGGCGAAAGGTTAGCAAGGGGTTTGGCTCGTGATCAGTAGTGATCTATTTGCGCCCTCACCGGCCAGCGTTTCTCGCGGGGGAAGAATCCCTCGTGCCGCAGTCTCATCTCGCAGCGACATTCAGAAATTTTGTCACAGGAGAATCACATAGGTGCATGGTATAGAGAATGACGTTAGAGAGAAACTCGCCCGCTATTGGCCATAGTTAACCACGTTGGTCCTTTCAAAGTCTATGCACTCAGCCTAAACACTGATGATTTTTGTTTGATTTTTATTTTTATTTGACGTGTGCAGTTAGATTCTCACCTGGTAGTTAACATTAGGTATATATTTAGCTATTCATTTGTTCCCTTCCGTTTACTTTTTTGCAGATAGCACGTCTTAATACGATCTCGCCACCATGTCTGAATCGACCTCAGCTGCCGTAACAACAATATCATTTATTTTAGTCGTTACAAATGTGATAGGAAACTCACTTGTTTGCTGGATCATAAAAAAGAACCGAAATATGAGGTATGTCCGGATACAAGAGGAATTAAGTACTCTTGACTAAAATTTGCAAAATGGATGATTTTCATCGTCGACCTGTTTTTATGTGTTAGGAGGGTCAGTTTCCGCTGAGGAAGCTGTGGTGCTGGGCGGGGGGGGGGGGTAAACTGTGGTGCTGGGTGGGGGGGGTAATACAAGGAAAACTCAGAATTCATGAACACAAAGCATATTCAAGTACGGGTATTTTGTTGATTTACCATTGTGTTTTGAGCTTTACTGAAAATAGTTATACCTTACCCAAAGCTCCGTGCCTTACTGGCTTGTGTGGTTGTTTGTAGCTCGTATTAGATAACATGATTCTGACAGCGTGAAAGCACACCGCCTAGTCATCAAATCATTCGCATATACGTAGACGTTTGAATGCTGTGTTCAACGGGAATTGCTCGATACCGCGGGTTGGTTGTTCAGTTTTGTTTTCATTCTCATTTTTTCTTTTCTTTTCTTTTTTTTTTTTCAATCCCACAGAATATCCTTGAATTATCTACTTGTCAACCTGGCTGTAGCAGACATCTTGTACGCGGTGTTCATAGCACCAAAAGTTCTTGTCAAATTGACTGTCTCTCACCCTGACGGGCTGACAGGGATATTCCTGTGCAAATTGGTGACAGGTGGAAATCTTGCGTGGGTTGGAAGCGCTTCCTCGATTGTTACCCTGGTTGCCATCTCGGTTGAGCGATATTATACGGTCATGTATCTATTTAACAACAAAGGAAAACTCACCAGGCGTAGACTTAAGGTCTGTTAACAGTGTAGTTAGCCTGTTAACCTGAGTGGAACTTGATTTCTGTCCCTTGATCAGTTCTCTTATTTTTGTCCGTTACTTCTCAGAGAGGTTATATAGCAGGTATGAAAAGAAAACCAACAGAAAAATGACAGAGGAAAAAAAAACAAAAATAGAAAAAATTATTCCTTATGTGTATTATGGCAAGTTTATATTCTCTTGATTGTGGTACCTAATTTTCGGGAAAAATATCATGAAAATAATAACAATAATAATACCTTTATTTATGTAGCACTCGTATCCTCTGCTCAAGGCGCTTACAATCATACAAAATCATGCATTATTAATTAAAAATTTACAAATTTACAAACATATCCTGCTATATGATACATAGCTAAAATTCATACTGATTAAAAAAGAAAAACAAAACTAAAGCCAGCCATATCTTATTGTATTATACTTAAACATAGCTAAAATTCACAATGATTAAAAAAGAAAATTGAAACTAACGCAATATATATAAAACTATAAAAATAATGTCCTGCTTAGCTTGCTCCTCTTGAAAAGTGCCATCCAAATAACATAAAAATCGTAAAATCACTTTTTGTTTCCAGGTGTTTCATCCACCTCCATCTCTTTGACTTTCCGGCTCTGTTTTCCGGGCTCGCGCTCAGATATGATCAGTACGCGGCTTCTTTCGCTTAATCTCTCGACATCTCGCGCATATGTTGTGATAGCGATAAAAATGAAATGGCTAAACTTCATGATTTTTCTTTAGGTGATCATTGCTATTTCGTGGATATTCTCGTCAATCTTCAATTTGCCGGTGTTCTTGGTCAGGTCCTTTGATGATAAAAGCCAACAGTGCTTTCTAAGCTATCCGGAGGAGTGGATTATTAAGGCTCGGGAAACGGCTTGGCTCGTCTTGACAGTTGTTCCCTTATTGATAATGATTGGCCTATACTACAGAGTCGTGCACCTTTTGTGGTTCAAAAATTGTGGTGGGGACAGTCAGTTCAGCAGCAAACAAAAGGTACGGCCAGGTTTACTAAATGTTCTAAAAGGAACTGTGGTGCAGCGTCGGTGGGAAGGGGTGGGGGTGGGGGGTAGGGGGTGGGGTATTGCAAGATAATCCGGTTTTACCGGCTGAGTTGACAAAGCGAATTGGCCACCCTAAAGCTGACGTTTCGAGCGTTAGCCCTTCATCGGATTCGCACTGACGAAAGGCTAACGCTCATGCGTCAGCTTTAGAATCTTTTTACGGAGGTCAATTCACCTTATAAACCCAGTTGATAAAACCGAATCATTTCTACCGATACTTACCCTGGTTTCATCGGCATGAAGCGACAAGAAGTGATCACTTCTCCTAAGATTAACCCCTAAGGCTTGTCCTCCACAAATACACCCCTCTCCGCAGTCTCCATGACAGTTTTCTGGCACATGTCTCTTTCATAATTCGAGGTGGGAAGAAACACTCCGGGTGCCATCTCACCCGAATGTCTTGTTTAGGTACACAACAGAACGACCCCGCCATGACTTAAACCCGAAACCTCTCGATCAGTTTTTCTAGTACACCACATCTCACCCAGTTACTATATAATTTCACGAGATAAGATATCGATATTTACTTTCTAATGTTAATGTGATATTTATTGATCTAAAGGGTGTGCTGAGAGTACGAAAACGAGTGACTCTAACTGTGATAACCGTCAGTGTCATCTTTGGAATCTGCTGGGGGACGAGTTCATTTATCTATTTTATGATTAACGTGATATCCTGCGACTTTGGAGAAATCGTTGGAACAGTTGCAGACATTTTGATTCTTTTCAATTCCACTGTCAATCCGTTTGTGTATGCGTTGTTAAATCACCAATTCAGAGAAAAAATGAGAGGGACAACATGCTGCTCTCGTTCCTCGCCATTCAGAATCCATCATATAAGGAACCCACCGAGCAAAGAGTTAGCGGATGATAGTGTCGCTCACTTGTCGCAGACCGGAAGAATAAGAAAAAGCATTCCAGTAAATGCTGTTTATTTTGGAACTTAGTGAATTTCAACTTGTATAACAGCATTAAATGGATTCAACAAACAAAGCTGGCAATTGTAGATTAGCTGAATATTTAGACGGTGTACGGGGCAAACTCTTCCCCAGAAATGACTGCGATCCCTTCAGCCAGCGCCACATATCTAGTAAGCGATGTAAGAAACTGGCTGATAAAAACAAATGCCAAGCAAAATGGAGACGAATGAAAAGACAAATGGCGTGTTAATCCATCTGTTTAAAACCCATTTAGTTATTTCTATCCTCATCCTTCCCACTACTGAGAAGATATGGCAACGACCTTAGCAAAAAAATGAAAATGTTTCATAGTTAGGTTTATTTGAAGGATTGTTTAAATTGCCATAAAATCCACCATAATATCGTGATTTCGTGATTACAAACTTTTTGGTAATATCCAATTTCTGGATTTCATTATCTATCGTGTCTGGAAAATTTTTTTGAATATCATAAAAATGACAAGAACAATTTGAAAAAAAATTTTCCGCTAAATAATAAAGTTAACAACAAGATTCATAATAGTTCAACTAGATGAACAAGATTTCTTGAGTATTTGCAATGAATCCTTACTTGAAATAGGCCTGCATATGGCTCACGAGATTGCACTGTGATACAACCCGTGTTATTTCTTTGTATGTGAGAAATGATTATTAAAATTGGTAGTGATAATTGGTGTGATCTTTATGGTTATCATTTCTGTCATTTATTTCTCTTTGATGAGAGCTCCACTAAGACTCGATCCTCTTTTCTGAGGACCAGGCCATTGAAGGATATACACTTTACCCCTATTGCTGTTACATTTATTGAGGTGTCACCAAGACAATATTTTTTCTAGCAACTTATATTCTGTTATTGAAGATATCTATGCAATACTAAAGCGATAACTGCGTTTTTTTCGCGCTGCGCGTGTAGTATATTCGTATCCGATCTGAAATATTATATTAAAGACTCTGATCACTTTTCACCCTACTATTCTATTGAAAGGAAAGAAAATTTAGCCCTAGTGCTGTCATATTTATTCAGGTTTCACCTCTATTCAAGGGACTCTTTTCCAGTCCTAACGACGTTCTTCTAGATGACAGCTCCATTATGAATCAGTCCTCTTTTCAGGGGGCTATGCCATGCCATGAAAAGGACCCTTTTTCGAGTCTCAAGGATATTCCTTTACATAAAAGGTCCACTTCGAATCAGTCTTTGAATTTGGATTCGCTTGTTTTTCTCGTGTTAGTGGTGTTGTCAGTATTTACTTTTCCCTCTATTTCATTCGAGGGCTGAATCCTGGACAACGAATGGTTGCCACAGATCATGCCCTTCATCTTCTCCTTGAACTGCTGGTTTAGCAAGGCATAAACAAAAGGATTAATTGCAGAGTTGAACAGGACCATGGTGAAAGCTACGTCAAAGGGAAGAGGGCCGATGGATACGGAAGCAACATCCATTAAGGTGAAGCAAACTTGTAGTGTTGCCCAACAGATTCCAAAGATGACACTGACGATGATGACCATCAAGGTGACCCGCTTACGAACTCTCATCACACCCTGCAAATCAGAAGATACCAAGCCCTCTTACGCCATGGCAATAATGTTATTTAGAGATGAGGCGTCTGGAATTGCATTGGTTTTGTTTTTACATTGCGTTTGCGATGACAGAGCTAAAAGACGTTCGCTTATAGGTCACTGACTTATTTGCGCGGGCTCACCATTGAAACCTTAGCAACAACCACGGTAAGATGGAAGGATTTTGAAAACGATTAAAATACGGCGCGTATTCTATCCCAGATTATGACTTAACCAGAGAGTTTAAGCTCTAAAATTTCTCTGCAGACCCTCTTATATTAAAGCGCATCTTTTGATCTCCATAGTTTTACCCTTAGCACCTGCCGAGGTTTAGTTACAAATTGTTATGGTTCGATCGCAAAATGCACGTACCCTTTCAGTGGAGAGGTTCAGATATTTGCCTTATAGCCAAGATAATCGACCAAATGATAACCCATGTCTTTTCCGAAGGTTTGTGTACTTTTATTAGGTGAGTTGATTTTGGTGTTATTTTTAAGGTGGGTAGGTCCTACACCCATTGCCATGGGTCTAATATATTTCTTTTCGGTCGTTCCTGGGAGTAATGTTTAACCCGATTTCTATTGCTCACTACTCGTCTTCAATTCATCTGATTAATGATTGTGTATTTTTTATACCATATGGAATGACGTATGTAGAACGTTTTTTGAGTGATCCTTTAAAACCAGAACTAAAGCAATCACAACATCCAATCAAAACCAGGAAAACATCACGAGGAGCCAACGAGCGCTCAGAGTAAAAGCAAGCAAACTGCATAAAGCGCGGGAAACGTGAGTGACCAAGTCACTATGCTTTTGATTTGAAATTGACTGATTGAGAAAGCGGCGCTAGTTTTCTGGACCAATCACATTTCGAAGTAAAGCAATTCCAAATAACTACCGACACAATTGAAAATTGTTGTACAGTGAATAATCTTTTCGTATGCTTTAGTGGCCCTATTGGAGTGATACTTACTTGCTGTTGGCGGGTGGCTTTGTTGCCATCGATAGTATTGGAGCACAATGCGTAAATAACCCTGGAGTATAGCACGATCATCACCAACAAGGAAACAAACACCAAGGTGGACCATGCGAAGTTGTACGCTTTTGACATCCACTTCTTGGGCCAGCTTCGCACACAAGATCGTCCTTCTTCCTCAATTATGAAAAAGAGTGGCGAGATGAATAACGTCGAAAAAAGCCAAGCACATGGGATAATCACCTGAAACAAAGGCCCAGTAACCATTATTGACCTCTCTACAAATATTTGACCAATGATTTGAAATCAGTTTATTCTGAGGAGGAATGGTGCACGTGATAAGAGAATACGTGATTTGAATAGTATATAATAAAGTTTCCAGGTCAATGAAACCCCTTCGATTTCGACTTCGATAAGAGAAATGAACCCGGCAGATTGAAACTGTTAATATTTAATTGAGGGTATGTAGAGGGCTGGGTTAAATCATTTACTAACGACCAAAGGAAATGTCTCTTTTTTTTCTGTCGTCTTGAATTAAATTTTCGCGGATTGGGTGAAGATAGATTGCTTATACGAAAAGAGCACTGCCGATATTTACCTGTATATACCGCTCGAGTGAAGCGTGGGTGGGGATGGGGGGAGGGTGTGGGGGAAGGGAAGGGGGAGGGGGTGGGGGGAGGGAAGGGGGAGGGTGTGGGGGTTTGGGAAAGGGAGGAGGGTGTAGAATTGATAACAGTCAATCAGTTCTCATACCCAACGTCAATCGTACTATCAACTGTATTAAACACAAGACTAAACTTCTCATAAGTGCCACAAAGCGAAGGATTGCATTCATTCTGAAATACTATGTATGTGTAGACTCAGTTATTGATAACTTACCCTAAGTTTTTGTGTAGTGACGTTTCTTTCGCTATTGAAGGGATAAACAACAGCATAATATCGTTCAAATGCGACAGCGACCAGTGTGATTATCGAAGACACTCCTCCAATCCATGCAATGTTTCCATTTGTAACAAATTTGCATAAACATAGACCGATCATACCGTCTGGATGGATGGCACCAGTTAGCGTCATGATATTTTTGGGTATCATGAACACCGCGTACATGATGTCTGATATCGCCAGATTAACAATTAGATAATTTATGGGAGTTCTGTAGAAATAATGAAAGAGAAAATACGTAAATTCAGGTGAAATTCAGCTCAGGATTGCATTGATCGCAAGAGGGCGTGTGTTTGTCTGTTTTTATTTTTTATTCATTTATTTTTTGCTGTTTTTTTCTGCCCTCTCTATTGTTTTTTCCTTCAAGCCCAAATTTATTTTGCAGTGGAGAGGATAAAGATATTCGAGATATATTCTAGCCTTTTGTCAATTGTTTTCGTTTTGTCGAAGAAAGAATCGGACCCCGCAAGAGGTATACTTTTTCAGCAAAATAATATTCGTGCGTGATTCAGGGTGGGTTCTTTCTCGATTTTTCGGGGATCTCTAAAAACAGAAGTGTTCTAACTAAACAAAACAACTAATTTTCCGGGGGTAGATATAACGCGAGTACCCTCGCGCCTTTAATATCGATTATAGAGTCTTCGCGCAGTCTCTGCGTCAACGCATGCTTACGGAACACGGAATTTGTTTTTTACGCAAGAAATGTAGAAGAGTAAAGTGGCGATTTCATGTTAAGTTATAATATTAATTTTATTAGCAGAAGCCGAAGTTACTAATTCATATACAAACTTTCTCACGATAGCTGTTCTGAAAATCCATATTTATCATATTTCATTGATATATAAGTGCAATTTCCTGACGTTTAAATTTCGTCAAAATAGTAAAAACCATGATCGGTTTTTTTTTCATCGCAAAGATTCAACGAGGATATTAAAAATCCATTGCAGAAATATAACGGAAACGAACAACAGCGGAAACGCCCTGACTTAAATATGACGGAAACATGACTTGACATTTCCTTTCCGGAAATATGATGGAAACTTGATAGAATCGCCAAAACTTGGTATAACACGTTTCCGCAAAACGTAAATGTAACGGAAACATGAAACTCGATGTTTTTTTCACGTTTAAGAAATGTGGAAACGTGGGATTTCGTCCTGTGCTCGCAGAACAGAAACCACGACGGGACTCAAAGCTGCTCACATTCGATATGCTGAAGTTAAGGCGTGTCGCTGTAACAGAGGGTAAACACATCCAATCATTTGTGAAATTCTTCAGCGTTGTCGTCCGGACTGTTTAAGTCTCTATTTTACAGCCTGCTTGGAACAGGCAAAACATACCTCATATCACGATTTTTCTTTATGATCCAGCAAACCAAAGAGTTTCCTATGATATTAACAGAGGTTATTATCAAAAAAACGACTGTTATGGCGAAGGCAGCTGATGTTGACATAATGAAATTTAAGTCTGTGCGAGTTCCTGATCTGAAAAATAATGAACAAGTAAATAAATGGAGCAGTAAATGAGAGAAAAGATTATTAAAAAAAGTAATATATTCATGACAACAAGGTTTTGGAAGATAACCCCAAAAACTCTTGGGTTATTTTCCAAGGCTTTAAGGTTCGCCATGTTGAAGTTTGCCCTTTTATTGTTGTTGTCACTGTTGTCGAAGGCGTTTGGCAATACTGAATTTGTGGTGAGTGCACAGCGCCAAATTGAATTAGCTGTACCTGTGTTCTCATTAAAAACAGTTGTGACAGCAGGAAAGGAAATTTAAAATTAGAGAGTTACGTTTATTCGACTGAGCTTTAAGAATTGCCGTCGGTTTCTATTCAGTCTTAGGCCTTGGCAACTGTTGGATGTTGCAATCTCTGTACAACGCTGAAAGCATTAAAACAGGTGACAAAAGATCTGAGAGTTCGATCTATTGAGAGAGCTCCATCATTCTTCATTACTTTTTATCTATCATAAGTCATCTTTCTTTATTGAAAGACTGTTTTAGTACAAAATTAAATGAAACAATACATCATAGTGCGGAAATGACAGGAAGTTCTCCTCTCTGAGTTGTTTAAAGGCAATCCAATTTTTTCAGTTTAATTTCGTTTTTTATCGTAATTTTCGTTGTTTTTTGTCACCCGATGGCTTCAATATGACAGGAAGAAAACCTGCGTTATTTGTTCAAGCTTTGTGGAGGCCTAATTACTTTTACAGCCTTTACTTTCTCAAATCATGTGAACAGTACCCGTACAGCTAAGACGTAAGGTTAGTTTTTCATTTATCATTTATCTTTCATGTATGATATGTTTCATTAGTTGTAATAGACGAACCCGCTGCTTATAAAATATTGTGATTCAAATGAAGAAAAAACCCCTAGCCCTTAGAAACATTAAAAGGGGCTTAGATTGATTAAATTAACTGAATCACACCCAAGATAAATGAAGAGGCCTTCCAGCTTATTGTGAAAAGTCACACCGTGGTTTGAAATGAAGTACCTTATATATCTGCAAATTTACGTTGAGTTTGTTGAAGGAGATGACTCGCTTAGCTGTACTTGTAAATAAACCGGTCCACCTGTAGTGACGTTAAGACTCCTAATTTTTTCCTCGCCACAAAAATCCTTGGCTTTACTAGCTGGGTTGATTTTGTAAATTGACTTCCGTAGAGAGATTCTATAAATGTGACGTTTCGAGCGTTAGCCTTTCATCAGAGTGAATCGATGAATTATGGGTTGTGTGTGGTTTATATAGAAAAAATCGGAGCTACGCTATTGGTGGGACCTTGGTAACGTGAAAAACAAACGAATGAATTAGTTTAATAAGAGCGTTCGTCAGAGCCTTTCGCTCACACGAACGCTCGAAACGTCAGCTTTGAAACTCTATACGGTGGCCAATTTACGTTATCAGTTCATAATACTGAATTACCACATTTATGCAATAGATGACATTTGCGAAGGTTCAGGTGAAATTATTAGTGCGATCCAATTATTTCCCAAGGTGATGAATTAAAGGATAAGTTTTTGCATTATCAACTCAGTTCATAAAACTAAATTATCTAACTAGAGATAAGTTCGGTAGCACCACTACAGGCAAAGACAATGGGTCGACTTGTGGTGTAGTCAAGCGTTTGGATTTAGGGTATATTAAAAAGTAACTTGAAATACACGAAACTCTAGGAGTGGTCAGTGGAGATGAAGTTTGTCGCAGTAACCCGCAATTCTTATTTGAAGTTTGAACAATGGACAATTTCTTGGTTTGTAGAAGTGAGATCTATCTCAACTTTTACATGAAATGGGGTATCAGAAAAACTGTTTCAGAACTTGTTATTGACAGAGGTCGGCCCGCCAAAAAACAACTGTATCGCCTTTATCGGCCATTTTGACAACTTAATACGTCTCTACGCTTACTAAGACTTCCTGAGCGCCGCCCGATCTTCCAAAGAAGGGTTGGAAATTAAGAGTTACGACTCAGTTTATTTGTATCGCCGGTGACGGCATTTCCTGATGAAAAGAAATTTTGCGAAGTCCATTTAGACTTTCGAACCTGAAGTCTCTCGAAAGTATATTGATTCGAGGTGTTAAGATGATCACAGATAAAGGCTTTCAATTGAACACGGTACCACACCGCCACACCGACGCTGCTCTACAGTTTCTTTAGAAACTTACGCTCTTGACTAGAAAGGGGTGTCCAGAAAAAATCACAGCAGACGGCCTGTTTGAACAACATGTGATCGACTAAAGTGTCTTAGTCACATCTGGTAAAACTAAACAACTAATAGCGAAACTCTCCATGAATCATGGAAACTTATTTCAGAATATATCAGACGAAGATATATTTTTTCAATGATATCGTCTTCAGCAAAGCTGATAATTAGTGTCGTAATCAAATTGTGCTGTTCAACTCACGAATAATTTTTCCTCACTCGCATTCTTGACATATATTTTGCAGATCAGCAAAGTAGATTTTCACACTTTGAATGTTTCCTCAAAGCTGAATACGTGTGCGCTTTTTTGGTGCTCTTTGTGAAAAAAAGTCTGAAGGAGGGCTGATTCTGGTAAAAAAGAACATCGAGCGCTGGTGACCGCGTACATCAAGCCTTGACGTACGTGGTCACCAGCGAGTTCTTTCCCAAACAATTTCCACCCTAAAACACGCGAGATAACTTTTTCAATGTGGCAAGCGATGGTAATTCAGGCAAACCAACCTGAATTCGTTGTTGTTGTTCCTGTTTTCTTTCCTTTTTAGTTTTGAATAAGACAATCTCTCTTCAGCTCAACCTTCTTAGAGAAAGGATAATAAAATGTAAATTTGGGACGGAATCGCCGCCTTGCTTAATAAAACTGTGGGGGAAGCACCAATTTTTAAAACCAAAAACCAAAAATTATGAAGTGAAACTATTACAAATACCTTCTAAATTTTAAAGCGACCTTCCGAAAACACATCTGTATGGTGAAATTGCTCGTTATGGTTGAATAGTCGAGCTGCAGCACAATATGTTGAATGATGTAAATTTTCAAATCATCTGGAACTTAAGTGCTCCTCCAAGACAAAAATGAAATAAAACTAATTCAAACACGAAACCAATCACAGGAGAACAAAAATTAGCAAAACCCTTCTCGTCCCATTTAAAATCACAATAAATTAGACGGGTTTAAGAGACACGTGGTAATGATCCTATGCGCTTCACGCTTTAACCAGATGAGTAAAATCTGATTAACTTGTGGTTAAGTATATAGTCTATTGAACACGTCAACGCGTAAAAAGGGAGTCTTACGTGAATAAATATAGCACACGCTGAGAATGTCAATTTGGGCTACGTTTGTCAATTCAATACAGCAAAGACGTTGGAAAGAAACGAATTTAAGCTAAGCTTATCTCCGTCTGCGTACCTCCGTCTCCTGTCTTTTGTATTAAAAAAAAAACATATCATTACATTATGAGTGATCTCTTTAACTCTTTAGGGTCAAAACTGAGGGATAAGACATTATCTAGATTGACGCATTGTGAATTTTCAGCTCATTTTTCGAGTAAATAATATTATGAATACTCTCTATTTAATTTCCCAGAGCGTGGGACAAATATTAAGTTGGGTTAAATTCTTAGGAGAATGGTAACCTTGGCGGTCTCCTGATTACCTTCTCCCACACGTGCAATTAGTTAAGGCAAGTAAGATCCTGCTTGAAATGAAATATTAAATTTTAATAATTTTCTTCCTTTATATATTGGTGCGTAAAAAAGACGAATACATGTCTGTTTCGTCTTGTTGAGTTCTTCGGCGGTTTCAACCCTCATCATTAGCTGTATTTTGAAGTTTATATTTTTGTTCCAAAGTTGGAAACTTCCTGTGCACCTTAAAAACCAATCTTTTTTTTTCATCGTAACACCACTTAAGTGTAAAGCGTATGTGTAGACAGAACTTTGATTATAAAGTGCACCTGGAATAAGAAAAAAACCGCCTTTCTTCCTCATGGTTCGTTAGAAAACGATAGATTATTTTAATTTGTCGTGTAGGATACCCAGAATATGTGCCATATATATTATCTGGATGTTTTATGTAACAGTCAAAGAAATTGCAGAAAAAAGAGGCTCTGAAAACCGAGGCCTCGAAGAAGTTCGAACTTGATCATGAACTTCTCAGATTCTGTTCGAGTCCTAAATGTGAGCCGACTTTCTACGCCACAAATGTAAGAAAAACCCTTATTTGAAGTCTGTCAAAGAAAAAAGCTAAAAAAGTGATATATTCAGTTAGGCTTAAAGAAAAGCAGGTGAATTTTGCTCCTGGTATCAACCACTCAATATTGTCAATTTAACAAGTTGGTTATATTTTTTATCGTATGTGGTGATCGTTTGGGCAAGAGTAATCCTATTATCCGTGACAGTTATAGACGCTTTGACTTATAATGACATCTACGCACGATTTTGCAAAGAACCGAAATTTTGAGGAAAGCAAAGAAATATATGTTATTTTCCGACTAAGAGTCGGTCCGTATGATGAAAAACTGTGACCTCGGTATAGTTTTTCACCATACGGACCGACCCTTAGCCAGTAAATAACATATATATATATATATTTTTTTTTTTTATTTTTTTTTTTTAACGTGACGAAATTCTCTCCAAAAGGACCCGAATGATTTAGGGCTGTAAATACGGCAAGATCCTCCATAAACTGAACAATTTTTGAGCGAGTAAATGGTAGTTAAAATAGAGGTGATGCAAATGAAAGAGAGATGCTTCACCGAAACATTTTCATTTGCGTAATGATAAAAGTGATTTAAAAGGCTTCCAAATAAACTTTGAAACATTATTTTTATAAGTATCTGTCACAATCTGACACTTGTCAATTAGACAGCGCGTAAGAGAAAAAAAGCGCGTGCTCACTTTTGAAAAACAACAACGAAACTGGTTTGGCAAGGACTGTCAAGACAATGTTTTCTTCAAAAACAGTCAATGATCGAACGGAAAAGTATTATTCACTCTCATCGACGATCGGCGAGGAAATTAATCGTAAGTAAATTCAAATTTTTTATTTTGAAGTTCTGAGAGTTTGCTCGTTTGTTTGCTGCAATGGCGTTGTAAATCTGGTCTTTCCTCTACAAAAACTAAATTCGACTGATACGCTCCAACCAGACACAAGGGGATTTAATGCAACCTTTTCTCATTGAATTCCTTCAGTTTCTGTTGTCCAATTTACGGTACAAATGTCCAAATTGAACGGACTTGGAAAGACTCACCAAGAGCGCATATTTGTTGTAGATCTGAAATTCAAACTTCGCTCGCCCTATGAAAGGTTTAAATTGCATTCTTGTTAATGCTCTCGATTAGTCGCGTAGGACTTAATATTATGACACCGCCTTCTAGAAGAATTTTAATCCTGTACTCAGTGATTGGTATAGATTTGGGTATTGTTCGATACCTCTAATCTGTTCGAGCACAAATACACGCAAATAAATAGAGAATAATACATTAACGCGCGTAGTGACGGATGTCGAGTTGAACACGAGAAGAGAAATTCATATCTACAAGCAACCATGTATCATTTTGTTTATCATATATAGTCCCCTAACATAATATTTGCCCACTAAACTTTGTTAAGTGTTGCAAAATTGATGTCTTTTAATTTTTGTGATGCCTTAGCTGTTTAGGTAACATCAATTATCAATCTCGATTAACCAAGTTATGTAATGGGAGACTTCTTGGCAACTCAATGGAGATAAAATTTGTAAAGGAAAAAATGAAAAGAAAAAGCTTCTTCTAATTCTCTAGCCGACAGAGCAGGCGTGATATTGGGAACGAGTGCTCTGTGTCTTCTCGGTAAAAATCTCAGCTGCCATCTTTAATTTTCACAGAAATAAAAGCTGGGACAAGAAATAAATCACACCAACGGGGTGAGCAACAGTCAAAAGTAAGGAGAGGGGAGGGAGGGGGCAATTGAAAAAAATAATAATTTCCTTTCAAATCGATCCAAATCCCGCCATACGTTAGCATGTGGGAAAGTCCTAAAAATAGTTCATTATTGTTGATTTACGCCTTCGCTTTCAATGCCATAATAATAATAATGTGAGTAAAAATGAAAACAAAAATGGAAACTGTCAGCTATGTTTCGTGTTTATTCCCAAGTCTAGGGATCCGCTTTCAGAGGGAAAAAACCAAACAAATTGAGACAAAGTTAAAACTAAATAATAACAAGCTAAGCAAATCCTTCCTGATGGAGGTAACTTTGAACGAACTGAAATGTTGGTTTCATGATGCCAAGGCTGAAAGGGAATTATACATAGCACTGCAATCTGTTAAGCTTAAATTTACTTCGGAAAATAGCAACTGCAATGAGTGCTCTAAACTCTAACTCCTTTCGACTCATGCCTACCTAACGTTTCTTGCTTTTTACATATTTAATTGTGTACTTCTTGGCGTTAATTTATCTGAAAGTCCACGATAAATAACAGCATTCTCTACAAGACATGTAAGAATACATCTATTTACAATGATAAACGGTTGAATGATCTTATCAGGAGTCGCATGGAGGGCTAATTGGACTGATAAGTTGTTATATTATATTCACAACAAAAAATCTCATCCCTGATTGGTCAATGATCGATACAAAATGTGTTATAGTATGCCGAATCATTGTTATAACAGCAAAACAAGCAAGGAGTATGGGCTGAATAAACTGAGTTCACGCCCCTGACATCTTGAGTAATGTGTTTACGGTATATTGCGATTCTTCCTATCCATAACAATACATACAAGTTGAAAACAAACGTTTCAGACATGCAAAAAGTACCAATTCCCGAGAGTGCCTTTAGATACGCTGTTACTAAGATATTACATTTAAGTTTTGTTTTGCCTAGGTGGATAAGTTGATACAAAGATTTTGAAAATGAAATCGTTTATCAAAAGGTGACTTGTACATTAAATATGAGGACGTCACCATTTAAGGATAAAGAACGGATTTTCGACAGACGCAAAAATCTCAAGCTGAAGGTTCAAGATGCTCTAATCCTAACGTATGTTCGTTTCCTCCTTCAACTCCAGTTACGGGAGTATCCATTAGCGATTTGCAAAGCGTTTCATTAATTAACGGACATAAATCTTCCAAAAGTCACCGCGCGACAAATCTTTCGCCATGTCATCACATTCCCATCTGTCATGGCGTGGCGACGTGGCCCAATGATAGTAATTTGAAATGAATGCTGAGAATATATACAGCTCCGTATACCCTTGATGTCCCCATTTTCCAACACGATACGTGTCGTTTTCCTTGCCCCAATTTGTGCAATCACTTGCAAGGAATGAGTTGTCTCCATTGAGTTTCTCAAATGAGCCACAGGCTTTGGGAAAAACGTCGGTATCACTGGCAAAGAACCTGGCTACAGCTTCACCAGAGCTGTTCGCGACCGTTTTGACATGAAACGTTCGTCCAGGTTGCTGTTTACGGCAGTGGAATCTCAGCTGGGTGAAAGATATGCGGGATCTCAGCTCTCGCATACCGTCAGGAGAGAGAACCATTCTGTTGTTGCCGTAACGACTGACTCCTGCATATGTCTTTTCAATATTCAAATTGGTGGGGGGGCAGCTCCCTCAGCAATAACGTTATAGATTAGGAGCCAGACTCCTGCCAGAAATTAAAAAAGAAAATGTGAATCGCACTTCTGGGAGACCAGAAACAAGTCTGTTGTTCTTATAATAAAAAATGGGCGACTTCTAGTTATGCCTTTGCTTAGGGTTAGCAGTGCTTACCTCCATCAGTTGTCATGTCACAAAATACTTTTGAAGAACCTCCATTTTTTTCAGGGTCGATCCAGTACTCTCCGTCTTTTTGAAAGTAACCTGAGTCCCGGATGTCCTTACACGAATGACCAGGCTGATTGAAATATAAGCCTCTGATAGCTGAAAAGGAAATGAGCTTCAATCTTGATGGATTTACTAATCTTCACTCACCAGTTAAGACGTTAAGAATAGGGGAAAAACCTGTACGCAAACTTGAACAGAACTGTCTGCACTTATCTTCAAAAATGGGTATTAAAAGGATCGGAGTCCCCAATTGAATATTTATACCATCCTCGTAGCACTTATAGTGATGTATTCTTGGCAGTGAAAAAAAAAAGGAAAGTTATCAACAAACCTGCTTAACCCAAAACCCACCTGAACAGAGCTATAGTATGAAGATCCTTTCTTCTTTTTAAAATGACCTGGCTTCATCTGCCGTGTTTTATTATTCAACTCACAGCTACGGTTTCCATTGCTGTCACCGCGATGAACATTGATCGACTTACAGCTGTTATTTCCCATACATTTTAACTGGCATTCAAACTCGTCCACAACATCAGTGGTCTGGATAGCATGACCTACCAAGGCATGGTCTGAAAGGCGAAAAAACGTTCTTTTTGGTAGCCACTAGCTATACAAAGAGAGTATAAGAATCGCTTTTTCTCTTTTTTTCCGTTTTTGTTTTGTTTTGTTTTTTTGTTTTGGAGGTTTTTACTCACCGACTCGAGTTTCAAAAACGCTTCCACAAAAATCTTTGTTTGCCAGGACAATCAGGATTCCCAAAAGGATGTTAAGAGTAACAATCGCAGACTGGGTCAGCCATAAAACAGCCATACTAAAATTAGCCGTTTTATCTTGTCCAGGTGGAGCTCCTTAGTTTTCTTGTTGCATATTAGCTTTCTTATATTTGCCTTCCTCTGTCAGCAGAGCGTCATTGACTGACAGTTGAAATACTTATTATCTGTAATACATGATTCCTTTTCATTCATCGCTTTACTGCTAAGTAGGGCCCCTCCTTATTGGATGAGAATTTTAATTAAATATCAACATCATTTATAATTCAAAGCTCTTTTTCAGTTAAGTTTTAGTCCTTTAATTGCTTTTGAGGCCTTATTTTCTCTCTTGTTAAAGAAGGAGTTAATCTCTTTCAAAAATAAAATTTCAATTTCGTTATGTTTTTTAATTTTCTTTTTTGAAGGAGTTAGCACACTTTTCGAAATTTTCACCTAATCTGCATTTATATCTGTCTCCCCTTAAAGCGCCTATGACACGAATTTTTTTAAAATACAGTTATCAGCCAGAAAATGCAAAAACAAATTTCGTGTCAAAGGCACTTTAATTCGTCTTAATTAGCTCGTCCAGGTGGAGCTCCTTAGTTTTCTTGTCGCATATCAGCTTTCTTATATTTGCCTTCCTCTGTCAGCAGAGTGTCATTGACTGACAGTTGAAATACTTATTATCTGTAATACACGATTCCTTTTTATTCATCGCTTTACTGCACAAGTAGGGCCCCTCCTCATCGGATGACAATTTTAATTAAATATAAACATCATTTATAATTCAAAGCTCTCTTTCAGTTAAGTCTTAATTCTTTAATTGCTTTTGAGGCCTTAATTTCTATCTTTAGGGTTTTTTTTCCATAAAATAAAATTGCGAGCTGTGTTATGTTTTTCCTTTTGTTTTTTAAAGAGTTAGCAAACTTCTAAAACTTTTTACAACATTTCGAAAGCGACCTTAATGGTAGTCTCCCTCGCAGCCGTTTTTTAGATATCACGCAACGTTCCCCCATAACAACGGTTGTTTTGGGGGAACGTTGCGTGACATCCAAAAAACGGCTGCGAGGGAAACCACCTTACTGGTTTCTCTCTTTAAAACAAAGGAGTTTTTTTTTTTTTTTGAGTGGCTCACGAAAACGTACACTTTTTCGGTAAACAATTACGAAACAAAGAGCTAAACACGATGAAAAATGCAGCAAGATTGACCGAACTTGTGACAAGTGGGAAGATCTGAAAGCTGCCTTCCTGATTAGAGGACATGTTAGAGCGACCTTTCGGTTGATAACTCGTTAAAAACTCAACTTGACAACATATAAATATAATCCATAATTCATGAAAACTCCATTAGGCATAATATTTTGGCTTACTTGTTGTAGGTTCAAACACCCGTAAAAACATTCATTTCAAAGTAGAAAATATCGGAAGACTCTTGCGCTCCAGAGCAAAGGTATCCTACCTCACAGGCATTGTTCTAGTGTAGTGACGATAGAAACAAGAAACATCAAAGCATATAATTCCTTTTTAAATTGATCCAAATCCCGCCATACGTGACCATGTGGGGAAGTCCTGAAAATAGTTCATTACTGTTGATGTATACCTTCGCTTTCAATGCCTTAATAATAATGTGTCAGTAAAAATGAAAACAAATATGGAAACTGTCAGCTAAGTTTCGTGTTTATTCCCAAGTCTAAGGATCCGCTTCAGAGCAAAAAAATTGAACAAATTAAGAGAGGATGTCGGCGTCCATCGAACAAATTTGAAATATTGTGGCAAGTCGCTCAATATTCGTTTTCATCCCTACTTTCACATTTTGTAGCCCAGTATGTTCTCATAATTGTGGTGTAGTTTTTTTGTGAAAATATATTTTGGTTTTCGAGAAATGACTTTTTTCGTACGACCGCTCAAATATGCAAATTTTCACCGTGAATATTACCCGATTTGTGTGACTTCATGTTACGATTCCACTCGACCTCCGGCATTTCTGTTAACGTAATCCTTTGTTTTATCATCTAAACTTAATCCCCTGTCATTATTGAAGCTGGAAAAGAAATATTTATTTTTTGGTGAAAATTTTTGTCCGACATACTTTTCCTATGTCGACTAGTAGAATCAAAACAAAGGCAGTTTTAACAACGACCGATATGACAGAATCTACTGAGCTTCAAGCTTTTAAAAGACAAAGGGATGGTTATATAGTTACTGTAAAAATTTCCTTGTGCATTCTGTTCTATCTTGAGACGAACTCAAAGTCAGGCAAAATTTACTTGATAGCGACTACGAAATATACTTAAAAATTCATTAATAATTCATAAGCCCATTAACCTATCAAATGGTAGATAATACATCACGTGCAGTGACTTTACATCGATAAACCTCATCCTTATTAGTATGCGGTGTTTTATCAGACATAAAGACACTGCACGTGACTTATGAATATTAATTAATTATCAACACAGAAACTGACACAACAAATGGTGGGAACATATTTAATGTTCTTTCAACAAATTTCACACAGTAAATTTACTTTTGCACCAAATTAATAGTACAGTTGTGAAATACACATCTGGAAAAATTCTCTATTCCATTAGTACAGTAATCTGGTAAAGGCATATTAGACAATACATCATCTGAAACTTCGAATGTTTTTCTCGTATGCTAATTTCTAACGTTCACAAAAGCATAATTGTTATGAACTCTCTTGACACACGCTTTTCCAAGAATGTTTTTGAAGCCGTTCAAAAAACTCGCAGCACGTGTTTTATCGGGTCAAAAACCACTCGGCTACGCCTCGTGGTTTTAAACCCGATAAAACACTCCTGCTCGTTTTTTAAACATTACATGGTGTGCCTACTTGTCGCCACCGTTAACTGGCATAAATCACTAAAATCTGCAAAAAAAATCTAACATAGCACTCTTACCTTGTTTATTTATGATTTTACTAGCTGTTTCGATGATCACGTTAATTATATATGCTCTACCACATTATAGCCAGATTTGAGTTCCAGTTTTTATATCTTCTCTATCTTAATATATCAGTTGCATGACAAGCGTGACAGAAATTCAAAGATGAGTCAACCTCCGAAATATCAAGAGATGGGTTTTTCCCCCTTCGCATGACATCTAGAAAAACCTTTCAGGAATTACTGCATTCAGAAAACTAAAATGTCCAGATCTATCAATGATTCCTTTACCGGCTGAAGTCAGAGAATGGTTACAATAGTCAATTTGATTGACAAGGTACATACTGATTTAGCTAACTGATCTGTTTTATAAGCGTCTCTTCTTACATGATAACTTGGAGATTTGCTGTTCAGTTAAATCGTTCGCTGGTGGAAATTGTGGGTTTAGTTATCGAGAAGACCCAAGTTGTATATATCAAGTCGTTCTCTTGCGTGGTTGTTAAAAAGACATTTCAAGTCACTTCAAGTCACAAGTCAAGTCTCATTCTGTGCTTACCTCGGAGAAACCCTCACCGATTGGAAGAAAGCTCGCCTGAATCTGGTGTACAAGAAAGATGACGAAGATGACACGAACAACTACAGCCCGATATCGCTTCTGAGTGTTCCTAGCAAGATTATGGAATCTTGCGTACCCGATACAGTCGTTCGACATGTTTACCAAAAAAAACTTGGTCACAGATAAACAGTGGGCCTACCGCGAGGGGCACCTTCTCTTTCAATGCCTCAATAATAATGTGTGAGTAAAAATGAAAACAAAATGGAAACTGTCAGCTAAGTTTCGTGTTTATTCCCAAGTCCAAGGAGCCGCAGAAAAAAAAATTAAAACAAAGCAAAACACAAATAACAACAAGATAAGCACATCCTTCGTGATGGAGGTAACTATGAATGAACTGAACTATTGGTTTCATGATGACAAGGCTAAAAGAGAATCATACATAGCACTATAATATGTGGAGCTTAAATTTACTTTGGAAAATGGCAACTGCACTAAGTGCTCTAAATTCCAACTCCTTTCGACCCATGTCTAACTAACGTATTTTGCTTTTTACATACTTCTTTGTGTACTTCTTGGCTTTAATTTATCTGAAAATCCGCGATGAACAACATTCTTAAAAAGACAAGTGAGAATACACCTATTTACAGTAAAAAAAGATTGAATGATCTTGTCAGGAGTCGCAGAGAAGGTTAGTTGGACTGATAAATTGTTATATTGTATTCACAACAAAACATCTCATCCCTGAATGGTCGATGATCGATACAAAATGTGTTATAGTATGCCGACTTATTGTTATAATAGTAAAACACGCAAAGAGTGCGGGCTGCATAAAGTCCATGCCCCTGACAACTTGAGTGACGTGCTTCAGGTGTACATTGCAATTCTTCCTATCCATAACAATACATATAGGTTGAGAAATAGTGTTTAAGACATCCAACAAATACCAATTCCCGAGAGAGGCCCGACGGTTTCTGAGAATACAGCAATGGTGCCTTTAGATACGCTGTTAATTAGATCAGTTACATTAACTTTTGTTTTTCCAAGGTGTTAAGTTGATAAGTTGATTTAAAGATCTTTAAAATTAACTCGGTTATTAAAAGATGATAAATGAATAAAGGGGTAAGTTTCTAAAGAAACTGTGATGCTGCGTCGGTGGGAGAGTATAGCAGGTAATTTAATGTTAACAACTGGGTTGAAAACGTAAATTAGCCACCGTAAAGGGTAAAAAAGGCTAACGTTTCGAGCGTTAGCCCTTCGTCAGAGCGATTGGAGGAATTGTGGTTTGTGTGTGGGTTTATATGCAGAAAGTGGAGCTACGCCATTGGTGGGAGTATGGTGATGAGAAAACAGGAATAAATTAGTTGAATGAAAAGCGCTCGTTGATTCCGTGGGGATTAAGGATGCCGATTTGGAAGATAAATTTTTGTTCTAGTGTTTTATGGCTTTCCGAACTTCCTAGATGTAAGGAAAGGCCGCAAACTACCATATGCTGTTTAGAATGATTTGGAAGATTAAAGTGTCTAGCGACTGATTTGGATGCGTCCTTGTCATTTCTTTCCACGTCGCGAAGGTGTTCTCGGAATCGGTCACCTGGTCGTTTCG